TTCTTGTTTCTTCTAAGCATAAAGAAGACCCTCAACCTGTTTTTTGACAGAAAGTTTTCGAAAAATTTTTGTGATTTTTCTAAGCCTATAACCTTACTTTTTTTCAAAAAATCGACCATGTTATTAAGTTGTATTTTTTTCAATAAATCGCTTTCAATCAAAAATTAATCTGGATTCTTGTTTCTTCTAAGCATAAAGAAGACCCTCATCCTCTTTTTAGACAGAAAGTTTTTCGAAAAATTTTTGTGATTTTTCTAAGCCTATAACCTTACTTTTTTTCAAAAAATCGACCCTCTTATTAAGTTGTATTTTTTTCAATAAATCGCTTCCAATCAAAAATTAAACTGGATTCTTGTTTTTTCTAAGCATAAAGAAGAACCTCAACCTCTTTTTAGACAGAAAGTTTTTCGAAAAATTTTTGTGATTTTTCTAAGCCTATAACCTTACTTTTTTTCAAAAAATCGACCTTGTTATTAAGTTGTATTTTTTCAATAAATCGCTTCCAATCAAAAACTTAACGGGATTCTTGTTTCTTCTAAGCATAAAGAAGACCCTCAACCTGTTTTTTGACGGAAAGTTTTCGAAAAATTTTTGTGATTTTTCTAAGCCTATAACCTTACTTTTTTTCAAAAAATCGACCCTGTTATTAAGTTGTATTTTTTTCAATAAATCGGTTCCAATCAAAAACTAAACGGGATTCTTGTTTCTTCTAAACAAAAAGAAGACCCTCAACCTCTTTTTAGACGGAAAGTTTTTCGAAAAATTTTTGTGATTTTTCTAAGCCTATAACCTTACTATTTTTCAAAAAATCGACCCTGTTATTAAGTTGTATTTTTTTCAATAAATCGCTTCCAATCAAAAACTTAACTGGATTCTTGTTTCTTCTAAGCAAAAAGAAGACCCTCAACCTGTTTTTAGACAGAAAGTTTTCGAAAATTTTTTGTGATTTTTCTAAGCCTATAGCCTTACTTTTTTTTCAAAAAATCGACCCTGTTATTAAGTTGTATTTTATTCAATAAATCGCTTCCAATCAAAAACTAAACGGGATTCTTGTTTGTTCTCAACAAAAAGAAGACCCTCAACCTCTTTTTTGACAGAAAGTTTTCGAAAAATTTTTGTGATTTTTCTAAGCCTATAACCTTACTTTTTTTCAAAAAATCGACCCTGTTATTAAGTTGTATTTTTTTCAATAAATCGCTTCCAATCAAAAACTAAACGGCATTCTTGTTTCTTCTAAACAAAAAGAAGACCCTCAACATCATTTTAGACAGAAAGTTTTTCGAAAAATTTTTGTGATTTTTCTAAGCCTATAACCTTACTTTTTTTCAAAAAATCGACCCTGTTATTAAGTTGTATTTTTTTCAATAAATCGCTTCCAATCAAAAACTAAACGGGATTCTTGTTTCTTCTAAACAAAAAGAAGAACCTCAACCTCTTTTTAGACCACAAGTTTTTCGAAAAATTTTTGTGATTTTTCTAAGCCTATAACCTTACTTTTTTTCAAAAATCGACCCTGTTATTAAGTCGTTTTTTTTTCAATAAAGCGCTTCCAATCAAAAACTAAACGGGATTCTTGTTTCTTCTAAGCATAAAGAAGACCCTCAACCTCTTTTTAGACAGAAATTTTTTCGAAAATTTTTTGTGATTTTTCTAAGCCTATAACCTTACTTTTTTTCAAAAAATCGACCCTGTTATTAAGTTTTATTTTTTTTAATAAATCGCTTCCAATCAAAAACTTAACGGGATTCTTGTTTCTTCTAAGCATAAAGAAGACCCTCAACCTCATTTTAGACAGAAAGTTTTTCGAAAAATTTTTGTGATTTTTCTAAGCCTATAACCTTACTTTTTTTCAAAAAATCGACCCTGTTATTAAATTGTAGTTTTTTCAATAAATCGCTTCCAATCAAAAACTAAACGGGATTCTTGTTTCTTCTAAGCAAAAAGAAGACCCTCAACCTGTTTTTAGACAGAAAGTTTTCGAAAATTTTTTGTGATTTTTCTAAGCCTATAGCCTTACTTTTTTTTCAAAAAATCGACCCTGTTATTAAGTTGTATTTTATTCAATAAATCGCTTCCAATCAAAAACTAAACGGGATTCTTGTTTCTTCTCAACAAAAAGAAGACCCTCAACCTCTTTTTTGACAGAAAGTTTTCGAAAAATTTTTGTGATTTTTCTAAGCCTATAACCTTACTTTTTTTCAAAAAATCGACCTTGTTATTAAGTTGTATTTTTTTCAATAAATCGCTTCCAATCAAAAACTAAACGGGATTCTTGTTTCTTCTAAACAAAAAGAAGACCCTCAACCTCTTTTTAGACCACAAGTTTTTCGAAAAATTTTTGTGATTTTTCTAAGCCTATAACCTTACTTTTTTTCAAAAAATCGACCCTGTTATTAAGTTGTATTTTTTTCAATAAATCGCTTCCAATCAAAAACTAAACGGGATTCTTGTTTCTTCTAAACAAAAAGAAGACCTCAACCTCTTTTTAGACCACAAGTTTTTCGAAAAATTTTTCCCTCAAGCCCCTCAACCTCTTTTTAGACAGAAAGTTTTTCGAAAAATTTTTGTGATTTTTCTAAGCTATAACCTTACTTTTTTTCAAAAAATCGACCCTGTTATTAAGTTGTATTTTTTTCAATAAATCGCTTCCAATCAAAAACTAAACGGGATTCTTGTTTCTTCTAAGCATAAAGAAGACCCTCAACCTCTTTTTAGACAGAAAGTTTTTCGAAAAATTTTTGTGATTTTTCTAAGCCTATAACCTTACTTTTTTTCAAAAAATCGACCCTGTTATTAAGTTGTGTTTTTTTCAATAAATCGCTTCCAATCAAAAACTTAAACGGGATTCTTGTTTCTTCTAAGCATAAAGAAGACCCTCAACCTGTTTTTTGACAGAAAGTTTTCGAAAAATTTTTGTGATTTTTCTAAGCCTATAACCTTACTTTTTTTCAAAAAATCGACCCTGTTATTAAGTTGTATTTTTTTCAATAAATCGCTTCCAATCAAAAACTAAACGGGATTCTTTTTTCTTCTAAACAAAAAGAAGACCCTCAACCTCTTTTTAGACAGAAAGTTTTTCGAAAAATTTTTGTGATTTTTCTAAGCCTATAAACTTACTTTTTTTCAAAAAATCGACCCTGTTATTAAGTTGTATTTTTTTCAATAAAGCGCTTCCAATCAAAAATTAAACTGGATTCTTGTTTCTTCTAAGCATAAAGAAGACCCTCAACCTCTTTTTAGACAGAAAGTTTTTCGACAAATTTTTGTGATTTTTCTAAGCCTATAACCTTACTTTTTTTCAAAAAATCGACCCTGTTATTAAGTTGTATTTTTTTCAATAAATCGCTTCCAATCAAAAACTAAACGGGATTCTTGTTTCTTCTAAGCATAAAGAAGACCCTCAACCTGTTTTTTGACAGAAAGTTTTCGAAAAATTTTTGTGATTTTTCTAAGCCTATAACCTTACTTTTTTTCAAAAAATCGACCCTGTTATTAAGTTGTATTTTTTTCAATAAATCGCTTCCAATCAAAAACTTAACGGGATTCTTGTTTCTTCTAAGCATAAAGAAGACCCTCAACCTCTTTTTAGACAGAAAGTTTTTCGAAAAATTTTTGTGATTTTTCTAAGCCTATAACCTTACTTTTTTTCAAAAAATCGACCCTGTTATTAAGTTGTGTTTTCTTCAATAAATCGCTTCCAATCAAAAACTTAACGGGATTCTTGTTTCTTCTAAGCATAAAGAAGACCCTCAACCTGTTTTTTGACAGAAAGTTTTCGAAAAATTTTTGTCATTTTTCTAAGCCTATAACCTTACTTTTTTTCAAAAAATCGACCCTGTTATTAAGTTGTATTTTTTTCAATAAATCGCTTCCAATCAAAAACTAAACGGGATTCTTTTTTCTTCTAAACAAAAAGAAGACCCTCAACCTCTTTTTAGACAGAAAGTTTTTCGAAAAATTTTTGTGATTTTTCTAAGCCTATAAACTTACTTTTTTTCAAAAAATCGACCCTGTTATTAAGTTGTATTTTTTTCAATAAAGCGCTTCCAATCAAAAATTAAACTGGATTCTTGTTTCTTCTAAGCATAAAGAAGACCCTCAACCTCTTTTTAGACAGAAAGTTTTTCGACAAATTTTTGTGATTTTTCTAAGCCTATAATCTTACTTTTTTTCAAAAAATTGACCCTGGTATTAAGTTGCATTTTTTTAAATAAATCGCTTCCAATGAAAAACTAAACTGGAATCTTGTTTCTTCTAAGCATAAAGAAGACCATCAACCTCTTTTTAGACGGAAAGTTTTTCGACAAATTTTTGTGATTTTTCTAAGCCTATAACCTTACTTTTTTCAAAAAATCGACCGTGGTATTAAGTTGTATTTTTTTTAATAAATCCCTTCCAATCAAAAACTGAACATTAAGGTGTTGAGAAGAAATAATAATTTAGTTTTGTTTTCATCCTTAAAACCGCATCCTGTGAATGTAATGTACGTGGGCTGATCTTTCTTTGTCGTTGCATTGTTCTCTTACACTTCTCTTTACTCGTATAAGATCTGAGACTAAAATACTATATTTTGCTTCCATATAGACTGGCAATTCTTTGCTGATGACTTGGTTGAAAGAGCAGGAAAATCATAGAAAAGTACATTGACAAAATCTTATCTGTTTCCAAAAACAACGTGCAATCTACTAGACTCAGGTTAACTGTGTAAGCAGAGGCGTTGTTAACCTACTTTCGTTTTGTGGAAATGATGCGATGCTTAGACAGGTAACAGAGGCAGTATTATTAAACAACTAGACCCGGAACTATATAGAAAAGAAGAATAAGGAAATTCAAATGTTCTATGCGACAAACAAATCAAATTCGATGCAATCGACTTATTGGAAGAACGCAAAGATCTCACTCAATTCTTACCGAGGAGGCTGCCGGAGGGCAGCGAAAATTCTAAGAACAAATAATGAAAGTGTATGTGCGTTTTTAACTATGGTTTTTAAACTCAATAAAGGTACCAAGTTACCTAAGTATGACTTTTATTCCAAAACTTAAGTCAATTCTTGCTTATTCTGTACATATAAATGCGACTGAACCTCTTTTAAGAAGAAACAAATTTTGAAAAATTGTTGGCGATCACTGGTATATAACTTTCACAAACTTATATTCATAGGTCTGTCAAAATTTTCTCAACTTATTCTAGATCATATTGTAAATTATGATAATTTATGAAAATGCACCAAGATAATTTTTAATGACTGTTCAATTTTGGTGATAGCCCATAAAAATGTAGCCAAATGTATAACCTTCATTTATGCTGTGAATTTCTATATGGATAAACGAATTTGAGCCATGTACAATTTTCGTTAGATACCCTCGTTTGACCAAAACTTAAACAAAGTTTTTGATGGAAAATCGGTGACGCAATGAGATGACAAAGAAATTTTAACTACAACTTTAAGCGAACTTTAAGGACTGGTTCTCGTACAAAAAGATGGCCTCTCGTGGTAAGTCTTAAAATAAAGTAGGATTTTTCTAAAAGATATCGCATTAGACAAAAAATACATCAACATTTAAATAAAAATTCTGAGATCTAACAAAGTAATTACCCTTTGGGAGTCCTGGAGCATGAGGTTGGCAAATGTTATATTTCACAGGACGTTGTTACTGACAAGCCTTTTTGCGGCCTTCAATCACCAATCGAGTAAACGTGGTTGCCCTAAAATAAAAAAATACGAATGTTAACAAAGCAGCAATAACGAGAAAACTTTTAGCAGGGCATACGCCTGCTTGATCTGATACAATTAAAAATATAGAATTCAAAGTTAACCTTATTCTAGTCAAAATGCCATTATTCTGACCATTAATACCACTAGACAGGGGTGCTGGAGTCAAGTCATGTAAATAGTGAAGAAGTACTGAAATTCAGTACAGATAGGCAATATTTTACACTGATTAAGATTCAAAACAGACTTTGCAAAAAACTCCTTTTGAGAAAGACTGAGCAGGAAGAAGGGTTCGTTGGTATGATCAGCAATAATCACAACTTGCGATCAATTAGTATTGGTTCTCGGTTTCATAATTAGTGTCTATCGTATTCTATGCTATTATTTATAATAATTCAAGTAAAGACAGCAGAAAGAAAATCAGTATACAAATGTGTTATACACTACTGAGGGGCATTTCTGAAACAACCTTATGGAAAGCCCTAAAGACTGTTATTTTATTAACCAACACAGACCAAGCGAGCATCATAAATAGAATTTCAGACAGAGAATATATTTTCAGGGCTTCCTTGGAATTCTTTGCCGATTCTGATGACTTATTCAGAATACACTTGAGTAGCAACCTTTATCCATCTGGTTTTCAGTGTTTGAGTTGTCTCATGTTTAGCCTCTGAAACTTGTCGACGAAATTCTACTTCTCTTTTGTTACTTGAACTGTTTTGTAAATTGATTTTAGTGCCAAGATCTTTTCTAAAGTGAAATTTGTATCTGAGAAAAGGGGCAGGGGTTACAAGATGCCGTAACCTTGCTTCGGAAAACAGTTTACTACATTTATTAACTAAAGCATTGGCTTGAACAAAAGCAAATAAACTTTAATTGAAAATTCTTTGTGAATGTGAAGATAAATTCTAACAACGGGTGAAAGATTTGTATATTGCAGAACTAAAAAGCATATGTACCTTTAGAATCCATTTTCTTTTCACCAACTTCAATTTGCATAATAAAGTTCTGGAACAATTTCATGGTGTCGCGAAGTGACGTCTTTTTGTACTCTAAAAATGAATACATTTATGAAGTGAGTATAAATTGAGAGCTTTATCTTAATGATAAAAATTTGCTTCAAATATGTATCAAGAATTATTCATAAAACAATAATCCATTGCCAAATAGCTGCAAATGTCTGACCTTCAAAACGTTACTTCTTTAAAAAATATTCTTATTTAAAGGCATTTAAAGACAATATTTTAAAAGAGCTGATTGTTTGACAGGACCTTGCCAATATTTTATAGGTCAATACATGATTCGAAGGACTTTAAATCTATTTTTTCGATTTTTTTAAATCAATTTCGTTTGAATTGCCAACAAACCAGCAATTTCAGCATTCGGTGCACTGTTTTCATCTCCAATCGTCTCTCCCTTCTCCAAGGCAGCTTTTGCCTTTTTGTCATATTTGTCGATTTCATCGCAGAGGGTACTAGATCAAGAAAAAAAGGGTAAAACAGTAGCAAAGATAAAAAACACATTCTATTAGCAATTTCATCTTATCTGAAAGGAATATAAAAGTTTTGAAAATATTCACAAGGACACAAATGCTTTCCTGAGCTTCTGCTCATCAAGCAAATCCGAGAAGAGTTGTTCCAGTAAAAATTAAGCCCAGGTCATTGCTGAGGTTTTATAGGGCTTTATAACGGTCTTGCAGACAACATGATCCAAATCAATTTATTCCAAAAAATATATTTTTATTCAGTCACCACTTAGTCACTCTTCAGGGTTTTCTATGGGATAAAGAGTACTTGTGGTTGATCATTTTATGGACTAAGGTATCAGGAAGCAATGTAAAATTAAGGGTATCTAAAGCTAGCGAACATCACAATCGATTAAATTTAAAAAGATGTTACGATAACGACAATAGGTTCAATCACAAAGCCAACTGCTTGAGATAATGTTATGATTTTTCTCCTAGATTAATTAATGTTAAGTCGCATGGCGTTTCTTGGGACTGATTAACGTCGATGTAGAAACTCTTCGCCAATCCAAAGAAACTTTGGTTAACATATAAACACACTAAAGAATTGCAGCTTGAGTTTAAAGACATAACATACCTTATAGTAGGCACAGTGAGAGGGTCGAATTCATCCAATTTTTTTATATCGATTGGAACACAAACTTTCCCTGTGAAATACAAAGGAGACCATTTTATGATGAAAAGGTTATAATGTTATAGCTACAAATATAATGAGTAGGTTTGAGCATAATGTGGAGATTTTAAGGGCTCCTAGGTCCTTCTTGAATTTGTAGCCACTAATAAACAAGCTACAAGAGCGTTGGACACATCGCATTTCCTTGATAATATTATTTTTACAAAAACTTAAATTGAAAATTATGCAAAATAAATTGTTAAAGAATCCTAACACACGGTTTTGTTGTTTTGTACAATTTATCTACATTAAAATTTGTATGACATTACATGAAGATACCGCAAAATATGTGAATCTATTTACACAATAAGTTTCAAATAAGTAATAATTGCCCCTGTTTGCATGCTTCAGTCAGGAAGAAATTAATACATGGGCTCCCTTTTTCTGAGCAGACTGAATTCGTCTGAACGCCTCAAATGATTCATAAAAGTAAATAATACCTGTCTTAGGGTGCACACAAAATGGACTCTTCAGCAAATGATTGAGCCCTTTACTGACATTGATATCCAGCCTTGGGTAGACATATTGACACATGATTTCATCTGCGATGTTTTTACCATTACTTAGATTCTGAAAGGAAACGGCTGACTTTCAACGTTTGGTGCGTTTGAAACTGGACCACGTTTTAATAACTACAACTGGTCAAACATCTTCGGGATGAACATTATTTCCAAACGAAAAGTTGCCATAAACTTTAAACTTAATCGAACAATCACTAAGACATTGACTCAAGTTCAAGACTGCAGGGGCAAAAATGTTTGGAAACTTCGTAAAATATTTTCCTTCCCCCGCTTTCCCCCATTTCCCCCCGTTTCCCCCGCTTCCCGTCACCCCGCCCCCCCCCCCGTAATACCTGTTGCTTCTTAGCAAATGTAACAGACTATCAATTAAGAGATACTTCTACTCGCTGTAATCTCGATGAAATAGTTACACACGCACCCTTGAATTGTTTAATTCTTTTTGTAGCTCAGCCCATTTCTCTTTACTGGTTACATCTTCTGAATGACCTGACCATGTTCTGTCCATCTTCTCTCTAATACCTGTAAAATTGAGTGACGTGAGTGCTCAAAGCTGCTATGACATCCATCACACTTAGAAAAAAATTAGGCCCCACGTGTTCCTCACACAACGATAGAAAACTTTGAAATTGGCAACAAAGAGATTCGATAAATAGATTCGATGAATAGAGACATTTACAATCATAGCCATTTCCATACTAGTGTAGACGCGAATAATTTGATCAAAATTGAAGGTTTTTAAAGCACACAGTTCTGAGCATTCATTAAATACGTCAGGGAGAAAGAGGAGAAGGATATTAAAAACAGAAAAACTGACTTCTTGCTAGGTTCAACAAATTTTTCTGACATTCAGCTGACTTGTGCCATGCTATACTTAGCAAGTCTACCTCTCTAGGCAAGAAGGTACGATGCCTGCCAAAACTCGGAGCACCAAGCAATGATGTATTGTATTTTGATAGTTTTAATTTTTTTTTCTAACTTGAGACCCACCCCCACCGCCACTCCTTGTAAAGGTCTTGATACTTTGGGCAAATATCATACAAGTTGCATTAACACTACACTTTCGAATCTCTTATATTGCTATTAAGCAAACCAATATGCTCCCAATTGGAGAGGGGGTTTACTGAATTTTCCCTTGAAAACAAACAATTTTAAAAGACTTTAGATTACCATCGGTTATCTACCGTAGCTTATGCCTTATGAAAGAGAGCAAACCACATGTCCTTCCAGCGTCCACATGCCCTTTATAGGCAATGTCAGTTCAATGATAACAAGCATCCACATCTGTACCAAATTTACAAAACTTTCCTAAATCTTTCGTGTTAAATACTTGATAATGAGAAAATACCTTCATCTGGAATGATAGACAGAAACTTCTTCCACCTGTCTGGTGTGTCCAAGATCCCTTGATCGTGCAAAAATCTTTCCGTAAAATACTTGGTAACGAATTTCAATGAGGCCCTACAACAAGCAGGAACAAAATAATTGCAAACCACATTTATCACAGTATCAAGAGAAAAAAACAAAATTGCATACCAATTTAAGTCTAATTGTTATCCAAAATGACATATCAATTAAATAGCAAATGAGAAATGTTTGCTACACGAGGAATGCCCCAGCAATTTTCCTTATATGAAATCCAAATCATACTTTTGTAAACTGATCTAACAAAAATGCTCAACATGAAAAAAGAAAGATATTGGATAATGAACTGGAAAGACAAAGGAAGACAAGGAAGAGATGGATCAGTGTGAAAGCATGTCAATTACTGATTGAGTGTGTGAAGACACTTCTATCCCAGTCAGCTTAAAGCAGAATCGAAGAAGGTAAACCAACAAAGATAATGAGCTCTTTGAATCAATGAAATAGAAATAATATAATCTGATCTTCAAAAAATAACTACTTCTTCTTGGCTTGACGGTTTTTAAAATAGAATATAAACTTAAAAGTTGACTTTGGCCACAAAAAGAAGAGGGTTGCCATCTTAACCATTTCAAATTAAATAGCCATGTTAAAAACCAATTTACATTTTCTTAGGAGTTAGAAAAATTGGGGAAAATGCTACATGTAGACATTCCTAAAAACCTTGCAAAATTTTACATTAGTTTTGCAGCAAAGCTTTGCCGTCTAGCAAAGTAGTCATTGGCAAATCAATGTATAGAAAAACTGATTTTTCAGAGCTTCATCAATAGAAAATTTGACGTGGTGCTATTCTCACAAACCTGCTTTTTGTACCCCGAAAAAATATGCGCTCAACGGTTGACATCAAACTTTCATTAAATAACGTACAAACATAAGGAAGGAAATACAGTTTCATACCCTGGGTACCAGACTCACTATATATAAAATAAAATAGAGAGTCTGGTATAGTGCGCCCCATTCTCGTTCTGGTGAACTTACTTGAAAGAACTGAAGTCTATTTAACAGACTAGGCCTGTGAAACAAGACTGTCGGATAAATAACAAAGATACTCAGTAGTCAGAGGAGTTTTGAGAAATCTTAAAGCAAATGTATTTTATATAGTTCTGTAAAGTAGACATTATTAATACAGTGATAACAGACTTTTCTGCCTCGAGATTCCAATCAAATCAGGTGTAAAACGCCTTGGCAGCAAAAAACATGTGCGAAGCATGAAATTAAAGTTAGCACAATGCAGTTATTAAATGTTAATCATTGTTAAATTTCGTATACAACTTAAAGTAAGTCTTTTACAATTTTCCTCATAAATTGTGTGTACTTTCAAAGTCTACTTTCTCACTGTGAAGGCTTGGACACCGCGGCGGTTAGAATCATCACTTTGGAAGTTCATCACAGCAAATATGGCCAATACGACAAGCGACGCCCCATATGCCGGGTGAAATATTAGCCATAACTGATTTACTTGTGTTTGTTGTTGTTTGTTCTTGGCACTTTGCGGTGTTTCTTATTTACTGCATTTCACTACAAGACCTAATTTCTTTGCAATGAGAGGCACTGCCTGAAATATCAGCTAGTTGGCAATATGGCAAAAGTGTCTCTTCTCTCTACAAACAATGCTCTCAATGCTGTTCTGTGTTAAGTTCTACAACATGCGGAAAATATTCTTTGAGAACAGTTTTAACAGCATCTTCAGACTCAATCGTTACGGTCGCTAGCATTTATTAATGTTATGTTCTGTTCAGTGTTTTACACCAGAGCTACGTTTATTGTTTCGCTGTGACCTTTGAACGTACAGAAATCTGTACACTCGCTCTTGATTGGTTAATATCAGCACACCAGAACGAGAATGGAGCGCACTAGACCAGACTCTCTATTATTTTATATAGTGAGTCTGGTACCCAGGGTAACAGTTTCAGAATGAAAAGATTTGTTTAATAGCACTTACTTTATTGAGGGGTGCACAGATCTTCCAAAGTTTACTTTTTTGATTTGATTTTCACCACCCTATTAAGCGAAAGAAAAGTTATATCAACAACAGGGCAGCTTTACAAAACTTTAAGCATAAGCTGTAGCTACAAATGTTTGTTGTAGTACATATACATTCAATACAATATTTTACTTGCAAATAAACTTGTCATAATCACTGAGAAAACAACATAATAAAATAGATCGGGCGTATAATACAGCAAGGGTTTCTCTGAACTTTTTGCCCTTATGATATATAGCTTTCCATGCCTTTTGGTAACAAGAAAATTTTTGGGAGAAAGCTTTGGTAACTATTTTGGAAAATGCTTGCATTTCGAAGGTTCTTAATACGCACCACGGATATGCAACTGCATAAGATCATTATTAATCTATGCCAAACGATCAAAGTTTAGCAGCATATTTGAAAGTGTATAGTCAGTTTGATGAAGACGTTTGAGAGGAGTTCATGGAAAAATTAGTCAATTCTTCCTGGTGAACTAGACTATATCAATGTCAAGAAAAACCAGCAAATGATTTATCTTTCAGTTAAATTAAACAAACTTTTCCTTAAGCTTCGTGGTCTTAAATCGATGTTACCTCATTTGGTTCTAAATCGATGTTACCTCTCATTCTGGCTCTAGATAAACAGAGCTATGCACGCTATGGATCTTAATACGTAAACACGCTGGAGACTCTTTGTTACGAAAAACTCGAATGGACATATTTTTCTTTCTACCAAAACCTTTGGGGCACCCATATGGCACTAGGTGAGCAACCTCTAAGAGTTATTTCATGGTAATTATTCTCTTCTATCAAAGCATTTCTATTGATCCTAAAGAGCAGACCAGAATGTACCTTACAAAACAGTGCCACTGTATCCGGAAGACTTATTGACTATATCGACTAAAGAAATCTGTTTAACGTATGAAGAGCTTGCATTCGAGTTGATATCAGCCCTAAGAACTGGTTTTAAAAGAAAAGATATTGTAGCAGATAGCTGCATTTAGAAGTCATTGAGGAACCTGAACGCACAAGATGTGACGTTGCTGGGAAAGTCATCTTTCAGTCCTCTTATTGAATATTTTAAGAAATTTATCGAGTTCTTAAAAAATCGAGAAAGAAGACTAGGCTGGTTGGAATCATTTGAAATGTAATGAATTAAGATGCCCTATGTATTTGCCACAAAGTTTCTTTTGAGACAACTCATGGGTGGCAATAATTAAGCAGCAACAAAGAAGAGGCTTAAACCAAGTTGTTGTTTAATGCAAGATTCTGCCAAGCCGGCGGCACAGTTCGTTAAAATTCAGGTAATGTTGACACCAATATTCTTTTTGCATCAATGTTCCAGGAAAGTTCTAACTTCCAAAAGCCCCATAAGTCTTAATGTCACATCAACTGACATCAGCTGGTAGCTGTAAATTGTACATAATGTAGGGTTTCGTGATTTTACTTGCAATGATTGTGTGCCTTCTTCTTTTAAAGAAATCAAAGAAGCAATCCAGGCGAGGTGTTAATTATAGAAAACAACATATATTTTTCCGTCCTTTAGCAAGGAATGGATTCTTAGCCATAATCTTTTGGCTACTGTGAAAAATGTTGTAGGATACATGTAAAGGAAGATAAAAATAGTTGTTGATGACGTTCGTGATGAAATATTAAGAGACCAAAAGAGAAGAAATGAAAGAACCAGGACTTCTTAATATTTCCATCATGTAAACAGGCATAAAACCTTCATTGTAAACGAGCTAACTATGTAACAATCACGCTTGACTTCTACATCAGTCAAATCCAAGAATTTTAAGGAATTGATAATGAAGATAGCAGAAACCGGGAGCACAGGAATGTGACAAAGATAAGAACAGATATATAGCGAGCTAAGGTTAGAAAAATATGAAATATACCTGACCCCCGTTTCAGCAAACCTTTTCATCGATATTGCCAGTAAAAACAAAGTCGGTAGTAAAATATTGGCAAAAGTCATATTGGAAGGCTACGGCTACCCAATAATGTCCGATGAAGAAAATTCTACAAAAAGCAGTTGACAAAAGGTTCGGCCCTTTGATTCTGAAACGAAGGTCAAATAGAGCGCTTCCTCCTTTTCTTTGATCCACACCTGGATAAAAAATTTCAGTTTACTTTTGGTCATTATCCGAAGCTGATGCTCTAAAGAGCGTCGGACGAAAAGTACTTAAGTATGCAATGTTTCCGCTGTTTTGGGACATCTTCAAATTTTGCGGTACCAAAAACTTATTTGGTTATTTAAGAATTTACATATTCTGCTATCAGACTTAAGAGAAAAAACTTCTTATCTATGGTAATCACAATTAAATTCATTTTATTTCCAACTAGGATAAATGTAGATACAAAATAGGCTATAGTACATCTTATTCAAAGTTGGCTGTAACCCCAAGTTATGAAAAAACCCGTGCTTGACAGGTGCAGTAGGTATTCACCATTTAACAAAACTTTGCTTATTATCAAAAGGTATGGGAAGCTCAATATCACTATGGCAAAAAGTTCGTAGAGTTTCATACGCGCTTACTAGAAAACAATGGATATAGAAATACAATCCCAAACAAAGAAATTCTGATACACATTGAAACAAAACTTACAGAGATTGAATATATTTCTATTTTTAGAATTCAATCTTCATGTAAATCTCATTTCTGTACTAATTATTTATACAACAGCGATTTTTATACCTTTATCAAGCTCAGGTATTCAGCCACAGCTGACCTTGCTGCCTGTGATAATTTTCTTGCTTGCTTGTCACATACCCAGCAATGGACTCCTCTACGACCACTGTACACCCACAAACGATGCTTAAAGTTGAAGTCCTCTATAAGAAAAGCCATAAAAAGATTTGTTTATTTATAAATAAATACCGTAAATAGTTCAATGTAAATAGTTTAATTGTTGATTGAAGTTTACTAATAATGTGATTCATGTAATTGTTAATGTTTTGTTTAATTAGCTTGTTGTATAAAATAAGCAGTTGTAATTATATAATTCTTTGATGAGTATTCAACTTAGGCCCATTCTTGTATCAGTCCTTATATTTAGTAGCTTAATTCTTGGCAAGGCAAACAATTCACGTGTGATTCAAGAAACTTTTTCGCAAATCACCACTACTTCCATAACTGAAGTGGTGGAGGAACTTTAGTTATGGTTACCAATTTGGTCTACTTCTGTTGAGGAAATCTATTTTTGACAATTTTGAAGCTGATGAAAAGGTAACAGAGAGATGGAGGGCCTTCTTTTTACAAAAGAGACAGAAAGAACAAGAAGATTATGTTTTAAAAATCAAATACAGGGCTGCATATATGTGAAGCTTCTTTTTATCGATAAATGAGCTGTAGAGAAGTCAGTCGGTTCATTTATTTTTGCAATTCTATGTCTGATGAGCAGGTAATGATGCTGATTTCAAACGTCTCACGTAGGGTATACTTCTTCTCAATAAAGCTTTGCTTGTTAATTTCAGAAATGAAACTTCTGTTAAAAAAAATAGTTTCGAATACTAACCAGCCAAGGCTCTATCTAAAACTCGTATTGCTAGTGTCATCAAGGGCCAACATTTTTCGCATATATCAGCACCACTAAAACCAATTATAGGTGAATGAACCTCAAAACATATACAGATCATTTGCAAATTATTTCACTACATATTTTCACAGTTTATTCACTAGCAAATATTCTTAAAAGTGTGTACTTTTTCCAATTTGAACAATATTCTGAAACATTAGGAAAATAATTCGAAATGAAAACCAATAGTTTTGGACAAACTATACAATATTGTTGTTTTCCACAGAAAACTTTGAAAATATAAACAAACACTGTTGAACAGTATCCTACATTGACAATTAACATTTAAAACAAAACCTGAAATATATGGTTATGAAATCATAGCAAATTTTCAACAGTGTAAATGTCAATATGATAAAAAATTTACCACATACCTGCAACAGGTTCTAACTTCATCATAATCTGTCATGTCAATATCAAACACAAGCTCTTTTTCTTCAGCAAAGAAAGCTCCAACGTGAATAGCTTTATAATCTCTTGGCTGAAAGAAAATTTACAATACCATTTATAGCTGCAAAATCAGACATCTTGTTTATGTTGCACTGTGCAAAAAAACCTATGTTGAAATCTGGATTACTTGCTGAACTTAATTGCTGATCTTTTTTGCTTCTTGTGAGACTTGTTGATATGGTATTTGCCTATGTAGACCATTGCCTTTAGATCTAGAAACTAGGGGTTTTGCTTCAACCCAAAAGCTTTCTAAGAATCCCACAACAAAACATGGGTGGACCATTTGCATTTTAGGCTGATAATTAGGGTCAGAACTCAAAGTTTTGCTACACTGTTATGACGTGGATACATAATCAAAATGTTTTGAACTCAGTTTCTTTAGCTGCCTGTGATAATCCATTTGAAATTCAAGCAAGACCATTAATCAGAAACAAGCTTTTGATTTGATGAATTTAAAGGAATTTCAGGGGGAGATTCTATTGTTCTTCCATTGAAGATCAAAGTCACTAGACTCTAAAAATTTGGATAAACCAGAGCTAGAATCTTCAAATGAATATCAAATGAAATTTCATCATAATTATTGCTGTTACCATTATCGTGTTGGCAATTTCTGTATAAATCTATCATAACTACCTTAAATTTTGAAAAAACAGTCACACGCCATCACATGCCTGGTTTACTTCCGGCATGCAGCCTGCTATATCTTCCCAATGAAAGCCTGATGAGATTGGTTACTTGAATACTTTGCAACTAAAATGCCACTTGCTACAGGCCTGGCCGTTTGTATTTTTATAGGTGAGCTGTGAATCGATCCCCTCATTTGCTGAAGGGAGCTAAATCAGTAACACATAGAATGAACTTTAAAGACAATTGGCAGATGACTTAAGCCCCTTTAGTATCTGTCGGTTGCCTTTAATAGCCTCAGTCAGGAGTATGCTGTTTTACTCCTTTCAATTTGTATAAAACGTCAGAACATAGATGGGAATCTCTACGCTAAGATACCCAGTTTTGGATCAAAATAGGCCAATCAGAAAACGTGAGCACATGACTGTTGAGGATGCCCAATCAGAGCTGCTGTCCTATTGAAAATGTTACCAACGGAGTCCTAAGGTGAAAACGAACTCCTAAGGTGAAAATGAACTCCTTCTGTCTAAACAAAAGCGGTATGTCATGTTTATATAGTAGATAGATTCACACGCTGCTAGATGGAACGATGATCAGGCTTTGCCAATAATGTCGCTGTTATAGTTTTTCACCCAATCTGGGTTTTCAGTAAATGCTGCTGGATAGTGGAATTCATGTTTTGGTTGTCGTTTTTGAATTGCAAAACAGAGTACCTTGTTCTCTTTGAGGGATAGTTTTGTTTCTATTGCTGGAAGGGACCTGCCGTCTTATTATATCCCCTAATCTACAATTCCTATTAATTTCTTCGACTTTCCTTCCAAAGATATGCCTGTTTTCTTAAGATTGAAAGGTTCTAATTGCTACAAACGTACCTTTCGCTTAACTATCCTTTTCCAAATAGATCAAAGTTCATGCCTATCATAACAAAAACCGCCCAACAAACAAAAAGTTAATCGCAAAAAATGCAATGACGGGAGAAATTGCTGTTACAAAATAAACCAATTAACCCTTATATGTTTTCAGGGTTCTCTGAATAGGAAAAGGGCAAATGAGTGGAAATTTTAGGGGCACGATTCTCCCTTCATGTTCTGTTTAGGAGAGCGATTCATAGCTTGTCTCAGGCTGAGAGGGGAGCGTGGAGGCTATCGCTCACCTCAGACGGCCAGGCCTGTTGCTACTGTGTATGTATCATAATTTAAAAGTTATTTTTACCTTCGCAGTAAAGACTGCTCCAATGTCTATCTTGTAAGGCTGCCTCTTTTGAATTTCCTTTTCCATTTCTTCTTGATTATCAAATGATAAATATCTGATATACACATCATCTTTCAGTGTGAATGAGAATTCGCGTTTGCCAAAATATGTACGGTCAACTGAAAAGAGAGATTATCTGTCACATATACATTTCTTTAAATTTTTCAATGAAATAATTCAAAAATATCAAATTACACATAACAGAGGCAAATGCTTCTGGATAGGCAGCACAATAGACTACAGGCCACCCTCAAAAAGGCATGCAATCTCACAAGCACAACTTGGCACTCGTTTTGGGTGTTGGCCCCAAATATTCCCTCGCTCAATGCACAAGAACACTATATTGCAGGGGATTCGCCTTTGTTTTATCATCTCTGCACAGCAGGGTTTTCATTATACCCCTTGATTTGCCAAGGGGTGGGATTGACTATGCCTCCAAATTTATTCCTGGCATGGCCTGGACTAGACATCCCAGAGAGCTCTCAAACACAAAGATATTTTGAGTGATTGCATTAAAAGAAGATATCTAATACATTGATGCCATTTGGCAGTTTCACAAGGGCTGCATTTCCATTAACACAGCCAATTGATGATGATCAGTCGGCATTACATATAATAACCAAAACCACTGTGCAGTGATGCATAACATTGGACAGGCCTTTTTGTTCAGAAAATTTCACAAATATGATTAAGTGTCTACCTGGATGTGCTTATGTAAGGGATTGTCTGTCTTTCAGGGCCTGACAAGGGTATAAGGGTATTATCTGCCCATTATTACCTTCCCTTTGATTACGGTCAATTTGCAAACAACCTTTATGATGTAATGTTATAAAACATGAGCAATGGAGCTAAATGCCTTGTTTTGATAAAGCAACTTGCCCATGTAAAATCAGTCTATTACAATAGAAGTCATAGCGTGATCTGCCTTTGCTTGAGTTGCAACAGCTCTTTCCTGGTAGTGTATTTCACACATAGGGGTTTTTTAATGAGGTACGAATATGACTGATGTTGCAATTTGTCCGGAAAGATAATAAAGTATGTGTATCATGCTCTTGTTTTTCCACTTGTGCAAAATACTTTTGCTTGACACTAAGGTGAACCTTTGGTTCCTTTTGAACCATCATTATCTCGCAACTTCTACTAATAGCTATGATACCTGATGTCCTTTTCATGAACTAAGTTTTAAAAACAGATATTTTTTTACATTTTTTATAGGAAAGTTGAGGAGGCACCAAATGACATGACCACTCTTGGCAGAGTGAAAAAATCATTGGCAGGTGCAGCTAAATGTGAAAATGTAGCTGTAATTGAAATTTCCTTGAGCGCCATTAGTCCTTAATACAATTATAGCTGATTATCAGGGCTAATACCCGGTCTGCAGAGTATGGCACTTTTCGACGAGATCTCCGGTGTGCACAAGCAAAAAGCCTGGTGTGACGGTGTGCACCACCAAAAATGTCTGGTGTGCTGGTGTGCACGGACTATTTTCCCCTGTTGTGGCTAAAATTTGTGAATTTGCATTTCACTGTAAAAATGCGTGTGAAGTATACTGTTGGAGATAACGCAAGTTTTTATTTGTATATTTGTCAAGTAAGATTCATGAAATCTCAAATTGTTCATACACGACTGTGCTTGTTTTTATCAACTGACATTTTCTATGGGACCACACCAAGTCACACCCATCTTAGTTGCCACACCCAAAAATACCCGGTGAGCAACAGGTTTTGCACAAAAACATCTCCGGTGTGCACATGCCATACTTTGCAGACTGGGCTAATACCAGCAAATTAAAAAATAAATATTATTTTTCATTTAGAGCTATCATTTAGAAAGGTTTTTATTTTCGGCAAGACATTAATCATTGCTGTAGAGCAAAAATATCCTACACTCCAGAAAATAACATGATAGTTTCGCCTATCCCTGATGCATGTTTACAGAACATAGATCATATGAATTGAATGTGGCCTAGCTCTGCCCTCCGCAATTCTTAATTCCATGATAAGCTATACTTACCATTTGCATATGACAGCCATCTATAAAATTCCTTGTATGGGAATAATCTTTTATAGTATTGGGCAAGAAGCTCTGGGAGATCCCCTTGTTTAAATACTTCATTCTGATTCTCTTCGAACGCCATTTTCCTTCTCTTTCGCGCCAAGTAATGGACCTCGTTTTCAAGGATAAGGGTTCGTGAGAGTGAGACAGTAAAACGGGATTGAAAAAGTCTTTTTCTTTTTAAGAAACATTAAAATAATAAAAAACATGAGGCTCAAATCCCCTAAAAAACCAATAAATATCTTAGAAACATTGCCAGGCTCAGATAAAGGGACATGGGAGGAAAATAAGTCAAGCTACGGGTTTCGAATCTGTTATGTGAGCAGGCGTTAATGTAACGTGCCCACAGGCACGGACCAGTAGCATGGAAGTGCCTCATCGACCAAAACACTTGCTTGACGTTTTAAATGGCGTGCCTCGACTTTTCATGCAGCTCGAACACTAAATGCTTCGTGGTTATGATCGTTGATATATTCCATACCGTTGCAGAAACGGCCAAAAAAACAAAGAAAACATAGGAAGACAATTCTCAAATACACTCTTTTCCTTTTATAAGAACAATTTTATAAAAATACGAGCCTTAAATTGGTCAAAATTCAAGAACAAATTAAGAATAAGCTGAGACTGAGCTTCTGCCAAATGTAGTTTGGAACAACGTTCTATCTCAAATATGAGGATTTTTGGTCATGTGTGGGTGCTTTTTCGGCGAATACTTGAACTTGTCGGCAAATGAAGGCTGTCTCATCCACCTTTGTTGGCAATCGAGGCCTGAACACCTCCCCAGAGCGAAAAAGCTAGCAATCATACTGCTTATACCCTATTGATATAAGAATAATTTAAGAACAACAAAGCCTTATATTTTCGAGAGAAAAAAAGAACAGTCAGCCTGAACTTACATATACTAAGTTTCAGTTGAACAACGTGCATAGTTGTAAAGTTACACTGCGATACCCAACAGTAGCCTGGGCACAAGTACCAAAGTCTAAAAATAGCTCCTGGTGATGTTTTAAAGTTGGAGTTGCATCTTATTCTATTCAGCACGTCAAATTACGCCAGGAAACAATGATGGTTTAATATTTTTTACTCAGTTTTGCAAGATCTTTCAGATAAATTTATCAGATTTGAAAAATTCGAAGGTCAAAATTTTGCAGACCGTGCATTTTTCACTCTTTCTGAAACATTACTTCCGATCATTTGACGGAATGTACCTAAGACTCCTAAGACTTAAACTGATCAGTGGCCTTTACTTCATGACTTAAACTTTAAAAATTTCGGTTAGGCAGTATGATAGATGGTTATGCAAAATTCCCTGTATATTATGTAGGGTTATAAATGAAATTATGGACTTGTCGCCACATTCAGCTTAGCAGTGCTCGTCCAAAAAACCCTTAAATTAATCCTGACGGTGAGCCACACAATTTAGTGTCTTTATTGAATGATGAGAGCTTAAAGAAGCACAGAAATTTAATCTGAAAGTTACGGCTTACAAAAGAAACAGTCAAGATACACTTGAAATCAACCAAATGTTAATAAACTTTGATCCTACTTGGACGTATAAACCAGTAGATGATGCTGACAAAGTCATGTAATTGTAAAAATTCAATTTCCTTGAACTAGGTAAATTCAATGTATACAGTTTGAGTTATATAATAGTTATATCTTATTTTGTTTTCATCCTGATTGCAATGAAAAATGGATTCGCAAAGGAGTCGGTCTTAAAGAGACACCATTTCATGAAGCATATAGACCCTCTTGCAAAAATGGACCCTACTCCAAAAAACAAATTTCAGTAAACTGAAAAATTAAAAGGTATTTAGAATGCGTTTGATAAAATACCAGGAGCTTTGGTAAATAGGGCCTCCGTTCTCGTCCGAGCTTGGGTTATATGACCACAAGAGAGATTAGATACATGTGAAAAATAGGTTAACCACTATTACAAAAAAACCATATTGGATTAGCTACCCGATTACAGAAATTCGACGATGAACCAATTTTTTCAACCGACAGTGAATTAGAGATATATTGGATGGTCTGGCAAAAAACCATCTTACGTAATTTTTACTTATTTTTTTTAGTTATAAGTATGTTTATATAATTTGTAGTCATTGTATGTAATTAGTTATGACGTAGTTGCAGTCAGATATTGTACGTACAGGAATATAAGACTGAACTGAACTGAACTGAACTGAACTGAACTGAACTGAACTGAACTGAACTGAACTGAACTGAACTGAAAAAAGATATTGACTAGAACTCCAGACTCCCAATCGTCGAGATCTCAAAATTTCCAAAGTTAGGTTAGAGTATGCGAAGTGAGGTTTCTACTTCCCTGGTGTAAAAAACTGGAATGAAATCCCTGACAACATTCGAGAAAAAGAATCAATCACTCGTTTTAGAGCAGGTTTTAGAGAGTATCTTTTGAACCTTCACAGGACCCAAACACGACTCTTCGCTAAAGAAGCGATCTGTATTATTATATCGAGAAAAATATTGTTATTAAATGAATTAGTAATTAATAGCTGAAAGGTGTTTCGTGTATAAATATTGATAGAATAAAATGAAAGTGATAAAATGAAAATGAAAAACTGCCCTTTTTTCCTTTACATATCGTACCTCTTTTGCAGCGTTTTTCACATTTATCCATGAACCAACATTTTCTTCTGCCCATAATGCTCTCTCAACCGGCCCAAATGCTGTAACTTAAATATGAGATCACTTAAATATGTGATCCCCCACTCCAACCACACCATGGAAGCACCTTGTATTAATCAATGTTGCTGGGCTCAATTGGAATAAATCACATAATTATAAAGCAAAACTTGTCTCTAATTCTCGGTAAATCTAAAATTTATTCTTGTTTTTCTAAGGTTTAGTCCAATGCCCAAGTCAGTAAAAGTACCCCCAAATCAATGAGGTTCGCTGTAGTTAGTATACACAAGAGGACGACTGCATTTAGCTGCGTTTCTTATATTTTGTCCATATACGTCAGGATCAACACAGCAAGAGAATATCCCAAAATAATACCACTGATGAATGTTTATGAATGTTTATATATGAAGAGTTCTTTGGCGGTACAGAACTTGAAAATGGCTTTGAAAAAAGCAAACACTTTACAACATATTGGCTAAAATTTTTTGCGTCTGACACTCCTCAGAGCATAAAACGTCAGAATAAGGATCCGAAAGAACCTGATAGAAATACATACCTAGTTTGTGGGTCGAAATAGGCTAAATAGAGTTCGAGACCGGTACAGTTGTCCAATCAGTGCCGCGTGTCTAAGGAAAATTTACCACTGGAGCCCAAGACAAAAAACGAACTCCTCCTTTCTACACAATAGCGGCTTTTTCGTTTTCTCTCTTTCTTGATGCAGAGTTCGAGAGAAGATAGGAGCTAGAAGCTCCTCCGCTTCTCCTTGTGGGTTTCTCTTTACGCGCTCAAAATATTGTGGCTTTGGCACCCAGTAAAAAAACATGCTTGCTAATGTTAAACATTCAGTCGGTTTTGAAAAATATATTTGATGAATAATGTATACCCAGTTGTGGATTGAAATAGGCCAATCAGAAAAACGCAAGCAATTTTTCATCGTGTCCTTTCGGACCCTTATTTTGACGTTTTATGCTCTGAGGAGTGTCAGACGAAAAAGCTTTTAGCCAATATGTTGTAAAATGTTTGCTTTTTCAAAGCAATCTTCAAGTTCTGTACCGCAAAGAAATTGTTTACATTTTTCTAGAATTCATTGTTATCAGCAGAAGAGAAAAGAAAATATCAGTAACAAACAGAGCTAGCCAGTTTAAAAGAAACCTATCCAGTAATTCAGGGCCCTGGTTTGAAGACTGCATCAGGTCACTTTTCCATGGCATTGCGTATGTACTTCAAATAAAGATTACTGTTAAAGAATTGTAAAGAATCTTCCTTGCTCTTTGTGTTTATCAAGGCACTAGATGCAGAATACTTAAGTTCAAGGCATTCTTTTTTAAATGGGGTTTCCAATGGTTTGGCTAGATTTAACTTTCTCAGGAGCTAACTAACTGAATGTGTCTCTTTACATCTACCAACAGCTATGATGTTATTGCTATCAAAAGAATGTAAGGGACCTTCGCAAAAAGTTTTCAAAAGCAATATATAAAAAAGATTTTGCGGTTTGAGAAGATCTCTTGAAGAACAATACAAATCCAAGAATCTGTCTCGTTGATTAGCTTTCGTTATGGATTAAAGTGATATCTGCTTGCAATAAGTATTTACAACAAATCTTTGAAATTTTTTACACTCTTTTCTATACACCTATTTTTGTACTTGCATCAAAAAACCAAATTTTGGAGATTCATTTTCGGTGTAGTTTACTTTGATCTCTGTCAAGTGTTGAAATATCTCTGAAATACCTCGAATAGCTTTACTACTGAGGCAGTTCATCTTTTAAATGATTCCCCATACGTACGTACCACCAGATTATTTGTGATTCGCATTTAATTGTGATAATTATTGTTTTTTGTGTTAATAATATGAAGTTTAAAAAAACACCCCTGGGCTGCCTATTCTCCATATTTTCATAACTCTTTGGGTGTTCTTTGATAGCAAACAAGGCTTATAGAAAACCAATGCAAGTCTCAACAAAGAACAAATCCAATGAAACTTGATTTTTAATTGAAGCCTATTGTTCAAAATGACCCCCACTTCCTACTCTGCTCCCTGCTCCCTGCTCCCTGCTCCCTGCTCCCGCTCCTAACTTCCGAATTCCGTTTGCCTGTCGCCATGGAATTCACAGGGATAATTTGCGTTGTTGCTGTTGCATGAGGAATTCCTTCATCAAAACAAAATGTCGGAACCGATTCCGCAAGGAGCCACTGATGTTTATCCGTATAATGGTTTAGCTAGTGTGACTAATTCGAGGTTTGTTTTCTCGTTATTTGTCCATTGTGAAGTAAAGAACGGTTTATATTAACCGATCTCTCATTCGTCCAATTTGATCTCAAATCCACGGCAAAGGTTATCCGGCAAAGCAATAATGTTGAAAGGGATGAACATCATATTAGCTCGCATTGTGTAATGAATGAAGTATCATTTCAGGCCTGATCTAAACCGAATTTCGTTGCGCATTTTAATGTGCGTACTTGTACTTTTAAAGTGATACCAAGATGCAGCAAGGAATAGCCATTAGATGGCGATACCTGAAAGACAGTGTGGGTAAACTTGATGGCATTCTCTACGTGTGCTTGCACGAATTAGCTGATTTCCTCAAAAATAGGCCTTGATGACCCTCCTACGCCGATTTGATGTGATAATTTGTTTTTATTGTGCAAGAAACTACGTATAGCCGAACAAACCTGAAATAATACCGCCCATTTGTGACAAATTATATATGCTAAGTTGAGATTCACTTTTCTAGATAATGCAGAGGACAAATTTGAACAGGGTCGACGAGGTAAGTGCATTTTTCAATGTAAACAAGCATCTTAAGAGGCATTCTAATGTATCTAAAAGAAAAGTAATTCTCAAATATATTTTTGCTAAGTCATTAAAATTTAGATAATCAGAAAGTTACAGTTAGAAAATTAGAAAATCAGAAATTAATGATATGTTTACTAGCATTTAATTTTATATGTACTAAATATCTAATGATAATATTATCAAAAGTTACTTTCAAAAGTCTGAGGAAAGAGAACCAAAAGTATTGTTTTTATGTAAAAATATTGATGCAAAATGTTAGGCTTGAGGTGTTGCAATTTTGGCAACCATGTGACTCATGATCTGAATATCAGTGAGTTCAAGGTATACCTTGTTCACTTTGCACAAACCTGCAACCGACGCAGCTGTACGTCCTTTTGAGACTGTTAAATGAGTACCCAGGTTATTGACTCTAGAATGTTAGCTTTGGGGCACATGTCTTGTCAGCTATAAGCTACCAGAATCCAAAATTCTGTCAAAATCTTGCTTTGCCTGTTTGTTTTGATCATACCTTTTTAGCCTGGGATGTTTTTTTCATTGAATACAAGTTGAACTTTGGCTCATTTCTTGTCCTCTATCCCTACAAGCACTAAATTTGTTCTTAACCTGATTGTGTACTTGTGTTTTTCAAAAAGCCAACTTTAATACATTTTCCTTCACACTTTTGTTCTAGTAAAGTGTGACATAGCTTGGCCTAATCCAAGTTAATCAACCTGGGCTTAACCTAGCTAAATGTTTAATTGTGTAAACAGGAGTTCAATTTTAATTTTCTATTGATACTAGGAAGAAAAGAGTGAAGAAACCCAAACAATGAAATCTAGCAAAATTGAGGATGGAGGTAATATTGCTATATTAAATTTTTATTTCTCTACAAATGTTTATACCCTTTTGTTATCTTACTTTTGAACTCCAAGTCAGTAGAATACCCATATTTGATATTATTTCAATGTTCTCAATAAATATATTTTTTTGAATTTCTAGTCCACAAACTTCTGTAACTTGTGTATGTATGAAAACATTACAGAAAATTGTTGCTTTATCATATTCAGACAATCTTTTATCTTTCCAGCTAATTTGTCTCCTCTTCATGTTGCTGCCATTATGGGTAACAAGTCTAAGATGATTCAGCTTTTAAAAGAACGTATGTATACTTCTTCCATTTATTTTGAAGTTTTTGTGATGATCACTTCTATGGAATGGAAGCTAAAAAGACTGATAGGCCACTCATTCTTTTTCAAATTGTTTTTTTCTGGTTAACAATTTGTTTGCCTCACAAGTCTCTTTTACCTTTGTTTGTCTTCTGATTTGTTATAGTAAGAAGTAAAATTTATGCATTGATTCATTTAGAATTTTATTTTGCTTGATAAGAAGTAGCATCCTTTTCTCATCTAGATAAAGAAGACATAGATAAAGGGGACAAGATTGGAAGAACACCTCTTGTAAGTTGGAAACCTTTTATCAATTTTGAGTCCCCTTTTTAGAAGATCTAAAGAAAAAGTACTAACAATTTGAGCAAAGATATGTCAAAATTTGTTTCTTGAAAATGCAAATAACTATTTGTCCATATTTTCAATGATATAAATTGTTATTTGCTTATTATAGATTTATAGTATCTTGGGAGACAGATGTGACTGTGCTGAGGCACTCATAAAATCTGGGGCAGATGTGAGTATTGTGTCAAAGATAATTTGGCAGATAATTTGCCAGTAAAAATTTGCAAACCTATTTTGTAGCTCTGTGCATTTGAAATTTATGGTTTGTCTAATAGCTTAATTCAATGTACTTTCCTGTTATTGAATTTTCAAATTTCAGGTGAGTAAGGCTGATGTTGATGAGAGAACTGCTCTACACTGGGCAGCATATCAGGTAATTTTTAAGCTCAGGTTTCCTTCTTGCAGTATTTTCTTTACTCCAGATCTTCCTGATATCTTAGCTTGGACATTAATTCATTCTGACAATATGTTGAACCATTTTATCTTTATTTTTTGGCTTCTTGTTATTGTTCTATAAACTGTTTTACAGACTAACCTCTGCAATATGGTGCATAATATTTTTTTTTCAAAAGGGAAATCAAAAGTTTGTCAAACTATTGCTGGATAAAGGGGCAAAACAAGGTTTACAAGATAAAGAAGGAAGGTTTGTTTGCAACATTTCAATCTATTCCTTTAAGCCTGCCATGAACTATCATTTCTACTATATTTGAGTTTAAACTTCTATATTACATTAATTGCAACTACATGAAAATTTCAATATTATATTTTTCAGGACTCCACTACACTTGTCACTAAGCCATGATAACATAAAGGTTTGTCTTTGAATATCTAATTAGTGGATTTATTTTTGTACCCAGATGTCACAGTATGGCATTTTTGTAATGCTACCTCCTAGCTAAACAGTACAAAATCAACTTGAAATGTCTCTCTATCACTTCTGCTCCTTGAAATGTAAAATGTTTTCATGTGATTATAATTGAATAAACCTGTAGGTCATTTAATTATTTCTTTATTTTTGGAGAACTTCCTTTGAATTTTATATGTGTATGCAAGGCTAATTATTTTCATTTCTTTTGTTCATTTTCAATTTTTTAGCCATGGTAGCCCCTCAGTTAGAGAAAAACTGATTTACAAGAGGTCATGCATTTATACACCATTTAACATGAAATAAATATAATAAATACATTATAATAAAGTAAGATTAAGATTATTTTTTAGGTTATGGCAAGGCTTCTAAAAGATGCAGATATTGATTGCCAGGATGGTAACGGGGTAAAATGTTTAAACATTTATTACGATTAAAGGATAAATGATTTAAGTTTGTCTGATGAATGGGCAAGCATGAAACTTGTATATCCAAACCCCAACATGTCTGATTTTCAATCAGACTTCTATTATATTGGTTGCTCCTTGCTTTAGTTAATCAAGCACTGTTCTGTCAGAAATAACAAGGTGCACTTAGTTAAAGCTACTAAAGGGTAGCTTCTGAAGCTAATCTTTTTATTCCACCATTTATAAAACTGTTGTATTGTTAGAAAATTTGTTTTTGGGTTTCCCTCGTCAAGCCATGTTTGTTTAATATTCTTGAATGCTTTTTTATATGTCCACATAACAATTAACTTATTTTTTAGATGACTCCGCTGCATTTCAGTGTTGCTTATGAACGTGTCGAGCACACTAAAATGTTGCTGCATGCAAAAGCTTCTCCAGACTGTCTGGATAATAGTAAAATGACTGTGTTACACTGGGCAAAAACAAACAAAGAAACCACTATTGTCAGCAAGCTTTTGGTGAGTTCAACCTTGAATTTTATTCTAGGGAAGAAAGACGGGATGGTGAAACATCCATCATGATTTTGGAATTTCAGAAATTCTAAAATATCATTAAAATTTTGACTGTTTTCTGGTATACACGGATATGTTGAAAAACCTGCCTAACCTAAAATATTTTCCCACTGTACCCACATGTAATTTCTAATGTTATAGAAATGATGTTTCTTTGAACCTAAAACAACTTTTGACATTCTAATGCCTAGGTTACAAGATACCGTTTTAACCGTGTTGAAACTAGTTGTCTTCATTTTGATAGGCAACTTTTATTGTCTGTATGGTCATTTTTAGGACTATGAGCGAGTCATGTTGATTTTAAACTCGAAGGACAGCGAGGGTCGAACTGCTTTACACCTGTATGTTGCTGTCGATAACAAGGCATTAGTTCGTTATTTGGCATCACGCGAAGACTGTTTGCTCTCCGAACAAGATCACATGCAAAGGACTCCATTGCACCTTGCAGCCATTCTTGGTATGTGGTTTTCCTTAGCTGTAATTAATTAAACCTCAACACGTTTGCAGGTAGCAGAAATCTAAATTTATTTTCATAAATAGTTTTAACCGAATTTTTGTTTGGGTGCCTTAGTGAATGTTAGTTTGTGGAAGCATAGGGTCACGATGATGAAATATTTATCGATCATCCTTTAACATGCCAAATTTCTGCGCTATTGGAAAGCAGGATGCCATATTTATAGACGGCATGACATCTCTTATCTTGTTTGAAATTTATACAAATTAGCTGCCTAGCCGCAATCTTTCTTTTAGCTTCAAGTTTAGAAAGCCTGTCTGCCAGGTGAACCATAAAGTTTCTAGAGTATCTTTAATACTTTTCATTGCGTGGGTTTTGCTGAATGACAAGATTTTTGCTTTCCTTAAATTATACACCAAGTCTTTGGCAGCATAGAACTCACATGTGAAATATTGTCAGTTCAAAAAGATGACGTTATTTTTTTTTAAGGTCACACTGAAATTGCAGAGGTCCTTCTAAGTCATGGCTGCGAAGCTCTCATCCCGGACAACAACGGTGTCCGACCTCTTCACTACGCGGCACAGAATAACTTTGCAAAGACTTTGGAAGCAATGTTGCAGCATGAAAACGTTAATGACGAACCGGACAATGATGGTCGCACCGCACTTATGTGGGCCGCTGCTAAAGGTATACAGATGGATCACATCATATTGATACAAAACCTCTGGTCAATGTGTGTCTTGAAAGTTCCTTTTTTGATACTAGATAGCTGTATTCTTTCTTAATACTAAACAAGAATCTCGCCACGATATTTGCGTCTGTTCTCTACAGAAAAACTGTACAAAAAAGAGATATGATGTTTCCAGCTGCACTCCATTATTAGCAAATAATTTTGCCTCTTTCCTTTTTCCGTTATTTGAAATTCAATCGCTTCCATTTTTTGTTAACTCCCTTCCATTTACTTTTTTGGGTTGTCCATGTCCCTGCAAAGTCAATGCAGGGGCTTCTTGCTTATTTCTGTTAATGAGATAAGAATTTATTTCTCAGGTGCCTACGATGCGCTGAATGTGTTCATATCACAAAAGCCAGATGTTCTAGCGTGCGATTGCTTTGGCGCTACAGCCCTTCACATGGCAAGTGAGGGAGGACACATCCAGTGCGTGTCTTTGCTGTTACAGCACCAAGCAGGCGTCAATGCACTCGATGAGCAGCAATATACACCATTATTTTGTGCCTGTCAAATGGGACATCGTGAAGTTGTCGAGACACTGCTTTTACGTAAGAGTCCTTTATGCAGCTCTTTGTAACATTTGCAAAAATTTCTAATTATATTGGTCGGTTTTTTATTAAAATGTGTTCAGTGGATAAAGCGACGAGCTACATCTAGACTAGTTGGATTCAGTGCCATGTTTTTGGTAGTAGAGCATCTTAGCATACAGAAGTCTTTGACAACCCACAGATGATAGTATTTTGTACATTCAAAAAAACTGCTAACCAAGCTGTTGCATCGATTTGTCTATTTTGATTCATACGAAAGGTAAGATAGCCTATTAATGGCAGGGCAAAAACCTGGAACCCCTTGCTGCTTTGGTTTAAGATATAAACTGACACTTGCCATCTCGAATGTACAGATAACGATTTTATGTTCGCGTTAAAAGAAATGACTTGGAAGATGAACGATAAGGATGTCTTTTCATTTTTACAATGTTGCTTCTCATTCTAGGTAGAAAAGAAACAGACAAAATATATTTACCACCTCAGCTTAATGTTTAAAACCGCTTTATGACCGTCTAATAGTGAGTAATTACAGTTGACAGACAGCTCATTTTCAATAAACGAAACAATAATTTTCATAGTTTTTTCATTAATTTTTTACATTATTATGAAAATGCAACGTTTTTCGGAAACTTAAAAGATTCGATTGTTTGCTATAGATGGTGCCGTTGTTGATCTTGAAGATAAGGAGGGTCGAACGCCATTACACTGGGCGGCGGTTGGAGGTCGCACGGAAATCTGTGCAATGCTTATCAGCCATGGAAGTGATGTTTCAAAACGAGATAAGCTTGGGTGAGCAAAACAAGTTTGACGTTGATACGTTTGCTAGTATCTAGTTAATTCGATGCTAGTATCTCGAATATCTTGCAAACTTACATACATATTTTTTGCATATGCATAAGTGTAGTGGACATTTATATCTGTATGCAATGTAACAATCATGTAACAGCCTCGCAAAACTCTGTTTGTTGTATTTGAATTATGCCGTACGTAACTTTGTTCAGTGTTTTCAATTTGCACTTCACTGGCCATTTTTTGAGTACCTTTGTTTACTTTTTGATGCTTTTTTATGTTAGTAATGTTCATTAGTTTTTACCTTCACATGGAGGTGTCATGCAGTTTGGCTCCTTCTTTCGTCACAACATTCTCTCTAGTTATATAGAACTAATATGAAGGGTACAGTATCTTGTGTCTTTTATCTGAATATAAAAAAGGGGGTATATGATCGAGTTTTACACGAGTTGAGTAAATAGCTTGCAATTTGAAAGCTTTTCTGTTGTTTTCAAGGCGCCCAGCTTTACATTATGCTGCTTATGGTGGGTTCTTCAGCTGCATGTCCTTGTTATTGGAATATGGTTCAGATGTTGATGTCCGTGACAATACGGGTGTGACTGCGCTTCACTGGGCCTGTGCCTCAGGATCTCTGGATGCCGTGAAATTGCTGTTTACATACAATGCATTTCCAAATTTTGTTGAAACTGAGGGAGACAAGCTTACCCCCTTGGATTATGCAATAGTTCGAGAACACCAAGATGTTGCTCAGGTAGTTTCAGTTAACGCTTTGTGCTTGATATAGAGATATTAAGGATGCTTTCGAGAAAGGAACCATTTATATCCTTACGAGGTTGTCATGTTTCATGTTATGTAGACAGGAACACATTCAAAAATGTAGTTTATCTGTTGGAATCGTGTTTTTTTGAGTAATGAAGTAAATGTTTTTCACAAAAAATACCAATCTTAGTTCAGTAACTATCCCGGCTATCAGTGTCTCATAAAAGAATAAGCTCGAAAATTTAACGAGGTCGCTCAACTTTGACCGTTTCGTCATATTTACCCTATTTCACAAGCAAGTTTCTCCTTCACAGTTCATGATTGAGCACGGTGCGTTCACCATTGCTGGAATACAAGACGAGGCCGCCACTGTAATACAAGCCACTTGGCGAGGATATAGCTGGAGAAAATCTTTTGAGGAGCGAAAGCAGTTTCTGATTCTACACGAGAAACGACGTAGAGAAACAAAGAAAAAGTCGAATACTGGAGAAAATGAGCTTCCCCGGTTGACATACGAGGGCAGTCAGTTTGAAAGTGATGCAGGGCTTTCAAAAAGCTTCCCTAAAGATACTTTTGGGGCTCCCGAATTAAATGAGAAGTTTAATGGCAGCGCGTATTTGGAGAAAGAAAGCGATATACGAAAACCTTATATACAAAACGACGAATTTGAACATATGGACGCTTATGATAATTACCTAGTACACAATCCATCTGGTGTAAGCTATGATGAACTCGTGAAAAATGAGCTTTCCCAAGACCATTACCAGAGACAATCTGATGTACGTTTTTTGGACAAAGATATAGATGAAAATGAGAAAGGAGGTTCTGCGAGAATGGTTTCCAGCGAAAAGTGCGATAATAGTTTGGGTAAAAGTTTGGAGAGCGATGAAGGATTTTTACTTGAAAATAAATTTCAAAGTAAAATCGGTCTAAATGACTCGCGTTCATATCAAAATGATGTTGAACAGGAAAGAGGTATGCAAATTGGTCTAAGAAACGAAAAACAGTCTCTGAGTTCGTTACCAGAAATAAATTATACTCAAAAAAAACTGCCTAATCAAAAAAGAGAGGAAATCCATAAAGTTAAAAATGTTTCAGAAAGATTAATACTAGATGACGAAATGAAAAAACCTGGTCCAGGTGATCAATTGTCAAATCGAGTAGAAAAAGAATATGAGACAAAAGTTCTGGATCGGCAAATTTCGCTTGATGTTGGAGATCAGTCTGTGATTCAAAGAACTGCAAGGCTTTACAAGGCACTGCCTACACCGAGTACTTCATCAAGTACATATAGTTTTAGTTCAAATGGCAATTTAAAACCGTGGCAAATATATAAACGAGAACGACATCGAAAGCTTCTGATAAGGCGGAAAATAGAATCTGCAGTTGTTATTCAAAGAGCATTTAGGACTCACATTTCAAAGCAGCGCTCGTCTGATGGAGGGAGAACGAGCACGGCTGTGAAGGAAATTGAAGCTCGAGATAGGCGTATTATGGAAGATATAGCTGCGTTAGTGATCCAGCTACATTGGAGAAAATACATGAAAAGGAAGTTGATGAAAGAGAAGCAGGAAGAAAAACGGGAGGCATTGGATGCTAGGTAAGGTCAATGGTAAAACTCTCCATTGTTTCATTCGTTCGTTAACATTTTCAGTTAGACGAATATACATTTGGGTGTTATTGATTCGCAACAAGCTTTATTAAGATATATGAAAAGGCAAGAGAAACCTACCCAAAGTAATACCAAATCGAAGCATTCTATTTGAGGAAAGTTTTAATTGACTGGACTGGTGGCGGTGGTTTAGGTGTATATATGAGCCTATGCCGCCATGTACATTGGCTTTACAGTAACGTTTTTATAATTGTAGCGATAGTTTTTTGTTTTTATAAACCCATTTCACCGCTTCGCAGGCGTGCGGGGCTATGAAAGAAAGGACAACGTCGCAAAAAAAAATTCTCAAAAAAATATAATAGGACATAAAAAAGGATGCTTTTTGCCATTACTAGCCCAGTTGACCCCCTACTTGCTTCCCTTATCGACACTGATGCTATATTTAATGTTTACTGCTACTGGGGCCGCTTTTGAAACCCATTTTTTTGTTTATGTGATTCAGATTTTGATATAATTCAAGAAGATGTTTTGAATAAATTTTGATCATTTAGGCTCACCAATTATTAAGCGTACAATTTTCAAGTAAAAATTATATGATGGATCTTCAAAAGAATCAATTTGAAGAAAGTACCTATATTGTAGCATTGAAAGCAGGTTTTCCGTATTTTTTTGGTGTAGGTTTGTAAGAAACATGAGCTTCTCATTTGTCATAATTTCTATTGTTAGTATTACTGTTTGTTATTCTTTATTTTTAATCTTTTTTTTCCCAAGACTCCTAAGCGCACGCGACAGGAAACAAAAATTCACTCTACGACCTCGTTCATCTGAAAATAATGAAACACCTCGTAGGAGAATAACTTCTAGTAAAACGAGACCGAAAAATACAGATAACAGTACGCCTAGAGCTCCAAATCAACGCGAGGAGTTCCCTAGCATAAAAAATACCAATACTAAAGTTGATGAAGTGCAAGTTGGAATTCGGGATCATACCAGTCAATTGAAATCAAGGCCGAAAACAGACGGAAACGACAGTAGAAGAGGCAGCCGAACAGGGCAGAAAATATCATTGGCACCTGCGAAGCAGAGTCGCTTTCATGGCAAGTTACTTTATGCTTTTTATTATTAACCACCTTGACTGTTTTGCCTATAAAAAATAGATTACAGCATCTTGTGCAAGAGGAAAAACACCGAATCATCGTGTAGTTGCAGCAAGAATAAAAACACAGTTACAAACACTTTCTATATTGACATCTGCAAGATTTCTAGCACACTGCTTCATTGCCTGTATGCTGGCTTTTCTGTCACCGCCACCCAGTGGCGGATCCAGACGGGTGCAAAGGGTTCACTTGCACCTGTCAGATATTTACGAGGTTTAATCTTCCATACGGAATTCAGGCCTGAGCGATCATAAATCTGTACAATTGTTTCCCTGTCCCGAGTTCCGTATTATGTTATCTGAAGGCCAGAACAGATATGCAGCATGTTAAGATTCTAAAGCACTTACCCCTTCAGTGTTGGGCAATGTTAAAGTGAGGAACAGAGCCTACATGAAATTCTGGCTTTAATTTCAACAGATTTTCGGTTTCCACCCGTGGTCGTAAATCATTGCAAATTTTGCACCACGCGTGACATTTTGCAATGACCAATTGCGATGTTGCCTGACCGGTCTAAATGCACTACGTCGGAGGGATTTGTAGTTATAATTAGTATCTTTGGGGGGATTTGTTGCTTACAACGCTATTCTAGGGGGGATGGTATAGGTTGGAATTTGGATGAGTTGCTTCATGTTTTAAAAGGGCATATTCGAAGCCTAGGCTTGTCAATCTGAATGAAAGTTTCTACAAAAGTCAAGAAAAAGTTGTTAGATACAACGAATAGGCTTTCTTGAGAGGAATGGATTCAAAAAATGAAACTTTGAACGTTGTCATCGTTCCAATAACCTCCTGTATGTTAATTTGTGTATTTACAATAAATTTTGATTGAACTTTATGAAATACAATGGTGTTTAATTAATATGGAATTTTATCGGTGTTCATCTTTCTCCTTTGCTTGTTCATTTCCACTTAAATAGTGCTATTTTGAAAATTGTTTACTTGAATGTCTTATTCAGCTCAGTGTATTTATCAGGTCAAGAGTGTGGCCCAAATGAAGCTGTAATTAAATAGCGTGGCACACGAAGGGTGTGGTCAAAGCTTTACCCAGTTTTGTACCCGTCAGAAAAAATCCAGGATCCGCCACTGCGCCCGTCTTTGGCGAGCGTCCCAGTCTGCGCCTCAGTCTGATGCTAGCTTATTTTCATCATTGATTGTCATTTAGCGATGTTAAAAACGAGATATGAAACCTGCAGTTTATCAAAATTGCCAAAAAGTTGTGAAATGGCTTACAAATTTTGTTTTTCTTCGGGCAAGTTTGCCTACTTCACTTCCATTTCGCAGAAATCTTGTGGTTATCATTCCCAATTTTATACCTTTTTGGCGGGTAGAAACTTTAAACTTTTTTGTGAGGAAATGATTGTTGACTAATTTTTATAATCGACGTTGCAGCATTGACTTTTTTGCACAATATACTCAATTTTGATACATCAATATGAACAAGAACTATTCCATAATCAGTGTCTGTTTTAGTTTATTTGTTCTTTGTTTTGTCTAAAGTATAGTTATTTGTAAGTGCTTTGTTGGAACATTGTGATTAACAAAACCATATTGTTTGGGTGTTGTGATCGTTTTAATTATAAATTTGAGATCAGTATTCCTTATATATATAGATAAAAAAAGTGTACTTAAAAAATAATATCTTTGTGTGAATTTCATTCATTTATTCATAAACCTTTATACGTCTTTGTTAAAATATCCTAATAGCATAAATACTAAAAAATCGAACCATGCAGATGAAAATATGATGCAGCATGTTGAAGCGGTTGTCTTGGACCTAAAAGCGGTCGTCTAGAACCTAAAAACGGTTATCTAGAACCTAGAAGTTGTTGTCTAGAATATACCTTGCATGCTATCAAAGAATAAAAGTCTAGAATGTCTAGAATGTCTAAATGTCTAGAATAAAATGCATGCTATCAAAGTTCTAATTACTTTTTACAGACAATAAATTTGAACATAAGAAAAGCCACAACTCTATAAGCAAGTCCCATACCTATCATTACAGTCAAACATACAGACAAATTGTCTAATGGATAGTCATTTCTGTATCTGAAATATTCTGCAGCTGGGCGTAATACTGGATTTATCATATATTGCTCTAAGTGGAATATATATTCCACTGACCATCTGGAATACGACAAGCTACACACAAGCCAGCCAATTATAGGCAATTTGTACATCTCACATATGCTTTTGATGGTGCCAGAAAATAAGCAACAAACAAGGCCATACACAACTGCTGCCATCTGGGCATTTTGTGGATGCATGATCACCGATGCTAGGTAGGAAAACCCAGACGTGCTGAAGTAGACAATTACTCCAAGGAAGTAGTAATCTTTGAAGGATGCTCTAGGGAACACGATCGGATAGTTCAAGGAAAAGTATGCCAATGGTAGAAGTATCATATGGGGCAGATAGGATATTTCTACAGCCAGGTAGTAACTGGTCACTCGCACCCCTGCATTAACTTCTCTAAGTAGCTCTTTTCGATTGTCAGTGAACTGTCGAACTGAAATAAGCATTGACGTAGCCCCCATAATCAAGTTACTCATTACCGCCATAGACAGGACCTGCTCAAAGTCAACCTCTTTGTACATGATGGCATGAAACAACCCAGCAACGATGCTTAACAAGTAATTTAATATAATAATTTTTGCATTTCGCCACTGTAGCAAAAATTGCCTGCTTAAAATTACCCATAACTGCGACGCAAATCCTGGCTGCACTAGCGATGGCTTTCTCAGTTCTTTTTGTTCTGCTCCCGGACTTTGTTTAATTTCCCGATGTTGCACTGAGCAGTTGGATTCTCCGTTTACTGCACCATTTTTCCAGGTCACTTTTGTGATATAATCCATAAAACGATCCGCTGGATTAACATTCGTGGGTGTGGTGACTCCTAGAGTACTGAAAAAGTCGATTACTTTGCTCTGCGTTCCTTGGAAAATGGCTTTTCCATCTTTGCTAAGAAACAAGATGCTATTCGCCATCATGAAAACTTCATAACGAGGTTGATGTAGAACGCATATTATTGTTAGTCCTTTCTTTGCCAAAGATAGTAAAATCTTCATTACCAAAAGTGAAGTCGCACTATCTAAGCCACTCGTAGGCTCGTCTAGGAAAAGCACCAGTGGCTCAGCTATCAGCTCCATTCCAATGTTTACTCTTTTACGTTGCCCTCCTGACAAGCCTTTTCCATAGCGATCGCATATTATCGAATGCTGGACGTTGGTAATATCAAGAATTTCTAAAACTTTAGAAACTCTGTCATGAATAATTTTTCTCGAGTCCTTTGAACGAAGCATTCCTTGGTAGGTTATGATTTCTCGTGGTGTCAAATTCGAATGCATAACGTCGTCTTGTGGAACAAATCCACTAATATCTCGGAGAACTGTGGAGTTGACTTTTGAACCGTTGACAATTATATTACCCTTGATGCTTTTTGTCGGAATCTTTCCGCTTAGTATCTTCAGTAATGTAGATTTGCCGCCTCCACTTGGGCCCAAAACAGTAGTCAGTGATCCTGCTTCAAACTCGCCATTAACTCCTTTCAAGATCTCTTTATCGTCGCTCTTGTATTTTAAGTCTTCAAACTGAATACTGACTTTATCTTTTTCCTCCCTAACATTTATCACAGCAGGTTGCGATATACCAACTGAAAAAGTTATGTTTGGAAGGCTGGCTACATGCGTATCAGTGAAAGGATGAACTCGGTTGATCCTTTTTGTTATGTATTTTGTCATTGACTTCTGATGTGCGGATATCAAGTAAACAATAGCTAAAATGGTGAAAGTGCAAGTGCCAATCATTATGCATATGTCGATAGCTAAACTAGACTGGCCCTCTTGCTTGCAAGATATTGACAATGTACACTTTTGTGGTACGGTTGTTCCATACCTGCAGAAGTATCCTTTAGGGCATGTTTTTTTTGTCCTTGTTGTTGAACAAAAGTAGCCGTTTTCACAGATATTTGGTGCCTTCTCTCCGGGACACGACCACCTCGATCCCACATCAACTGGCTGTATAACAGTACCGTCTCTCCGGCAAGTAACAAAGGCGCTGGATTGGTTTAATATTGGATCCGGTCTTGATCTTTTGCAATAGGACCCAATTGGGCATGGCAGCATGCATGTTTTTAACGCAGGACAAAAATAACCGTCAGGACAAGGCAGTACTGAATTGTCATTCGATTTATAAAAACCTCCGCGACAAGCAAATGATTTTATCTCCTTTGAGCAGTCTGAAGCACCCCATGTCGCGTTTGCTGCTCCGACTGGAGGACAACAAAACTGCTCAAACTTCTTCTCGCATACTCCGATTGCAAACATGGCTGCTGTCTGCTTACAGAGGTTATTTGCATCTGATCCAAAAAACCAGCTAATGATGTAGAAAAAACCAATTCTTAAGTTTATTTTACGATTCATGATATTCTCCAAAAAACTGAAAATGGTAATAAGTCTGGAATCATTTTTTGACCATATCTACTTATATGTGAATATGCAAATGAGCTAAAATGCTGCTATTGTTTTATTCTGCGTGAAAGAACATATGAAACCAGAAATCATAAGATTTCCGCCTCCGTATGGTCTGTGACGCAGGCTACTTTTAATGACAATTGCCATCATTTTGCGGCGCATGTCTCCACTCGTGCCACTGGTAGGGAAATTGTTGCGACAAACTAAGCAAGTATCTTTTTCCAAATCTAACTTCATAATATGGTTGTCTATTGGTAACTGATTGATTTTCCGAGGAAGTCACGTGATCGATAACGTCGATAATTGTCTTGAAACAATCATCTTAACGGCTATAACATTTGAATTACTTTGCTTATAAAATAGTCCTTATTGCCCCAGCTTGTGCAGGCCTGTGCATTGAAATGTTTTAATTTTGTTGATGTCCGCATTTTTGTCGATGACGTCATCATTTTATGCATTAGTTTTTTTTAGATTTGCAGAGTGTGCAAAGTTCTGCTTTTGAGTTTCGATAGGTTGAGAAGACAATTGTGAAATTTCCCGTTCATTGATATTTCAATTTTGCTCACTTAGCATTATTCATTATTTTGTCGTTAAAATTTTATCTTTTTTGTAAATATGTCATTTGATGGGCCTTTCGCGACACATGACACTTCCAAATGACAAAAACAATTTCAGGTTTAATTACTGTTTAGTAAATAAAAGTAGAACTGTCACATGCTTGTTGAAAAGACAATTACAGTTGGTCAGAAAGCTGAAAATATTGTGTAATTCCAACCTCAGAGAGTACTGAAGTGTGTCGTCATCATAAATCTATTTTTAGAATTTCTTGAATTTGGCCGCATAATCTGAAAGAACACTGTAAAATACTCCCATTTATGCAATATCAGTTAAATTTGTCAAAAATTGGGTGAGCTATAGCCAATAGAAGATTTGAATTTTGCTAACGGATTACTGTTATTCTGGCCTGGTTCATAAAGTTATGAACCAAGACCAAATTACAGAGGTTTGATGGGGCAAAAGCCTGTGCTCAAGTGGCCATATCTCAGCCAATTCGTAATGCCTTTAACTGATTTTGCATTTTTAGAGGTATTTCATGATGCTTTTTTAGGTTCTGGGATCAAAATTCAGAAATTCTAAAAATAGATTTTTTTAATGACGTCATCACTTCGGTACTCTATTGGCACTGCGCGCAGGCTAGTTGGCACTGGGCGCTGTTAAACAATTTTATGCAGTCAGGAGATCTGGGATCCATTTGTTTAGTAGTGTCTAAATAAAAGGGGCGTGTGTCTGCACAGTTGCTTGGACGTATGTTTGTACATGAACCTATGTCGTTGGTTGTTTGCTTGTTTAAAGTGAAATTAAGGCATTTTAGGTTTATTTTGAGCAAATAAAGTTTTCCGCAAATTGAAAATTTTCGACGTTTTTTACATATCCAGGGCAAAGATTTTTCTGAAAAATGACTATAATCTTTTTCTCAAAATGTAAATTTGGAATTTATCAAAACACCTCAAACAACGTAGGAAATGTAAATTAAGATCATTTATAAATTAAGATCATTTAGTAAACCATTTATTATTTTATATTCCTTTGTTTTTCTTTACAGGACTTGTTCGGAAAGCAGTTTAATGTAATCTACTAATTTTTTATAAATATGTATATACTGAAACAATTTATCCTGTAAATATATGATAAATGAATATGAAAACGAAAAAATGAGTAGTGATGCCAGCCTGTGCTCTAGACCCCTAACCTGAAGGTAACCTGAGATGTGTTGCAATTGAGGTATAGTATTTTAAAAGGTTGGCTAATCCACTCTAAGGCTCAATGTTTACGTTATATTTCAACATATCGCAATGCCACGCCCCTATCGATAAATCACTATTTATTAAAACCAAATGTTGTCTTTTCCACGTGCGCCATTGCTTTGTTAATGAATTATTTTTTACGCAAAGAATTGCTTTGCCTCAACCGGTACTCTATATCAATATCATTGTACTCGTGAATATAGAATTAATTTCTTCTTTATCATGTATACATGGCTACAAGACTTTGATACACCTTTGCTGGTATCATCCCTAGAAGCAAGGATGGGGTTACCCAGGTTTAAAGGGGTATACTAATCATAAGCCTCAAAACGCTATACCTGGTGGATTCGCTATATCAAAATCGTGTATTTAGGTACATTAATGTGCATATTTACAGTCCTGCCTAAGGTTTCCATAGAAAGAGTCCACTGATGGGCCAAAACGTTTTAAAGTTTTAAAGCAGAAAAGTAAATCTATCCAGGCATCCGCCCTTTTGTTTTGACACATGACTTCAAAAACAAACTGGATCCCAGATCGTCTAACCATCCTTCTATTTTTTAATTTTAAACTTATGAGTATATCATTTGTTTATCGCTAAATATATTACGGGAAGGAAGGATGGAAGAAGAGGAGTTAATTAGGCAAAATTACACAAATTCAGCCAAAGTTTGCGTGGTTTTGGTTGGATAGATATAAATTTATTGCTCTTCTCGATGTGCCGTAACAATCGATGATGACCATAAACTATCATAAGCCAGGGTCTCCGATGATGAGGGGGAATCTTTTTCAAATTCTTTCGTTATGATTGATAAATTTTCCTTTGGCCTTAAAGGCACAGATGCTGTTATACAGCTGAAATAATGCCAGCTTTAGCTTTGAGATTTTTATCATTTTGAATACATAACTCTTCATCTATTGCGTGGCATCTTAGCCTGGAATACACTAGGCATTTTATGCCAGACAACTAAATGCAGCAATCATTATAGCCTAATGTATTCCAGCCTTTAGGAAATCTCTCTCTAATGTTTTGTCTTCGTGACACAACACCATGCAGCATTACCAGTATTGTTTTAGGATTATCCCGCATAATGGTGGATTTCCACTTCATTTCCACTTGGCTTCCTCTCCATTTTCATTTCGTGCAATGAAACATGCTCGAGGAAGGGGAAAGAAGGCATGTTTATGCTAAACAACTTTATGATGCTTTTTCTTTTGAAAGAAGATTGAAAAGTTAACAGAGAAAAAATTGCGAGAAGAGCATAAAAGAGTGAAACAGTTTCAAGAAAAAAGCAAAAAGGAAAGTCCCCCCCCCCCCAGGGAACTATGAAATTACTGGTGTTGCTGTGAAAAATACAGGAGGGGCCTTCACGAAAAATTTCTCAAAAAGAAAAGCAAAAAAGTAGGAAAGGGTTCTTTATAATATTGGCATTTACAAGGGGACTCTACAACACTGCCAGCTTTCATCGATGAAAGTTAAACTAGTTCAAGTATTTCAGTATGACTATTTCATACTGACTATATACAGTATGACTATTTACAAGTATTTCAGTAGTTCATGTATTTCAGTAGTTCAAAGTATTTCAGTATGACTGTGATTCAGCACGAAGCACAGCTTGTTGCTGAAGTTATGACGTAATGCCTCGAACATGATTGGCTGAGAGGTCAAACGGTACAAATTACGCGGAAGAAGCTTGCCTTGACTTAAACTTTCAAAAACGGAAAGCGGTACGGTAAGCGTACCGTTCTTGAATGTCAAAATATCTCCTGCGCATGCTGGTACAGCCTTTAGGATTGCACCATGCTGTGAATCCCCCTGTTTCTAGAATTACCTAGTAGTCTATTTCAGGCAACATTTTATGCAGAGTAATGTTTTTCTGTTTTTTCCTTGTAGACAGGGAATTTCCAACAGCAATCTAGCAAAGTACCTAACCTTATGTTTTGTTCTTTTTTGGCATTGTAATATGAGCAAAAAGTTCTGAAAAGTAAACTCTCTCGGACTTGTAGATAACGAGGTATTTCTATTTAAAGTTTGCATGACGTCATCAAAATGGCGGCTCTGCATTTTTCAATCACGTGTAATTCAAAGGCTGATAGTCGTAATTTTAGCTTGTTTTATCTCGATTTTGAAGTCTTTTGACCTTAGCGTTATTCAGCAACTCAAGAATGTCATTTGAGCTGCTATATTTACACGGCTGGGAAATAAAGTATAAGCATTGAACAAAATTCAAGCAAAAGGAGAAAGTTCTAAACAATTAGTCGTTAAAAAAGCCATACTGAAGAGGAGCTTTTGTTAGCAATGAAAGGTTGTCGATCCGCCAGCATTGTCAAGTACTCAAGTCAAGAACAAAAAATAAGGTTAAGTACTTTGTTCGATTTCGGACATGTAAGACCATAGAAATAGTTTAAGGTCGCTAACCGTATCGCCCCTTGTTATGTATTTCAGGATATTGTAATAAGTATTAGAGTTCGCAAACAACCTTCGTTCGTTTACAGTTTGCCGCTTGGATAAAAGTTTCGTCTTGTCATGTTAGAAGATGGAAATGAAAAGTAGAGCCTAGCCGCTCACAAAATCGCCATCTTTCAGAGTTTGGTTCTTCGACACAGACCTCAATTTCCAAAAACTGACCAATCAGTGAATGTGATTCTTGAGTTTGATTGTTCTCAACTATGCGTGTCGATAGAACCCATTGTTTGAACGTTTGAACTATAGTTGAAAGAATAGATCACATCGTCACTTTGCCTCCGTAAAGGTCATACAAAACACGAAAGTTGACCAAGAAAAAGAGGATAGTCACCTTACTAAAATACGATAGAACTTTAAGAGCAACGAGAGCAACGAATTTTAAGAGGCTTGCTCTTGTCAAAGTTAGTCTTGTTTCGGACAACAGAGCCCTATCCTCCGAAATCGTGATGTGGAAAGGGAGATAAAACGAGGGGTGTGGTTAATTTAAGTTCTCTTATTTTATCTTGGTCCAAGTAACCTGTTAAACTAAAGGATTTCGAAAAGTTTGGTACAAAAAGCACTTGCACTTTGAAAAATTAATATTATACATGCCCGTTATCTCGGACTTTAGTTGGTCCAATGCGTGTTTCAAAGGCACTTGAGCAGCAAAAGCCAGTGTCAAAACACTGTTTGCGGCCCCCTGTGTGTTTTGCTCCACCATTTTCAGTTAACCTTTTTGTTATTGCAGGGGCATCAACCAAAGAAAACCAGGCAACTGCACAGGCTGTTTCCACGACTGCTTTCAAAATGTACATGCCTCAAAATTGGTCATCAAATTTGCAAAAATTTCCTGTTCGATACTGATATGGCTGATAAATTTTTCAAAAAGGTTAGTTCATATCTGGTTATGCGTTTTACTTTCTATTTTATTACTGTACAGGTAATGGCTACATGGCCTGAACTGTACTGTGATTGTATGGCATTGGGAAAATATTACCTATAATTGCCAGTGGCGAGGTAACCACGATGGTTGAGACATCCTAGCACCTGCATTATAGTATGTTTATCTTAAATCGTCTCGCTTGTCAGCTGAGGTTTTCACAAAAACGGGCTATTAACAAAGCCTATACTGTATATCTCCTAAGTTTTCATTCTCTAAAGTTGTAGGAACATACCTTTACAAGCTACCAAAGTTCCGAGTTCCTGTCTTAAAACCCTTAAAATTAATTTATCGTCAAAGGTTTTTTATTTTCCTAAAGAAGTAACCTCTTTTTTAATCTATATCATCACAAGGCTAGCTTTCATCTTTGTAGTTTTTTTAGCATTTTTCTTGGTTTATATATGTGAGAATTTATCATTAAAAGCCCCTGAGAGTTCTAAATAAACACATTGCAGTAAACTGATTTTTTGTCGATGGTAAATTTCATGATAAAATTGATGGTATTTTCATGTGTATAACCCTTTAGCCCCTCTCTTGTTGTTACCATTTTAGGTTTAACCCTCTCTTCAAAAACAATTTCTTAACAATGATCTGCTTAAATTTTGTCTAGTTTTATGTTGTAATTATTTTTAGGATGCTTTTTGTTTATTTTTACTTTAATGTTGCTTTTGAAATGGATTATATTCGAGGAGCTTATCCTACTGCGTTGTTTATTGCAGAGATTAAACCGAGTTGGGTACATCTTTGACTTAACATGCTAGTAATTTACTATATCGAGAGAAAAATTGAATAGGGACAAATTTCTTTAATTGTCGTCACCTTGATGCTGCTATTTATCATTTCGATTTCCGAACTCCACTTCAACTACAGGTTATTGTGTAGTCATCCCCTTTCGTGCAATATATTTGCCTCTGGGCTCCTGCCCCCAAAACCCTTCCCTCGAAATAAAGGGTATAAGATTTAACACTTGAAGGCGCCAACGAAAGACAAATGAATTTGAGAAAACTTTTTTAAAATCATCATATTATCTGTGCGAATCACATTTTTAGCGATTAAATGTCTTCAATTTTTCTCAAAGCTACTTCTCTACAGTAATTCAAAGCAATATGTATAATTGCTTGTATAATAAATATAAACTTAAGTGCATAAAAATGCCTATGAAACTCCAAAACACTACAGTTATTTCTTAAGCCCAATTTAAACCCCTTCCTTTACGCAATTTGAATCAAACTGCTCATCTCCTTGAAGAATAAACTTTAAATTCCCGCTAATATTTCCTGGTTTTCGTTACGAGGTTGCTTTACTCTTAACTTAGATCTAATGAGTCATTTTAAGCTTAAAGATTAAATAATTGTAAGGTAGATTCTTTCCCTGCAATGGAAAGCTAGCGTTTTCTCTGAGCTTTAAAGTTACAATGTATTATAATAAGTTTAAAATCTTTGCCCTGAATTTCTGTGATATTCTCAAAGATCTATTAACCTATAAATGTTTTAGTAAAAATAGTCTTTTTTAAAATGTTGCAGTTTCTTCCAGTATTTCCACAATTTTTGTTCTTGATGTGACAGTCCTTTAAGTCCCGGCTACTCACACTTTAATAAAGATCCACTTTTCTTTTTAGATTGGATCTCTTCCATTGCGGCAGTTTCTCATACTCTGTCACAGTCATTCCAAATACCTTTTTGAAGTCTTCTGGTGACAGGTAGAACTGAAAGATGTTTATTGGCAAAAGTTTATGAAACAGTTGTCTAAGAAACTTTCTGAAGAAAATTTGCAAGAATTTTCAGGATTTGAGAAGACACAAGAAAACTGCAGGCTAATTCCAATATTTTCTAGCTACTACTGAAGAACGCATTCAATTAATTTGTTCTTTGAATATTCATTACATTAAGAGAAGTGATATCAAAAGCATGAAATCTTTTGCTTCAGATTTCGTTAAAAAAGTCAGATTTTCTATGGTGTGTAGTATGCTAAGATTTTTTAGAGTTAACGTAGAATTTTAATGTTAGATTCAACAGAATATCAATTTAATCGATGTAAATATTAGTTGTAAAGGAAAATAGTTTCTCCCAATGAAGCCTTTGTCTACTATATTATCTTCCATCTTTAATGTGCCAAGAATCCATGACACTTTTATTTTGGCATTTGATACTACGGTGTTTATAACCCCAAAATATCAGTAAATCCTCAGTTTTCACGCCATTGATCTTTTAACACCCCCTAGTAGAATAAATGCCCCCTATTTCCAACGGTTGTCAAACTGGCACCCCCAAACATTTAAAGGGGCATTAGAAAACATATAGGATACTTTATTTCGCAGGAGGGTAAAACATGAAAGATCTTCATTCAGACCCTATAACTTGTTTCCTATCATATCCATAAAAAACTGGAAATTCCGATGTGATCTTGTGATAAAAACAATAAACACAAAAAGCTTTTATTTTCTAAGCAAGTAAAAATGCACTGCCACCAAACTCAACCCCTGGAAACTCATAGGCGCATCGACAGACTGTATATTTCGTAGGCACGCATAGTCAGAAAAAGACATGCGTAAATACTTTGAAAAAACTGGCAGTCAAATTTTTCTAAGCCATTCCAACGAAGACCTGGGGTGCTACAAGAACCACTCCCCTATACTCGTATTCTAGCAATGGCCTATTTGAACTTCAAGTGTCACTTGATGCTGCAAACCTGTTCAAATTTCTATGAGCCTTGGTTTGTTAGTAAGCTATTTCTTGAGCAAGGTTATTGATTTCCGTTCTTCTGTAGAGTACATAATGTAATATTTTCCTACCGTATAAAACTAAAGAACATATTTTCAGACAAGTAAACCCATAAATATTTACCTCTTTCTGTGTTGGATCGACTCCTGGTGGCAAATTTTCAACATCAACTTTCAGGTTCTCATAGCTATACTTCTTGTCAAATGAGAAATTGCGTAGTTCCTAAAACCAAAAAATACAGACTTAGTAAGAAATATGCTATTTACTTATTTCAAATAAAACTTTTCAAAAGTCTATCATTTGTAGAACAAACCAAGAATAAAAAACCATTTTATGACAAAATGAAGAGTGGGAGATATCATATTAGTGGTCTTGAAAGCATCTTTCACAAATCGTATTAGAATAGGTAACAAGTAGCATTGACGAATATAAGTCACATCATTTGATACCTAGATGTGGAATGAAAAAAGCTAGAGCAGCCCCGATTTGATAAATTCTGATCCGTCAATATTCTCTTAACTCTATCACTTTGCTTCAGGATTTTTTGAATAATATTTCATTCTGCATTTACTTACCTCCTCTACCAATGATATCCCTTCATTTTGCAGCTCAAATCCTTTTTTCATTTCATCGTAATTCTTTTTGTTAGCACCCTGTCAACAACATTTTGAGAAAGTCACATGGCTAAATAAGCCTAATTTTAAGCGGTACATGGCTAAAAGATGGTTGTTTTAAGTGGTTTCAGGTTGAACATTCTAAATCTAATCTGATGCCCATATCTAAAAGCAAACAGTACTGTCTCGGAACAATCGAAAATTTCTAATGAGAAAAGGTGTGTACCAAATAGCTAAGTATATGTTGGTTTAATCCAACTCCAAATTGGTAAATACTAAATTTCGAGCTATGTTATAACAGTAATCCAACGTAATAATATAATACCAAAGTAATTTACGAGAGGTTGGTTACCCCATTTACGATGTTACTCTCTGCAATTATTGTGCAACGAATTTAGTTTGAAGTGAAAATTCACAACTGTTCAAAACTCAGTCATAAACTTGCCTAACACCAGGTATGTAGCTTCTACTTAAATTAATATTTAATGATTAACATTAAATTAACAAATCCAATTGAATTAGCAAGAAATTAATAGTCCTATAAACCCTATTTGCACTAAGAACCAATTAAATATAGTAAAATAAATTACAGAAACAAGTCTGAAGATGGCTTTGAAAAAAGCAAAACGTTTACAACATACTGAAGCTTTCGGCTGACAGTCCTTAGAGTAAAGCACTTCAGAATCAGGGTCGAAATATAAAGCTTCTATTTAGGTCTCTCAACGTACTTCACTCGCAAAAGTTTCGATATAAGTCTCTATTAACTAATTTTCACAAATTACTACAACTTTGCTACAGATATTGCAAATTTTTCGCATATTTGTTTAATAGAAACTAGATATAAACAAAAATACTTACCGAGAGCTTGCTAGGATCCCAGAAGTCGAAATATCCTGTAAACATCGCTGGCTCATAGCCTTGCTTCACAACTAAAAGGTCTGTTTCATCGACTTTTCTGCCACTTGGATCAGTTTGTACGTATTCCTTCGAGAAGAAAATTTCCATTGACGACATTCTTCTTCAAATATAAGTATTCAGGTCAAATGAAGGATATTTTAAAGAAAAAAGCACTCTTGTCCAATTAGCATATTATCTAAAAGATTTGCATCAAAGTCATAATAAGCATCATAATCCTAATCATAACTATGATATTTCTATTGATAATAATCATCATCATCTTCAGTAGCAATGTTGCTGGTAGTTTCATTGTCGTATCAACAACATCCTGACATGATACCTACCTTAGCAAATGTGAAGGCCTCTTTCTTCTCTTTCTGGTTCGAATCTTTTCCAACCCAAACAAAAACTTGCTCATAGCAATCAAGAATCATTATGTCGTCCTCTTCAAGATCTTCTTGGGTGAAATTGTGAATCTCTTCCACTTCAAATCTGCCAGTCGCGTTTGAGCAATGAAATAAACGCGGCGGGTAGTCGGTCTCTTCAAACTGTAAAGAAAAAAGAAAGTAATGCGTCAGGCAATCTGGCTCAAAATGTACATGATTAAATTCACTTGAAATTATTTTCAGAATGTGGTATTTTTCACCATTTTAGTCTATTTTCAACCCAATTGGAGAATATTTCAGATAATGATTGTGACTAATGAGATGGACTGAATCGGATTTGCAAATCTCTTCCTAAACTGGCATAATCAAAAACTCCATCATATTTGCCGCTGTGTTTCATTACGGTGTACCGCTTGTCACTTTGCAAATATTCAACCCAAGCCCTGCTAAAATTTGATACTAAAACGGCTGCAGAAGAGAATTTATAGTGAGGGCTTTAGGAACAATTTACAAGAAAGATTCCATCGAGCAGTTTTGGGTACCCATCTAATCGACCATTTTTCGAATAAGATAGGAACAGTTCAATCTCTTTTTTAATTGCAAACCATAACTTAAATCTAAATAAAATTCTGATTTAGGCTGCATTTCATTGGCTGCCGTGACTGGGCAAAACAACTAACAAAAACTCACAACAAGCCTTCCTCCTGTCGCATATTCCGTTTTCCCGCCAAGAATGTTCCAGAAATCGTCAGGCTCTTTCCCTTCCATCACAATAGTGAAATCATCTTTGAACTTAGGAGACACAATTCCTGCAACTTCTTTGGCTAGCTCACGTTCGTCACCACTGCAGCCTTTTCCATACCAAAGAAAACCAACTTTGGCGTTGCATAGCACGAAAACATCATTCGAGTTTAGTGAGCTTCCCACGGGATCGACCTAAAATAAACATCAATATAATTGAATGACCCAAAAAAGAAGTGCTAAATGGATGCAGTACATGAGCAAGAATACATTTTGGCCCCATTTCTATTCCTCCGTTTTCATACGAGCAGAATGAACCCGTTCTTCAATTTGGTACCATCATCATGATAACGAAAACGGAGTCATTTGGTATCATCAAACCAGAGTCGGTCAATAACGATGTTCAAGTGGAAATTGAGACATTTGGAAAGGATTCATTTTAATGGGAACGGCGAAAATGGAATCATTAGAGAACGGAGTCATTCATTCTCGGTTTCAAAACGATTCCAAACAAAAAATATAAAAACAAACGAAAATGGAGTTGCGGGAACACCTTCATTTTTCATATCAGACTCCTTTGATGAAAACGGAGCAGACCGGAGTAATGGGAACGGTTCAAGAAAATACGAAAACGGAATAATCTGAACGTGGAGACGTACAAAAACAATGTAATTGGAAAAGGAACTGTAATGTAATAAGCGAATGCAACTGGACCTCAACTCCTTACCTCAATAGCCTTTCTGCTCACAGCAGTTTTACACTTGATTTGAAATAGTCGTGCACTGCCTCCTTTCTCTATCTCGGTCCCAGCACCTCTAAAACCACTGGCTTTACCACCCTTTGAAAAAAATACATTTGAAACATAATTGGCATTTTACGTATATCTAATGGGTTCAGCTACAAAAATACGGGAGATCGAAAAAAGTTTAATGATGAAATGTATGTGTACTGAAAAATAATTACATCTTGAAACAGATATCTTTAGTGTTAATGAGCAGATTTTCTTTACCTTATAAATCACCATTCTTCCTTTAAAAATCCTCATGAAGTGCTCTGTCTCTTTGCCTTGAACAAGCCTCACCTAAGGGATGATACCAACTTCTGATTATTAGAAGTAGAATGACATATAAAAACGGTTTTTGATTAAAATGAAATAAAGAATTTCGCAAAATTTGTATCCTGCATGAGATAGCGTAAATCCTCGAATAGACTCTCACTTTCGAATAAACACCCCCCCCCCCCATCAAATAAGCCCCAACCCAAGAGTAATTTTTGTCGAATAGACCCACACCCTCGAATAGGCCCCAAGGACTGAGGGATTGCCGCGACAGCACTAGGTTTACCCCAATATATCTGCTTGTTTAAGTATATTTACCAGCCTCAAATAGAAGGAAAAATTTTACTCTGGAAGAATTTTTTTGCTGCTGCTAAATATGCCCCATCTTAAAAATAAACCCCTTCTAATTAGCCCCCCCCTCCGAACAAGCCCCCATCCCAAAATGTTTTTGCGAGACAAACCCACGGAGGCTTATTTGAGGGCTTAAATTTTTCTGTATAAGTAAATATTTACATACATACATAGTTAAGAACAACACAAGAAGCAATATAAAAAATAGTACAACTAAAATCAATCTTTATGAAGATATCTAGCCAGAAGTCGAAAAAATCTTGATGTTGAGTTCTTTCGAATGACAGATACAGTTTTTAAACCTGATCAAAAGCCATCTAAAAATGACAAACCTTATTAGAATAAAAAGAGGAGCCAACCCACCTGAACAGCGGCTCCACCGAGCTTGTCGTCAATACCAACAGCATGCAATGCGGCCGCACCTTGTTCATCTTGAGTGCTTGAATGTCCCTGTGGAAAATGAAATCACTTGAGTGTTATCAGTGCAGCCTTTTGTAGAGTGGTTCATATATGCCTAAAAGTGATATTTTGGGTAGATTTCTTTCCCCTTTTCAAAAAAGTCATTTAGGAAAATTGACGGATAGAAAATCGAATCTTGCTAAAGTTAGGACCTTAAGCCATATATTTTCTTACTATGTATAAAGAAAATAAGAGGGTTTTTGACTTACCAACCAATAATAAACCACGTAGTTCTCCTTAGAATTCTTTTTGTATGTATAGAGAATGACGTAGCTATCTCCACCAAAAAATATTCCTAGCATATCGGATGACTGAGGCACCAATTCAAAGTCTTCCACTCTCCAAACTTCAGCAACACCTGAGCCATCGTCAAACAGTTTCTCCTCTTCTCTTTTTCTTTTCACGTGCATCTGCTGAGCATCAAACTTCCTTTCCTCCACAGAAGCGATTCCACGACCAGCCGAGTATGTTTTATTCGTTCCCGTCATAATAGAACGAGGCCAGTTTGTAAACAAAGATTTGAAAACAGGAGGCTCGGCCTTCTCGGTTACCCTGGTAACTGGCGTCCAATCAGGGTATCCATTCGTTCGTAAGAAGTTCTAGATATTGAAACAAATACCGCTATGTTTTATACATAAAACACTTAACTGCTTGCAGAAAAAACATGGAATGATGCCCAGCTTCAAGCTGTTACTCTTTCTTTGTATGTGAAAGATACATCGTAACCATGAAGACACTCTTATAATCAGCATAAATAATTGTAATCTCGACGGGGAATCAAAACAAACCCTGATTGCATTTCTTAATATGTGCTTCACCTAGATACTTATATGAAAAAGATGAAAAAAATGCTAAACTTACAACTGCTATTTTCATTGCATTCAGTTTCTCATCTTTGTCTGCTTTACTACCAATCCAGACAAAAATATGGATTCCACCTTGATCCAAAATAAATGCGTCCTGCAAAAAAACACATTCGACATCAGTGACAATAGATTAGCCAATGCGCTGATTTAAAGAGGCAAGGATGCGACATATTCTGCAATAAAATATCAGTTTATGCTATAAGATAGCATTAATACCATTAAGAAGAGATAGTAACAAGAAAAGAAAAGACTAAGACGCAAAATTGGATTTAGTGTATCTTTCAGGAAAAGATTCTAAACTCTTGGTGTGGTTATTGCGCGGTAGGTAGCACTTGCTCAATGGGAAATGTCTCACTGGCTTTTTTAAAAGAATGATCGGCTAGCTTAACGGACTGTTAGGAAATCTTGCAAGAGATTTTATCATTACTCGTGTACGAAATAAGTATTATAACAACATACTCAGTTGCTTTTACACGTGTTTTGTTTGGAATTCAAAAGTAGATTGATCTAAATCAGTTAATCTAGACTAAACTTAGCAAAATAAAAGACAACGAAGAAGTTAAAACAAAATTATATGCATTTTAGAAGTTAGAAATTGCAAATTGCAACCTAAAATGAATAATACTGACATTGCTGTCAAGAAGTTCATGCTTCAGCATTCCAGCTCCAACTTGCTCCACTTTGATCTGTCCGCTTGCATTTGACACTCTTGGAGGGAAAAAACTCTGAGTTGATTATCCATTCTACTTTGAATAAAGTACAAGCTCGAATTTTAATGCTTTTTAAAGCAAGAACAAACTAAGGAAATTATAGATGATACCTGTAAAGAGCAATCTTGGCAAGCTGTGCTCGCTCCACCTTTTCATCGGAGCCACCTTCATCTGCAGCCTTCACAGCTCCTGCTGCAGAGCCAAGATCAGTGAAAAATTTGTTCATTGGATGATCTTTGCCAGCTTTGGTGAACTTCAGGGTAGGGTCGTCCTCTGTTTGAAAATCAATATGTTTGTTATTCAGGTTTTTGGTTAGACAGCTTCAGCATACATACTTACTCATTTTTACAAAGCTAGTTGTTGAAAGTTCAACAACTATTGTTAACAGCATAACGAGCTTACTAACTTTGGTTACAAAAATATTTTATTCATGGTGTGAATAATCTAACCCAAAAAGGCCAAAAAGATTCAATATGATGGCATTGGCTAAAGTACAGAAATTAGATGCAGAGGGAAGAAAAAATATTAATCAGTCCTTTCGATTGATGAACTTTATCGTACATACCAAAGTTTCGATCATAAATATAAATGATTTTGTTTAAAACCGACCCCTAAATATTCTTGCAAATTTAATACACTGTTACAGAAAAACATTATTGCTATGTGATCGTGTTGTAGTGACCATTGTCTAAACGTAATCATGTCCTCCATTGTGTCACTGTCATTAACACTTCCCATTGCCTTCGTATCCACGTAACGTAATAAACAACACATGTATAGCGTCCCCTCGTTTTATATATATACGCCCAGTTTTGTATTTATTTAATTAGTCACTAAATTCATAAAGACGCAACGGTCAGGCAACATCGTCTCTTGCTGGCTCCGTGTTTTCTGCACGTTAAACTAGATCATAAAACAACAGCATGCCCATAAAAGAACTTACAAAGGAATTAATATAGGAACCATTCATCACCAATAGTGTCATAAGTTCAAAACACTAGCGTCAACGTATAGAAGCAAGATAACCCTGCTCATTAAAACAGAACACATCTATAAGATGGCCCTATGAAAGTTAAACACAAAATGAATGAAGCAACAAAAGGAAGAAGAAGAAACTTTTAACAAAGCATGCAGTTTCTGTCTGGTGGAAAAACAAATTATTCATTTGTTAGTTTTACGTAACATTGAACATACCAACAAGATAAACATGCGCTCTGCCTCCTCGCATGCTGTCACGGATTTCGTTTGCAAATTCCATTCCCTACAAAAAGAACAATAGCTAATTCTTAAAATCGAAAAGTGAAAATCAGTTCAAATACTTTATCAAACTGAAGATCTTTAAGTCTAATTTCGCTATTGCTCGATGTTATTTTCAGCACATGTGCTTGGTTTCTCACATTCAAAGCTTATTACAACTAAAAAGGTTCATCAAAAATATATCAGGAATAAAACTGAATCCCCGCATTTATATACCTTAAAAAACTTACAAGCTGTTATTCTTAAGCTATGAACATTGTACAAAATAAGAAGTTGTGTCAGTTTGATAGGAAAAAAATCTCATCACAAGGGCGGCAAAATCTCTTTTTGTTTCTTTACCGTTATGCTTCCTCTGGTTTTTAAACAACAAAGTAGAGTCAGAACAACAGGTCCCAGCTTTGCATATTTAGCGCGATATATGCAATAAATAATGTCCGGAACTTCTGTTATCATTCTTTATTAAGACTTGGTCTCCTGCAGTTTGGAAGGGAACAATGTTTTCATCGTGAAAAAGCTAAAAGACTGTTATCTGCACCTGTCTTCAGTAAGCTTAATTCCCTAATCTAACCCTATTTAGTTTCTAAATCAGAAACTGGTTCAGCCTAGCCCTAACACAGTAGGTTCCTATATGCAGGGATTTATTGAAAGATCAGAATCTCAAAAAATACAATCAATCCAACAGATATTCCACTAAAGGTAACATTACAAAAATAATTTCCTTATTCAAAGCAAAAAGAACAAATTGTTGTGTTAACAAACCCGAATTCTTTCCAATTTATTGCTTTCGTAGCCACACCACACCCAAACTTTTGTACCATTGTCAAGGATAAATACATCTCCTCTGTTCAAAGATTCGCATTCTACAGGCACCTACAAAAATATATTTGTTAATGGCATTTTCAAAAAGTGAATTGCCGTATCAAAACAAACATTGCTTTTAGCAAGATCAACAGTCCTAAATAGGATATCACCTTGATACAATTTCAATAGAAGATTTGGACAAAGTTGGTTTATTCCTTCTCTCGATAATTTTTTCCAAAACAACAAGACATGGAAAAGTGTCTTGAAAATTATTTGAAATACATCATTGTTTAATTTCATCTATATTTACGTTTTAAGTACGTTGGTAATTCTTATGAAATATTTTTTGTACTTACCTATTGCCCATTTATTAGTTTATGATGCAGGTGGTCAGTTTATGAAACATTTCGATTACCAAATTATTGTATTCTATTCTTCTAATTGATCAATGATTAGATAAAGCAGTTTTATATTATCGATCTTAGCAGCTAAAAGCATACTTGTTATTTACCAAATAAAATGCCTTTTCAAAAAATGACTTATGGTTACAACTTCAATAACCTTTCAAATGAAAGATAAAAAAGATTCATTTCTATACAGACCTCGAATACTCTTGGACGCTTTTTTCCTTTAATTTGCAGCAGTCTTTTTTGTGTCTCATTTCCAACATGTTTGAATCCAGTTGCAACTCCACCGTCTCTATATCTACAATAACATTTAAATAATCTTGTAAAACAGCATATAAATCCAAGGTGAAACAGACAAAGAATTATTCAGAAGATCATGCTTAAGGCATTCTTCAAACGCTTAAACACGCAGATTTGTAGTTACAATGCCAAACAAATGATGTTGCAGATCCATCACACCTCTCCACGACACCCACCCCATATTTCCAGTTCAATCATCTTTGCTATCAAAATACGTAAGAATCAAATAGACACTGGATTTTACATTCATTTTGCGAGGCCTCTTTTACGCGTTTGTCCCAACAGCTGTGATCAAGATTTTATATTGCTCCCAAAAAAATTAATTGCTTTCTAAGCAATGTTATCATCGAAAAAGTCTTTTCTGCAGTGGAACGAATCGAAACCACACATTTGATCCGATTTCTGGCTGTTTCAAATGGGCTACTTCACATGCTGGTAAATATTATTGTAGTGAGACAATTTTCAATGCACCTGAAGCAAGGAGGAGTCTTACAATGAGCGCCAAATTATTGTCAGATACCAGTTTCAAATCATCAAAGGAAACAATTAGAAAATTTAAATGTTGCCAGGTTAAATACAGTATTAACAACCACATCCAAACACAGAAAGGATGTGACAAGCTTAGTTTGTGATATAAGGTATTTTCGTTTTCGAAGTTTGGAGAAGTTTTCCTGGACTTTTTTTAAAAAGTCGAAAAAAGAATCAGCTTTCAGAGAGAGGAAATTTTGTCTGTGCTTAAGGTAAACTGCACAAATAGTTCTTAAGGAAACTATGCCGTGTAATGTATTTGATGTATTGGTATTTTCATGTCCTTCTGCATGCGATCGAATAGATGTGTCCCTGACTTTAAATCCCTAGTCGCGATGCTCCTGACTATCTTTAGTCATTTAATAAATTAACTGCTACTTACTCTAATTTTTTGAAATAGGACAAGAATTCCTTGCTCTCGTGCTGTTGAATCTAAAACGAACAATTAAACATAGCTCATCATTCAGATTTCTTGGATAAAACATTCAATAAATCAATACAATCAATCGTAGAAGAAACTCTCTTTGAAGTTCAACCTTTCATATTGTAAAGTAAGTTAGGATAGATATAGGATGCAAAGCTATAAGTCTTACCTCTCGGTATTGTACAGGAGACCCACCAAGGTAATCATCCAATTCAACGGATTTCATTGCAGCTGTTCCAGCTTCATCCTTAAAAGAATAGGATGTATTCTTGAATGTCTTTTCACACAGTTGCAGAAAAATTACTATACAGCTTCAATGATAATTAACGAAAGGTAAAATTTCAATCGAAACTAAAATAATTTGTTAGAACTCAGGACTCGATTTTCTATCTATAAATTATGTGTATGGTTACAACAATTCAGTCTGAATATCACAGTAGCCAGCCAAGTTCTGTGCTCCACACTCCTAACATGAATGTAAAAACCGCTAGATGTTTGTTTTCTAACTGAGATTAACCTTCAATTATCAAATAAAAATTAATAAAAAATCCTTCAATATGTTTAATGAATGGGGGTGATGGAGTCTAACTAATAATCTTTCGAGGAAACTTCTTATGCAGAACATACAAGGACATGCAATAAAGGCAGTCTATTTTCTTTATTTAAGAAAGAAAATTAAAATTATAATTTGGAGAGTCTATATATTGTTGAAATAATATAAGTAATTTATATACGTAATTTAATACGTAAATATATACGTAAATAATCTATATAAGAAATTTTTTAGAATTCTGAGCCAACCCTGGGTAAAATTGAAGGTGGTATCAATATTCTGTCGATCAGATGCACGAAAATCACATCATAACAATATATTATATGTTAATGATATCAAAAAGATTTTAAAATAGCAACAAAAGAATATTCATGGTGCTGATATCTAAAAATTAATTCAAGGCCTCGTTATATCTTAAAATGTCTTGGTTAAGCCGTAAGCAAGCAAGGACACTTTAAGCGCTTTAAATCAGTGGCTGAGAAACTTGGTTTAAAATAACAGTCCCTCCAAATTAAAGCAATGTTCTTTTAGATCAATTCAAAATATCGGAAAATCTAATGCATGTTTACTTTTGATGTGTTCTTTCCAAGCCAAAAGTGGATGTTGAAGCTAAATGGTGCTTGCCTTCCATTAGTCTATAGAGGAAGAGAATATTGTTACGAATCTTGAAATACTTTCACTGAAAATACTATTCAACTTTGATACAAACTTCAAGCTGGTAAATAAGGCACAAAAAGTTTAAATTGTTTGCTCCTGATTTTTTAAATAAATTTCATCATATGTATAAAGTCGGTTGTTAACTGCTAAATTAAAAGTTCAGTTTTCATATATTTTTTACCTATTGCAACGACAAGAAAAACAACGAAGTTTCTCAAGGTATAGAAAATTTTAACTTTCATTAGTAAAAAATTGAAAATTACTTTTAATGCTACGTATGAATCGCCATCATAAAACACTCCATGATCCTTTTCTGGTAGAGGCTTCAATGCAAAGTTCTGAAAAAAAATCAAACATTAAAAGTCATTTTTTATGACAAAAATGTGTACAGGCCACACTCACAAGTCAAATTCAAAGCGAAAGTCAAATGCTGTCATTTGTCAGGCAGAGAAAAATTGAATCTCAATGCAAATTTCTGGACCGTCTCTAATAGCTGAAACGGAGCATGACTACACTCATTTTTATAAAAACGATTTTATAAGAAAACGAGCCTTAAAATTGGTCAAAAGTTAAGAACAAATAAAGAACAAGCTGAGGCTGAGCTACTGTAAAATGCAATTTTTGACAATGTTTTATCTCAAAAGGAGGAGTTTTTGTCATCAGGGGTGCTTTTCCGGTAAAATTCAAACTTTTCGGCAAAGAGATGGTTTTCCACTCACTTTATTGGCAAACGAGGCCTGAACACATCCCTAGAGAGCAATATCTAGCCATTGCACTGCTTATACCCTAATAATTTAAGAACAAATTAAGAACAATCCAGCCTCTGATTTTCGAATAATTTAGAACAGCCAGCCTAAAACACAATTTACTGGTTCTTATAAAAAAGAGTATATGTCTATTGAGGCAGTTTCTTCCAAAGCCAAAGCAATAAGAGTTAGAGCAAGGTATGGAGTTTTACATATAGTCATGGAATACAATGATAGTAGCAAAAGTTCATAGGAGGCATGAAGAAATTGAGTTATGACGAGAAGCCTACGGAGAAAAGCTTTAATAGCACTCTAAAATAGCATTGATGCTTCTAAACCGACATAATAATGTTTGGGTAGGAGTTGAGTCAGCTAGTAGACCAGGGTACCAAGCACTGCGATACATAATGCCAATAACTGATAACCTAACTTCGTCTGCTCTATCTATCGTTCCACTACTTGTTCAATTTCAAAATTATAGGAGAAACGGTATATCAATAGTCCATGATAAAATTAAAATTGTTTTTTATGTGTTGGCAGCACTTTAGTCTAGAGTGAATAAAATCAAATGTTTTGCTTAGACAGAGCAGGTGAAGGTTAACAGAAGACAGTCCTAAATGCACAGTTTGACAGCATTGATGTCAAGCACGTCACCATACGATAAGAAGCACTTTATATCAGATAAGGCTATGAGATATAAGGAAAAAGATCTAGAGTTACGTTCATAGTTGCTAAATAATATACAACAACATTGAAATCATCTGTTTCTAACATTCACAAAACATGGATGTGGAACAAAAAAGTTGAACTGCCTGTTATGCATTCAAATGACAGCATGAACATTATCACTGACAGCTTAAGTCAGACATCGATTCTAAATAGATTACATTAAAGCTCTCAAACTACAACGGATAGTTGCAAAACAAACATGAGCAGTTACTCCTTGCACAAGATTTTCTCAAACTCCCGGTGGTACGGACTTTGGGCAACTCTATTCTCTTTCATAATATCCCCTTAATTGCAGTCAAAGCAAGAAACAATCAGGGACGTCGGAAGCATTTCAAAGCTGAAAGGCTCGAAGTAGGAAAGAATACTGTCTCAGAATTGGACACAGTAAAACGTAGAAAAAGCGGGACATTCTTAGAAATGATAAACGTTTTAAAAAATTGAAACAGGCAATTCTTTGTAAAGGACCATTATTCAGAAGTTTAGGGGGCACGTGCCCCTGGTGCCCCCAGTTCCGACGTTCCTGTGTAAAATAGATTTTTTACCTCAATACGCCATATTTGGAGACCAGGCTTGATTCCAGCACTTTTGAAAGCAGGATCAGATGGCATTGTCTTGTTGTTATTTGTCCTAAATGAAAACAGGCAAATCATGAATTAATAATGGTCGCGTTAACAATATAAAGAAGATGATGAGTCAATACTTTCAAGCAAAACTTTCAATCAAACGCTAAATTCAAGGCTATAGCATGGAAAGAGATAAAAACAAGGAAATGAATGCGTTGATTTGCCAGTTTTCCTTGCCTTTGACTTGTAATGTGGTTAAACAAACTATAGGGCTTGATTCAAGACTTTCCATGTCTCTATGCATGTTTTCGATAAATTTACGGTTACAGCTGATTTAGCTTTCCAACCGAATCCCTTACAATGGTTTTGAAACTTTGAATATCTAGGTTATTTGGACGAAATCCATTTCGGTACCAGGCTCCGTCGTCTTCAACCCTTGGTACCAGAGCCTCATAGCGTCAAATAAAGTACAAGCAGGGACTAAGGCTCTGGTGCCCAGCGTGCTCATCAGCCTTCCCTGCTAGAAATTCGCGAATAATCAGCATGCAGATTTCTGTTTTTTTAGTATGGTTTGGATGTGATCTAATTTAAAATTGGACACAATTGAACAAAATCTAGTTATAAACTCTCTCCATGAAAATGGATGGACTCTTCTGCGGCCAAAGTTTTTAATAAACACATGCAAACTGGTTATTATTGACATAGACACCTTTATGTAACCATACATACATCTTTCTAACCTAAACGAGCAATTATTCATGAGTGAAACAATATCAGGGTGTCAATGTAAATAACAATTCAGCTTTGTATTTAGAACCACCATGAAAATAGTATTCTGTAGCATCATTGAGGCCTAGATAAGTATGAAGAATTTTTGCCAAGAGAAATGTGTCTATGATTTAGGCCACAGTGGCAAAAGTTATGATGAATTAAAGACTTTTGCATGATGATAAAAAGTGATAAAGTCAACGAGATAGGGTTGAGTGAGGGCAAATCCCCCATTGGAAATCTTGTACACTTTTTGCTTGTTCATGCAAAAAGTCCTTTGGTTTTGCATTTGCTTTGGAGGAGTTCTCGAGAAGTCTTTCTGCATGAGGGAGTTGCCTCTCGATGCTGGGCTGACAATCATTTTAAAACGTATCATGCTTAAAAATGAACTGTATATGAATGTAACGAAGAAGTGTAGAGAAGGCATATTTGGTGAAGAAAGATTTGATATTGACATAACTTTCATGCAATGTTTTTGCATGGCAACTTTTGTCCATTAATCGATGCTCAAAAAATAAATGATAAACTTAATCATAATAGCTAACGAATCAAAAGCTGACTTGATAATATGAAATCGTTCCTTCAAGTAACAACAATAAACCTGTACGTAGCAATGCTAAGAAATTATTTTTAGGCATTACAGTTCTCATTGTCAACGAAATCAGCCTAACTCAACATAGAACCATTGACATGGATGAGCGTTCAAAATAGAACTACAACGAATTCACAGAGAATATCATATTTTTTGTGGTAGGTACGTATGTGGTAGCAAAAAACATCACGTGAGACAATCTAATGTTTTGACCAATACATTTTGAAAATTTTCCAGTCAAGGACTGACTGCAAAAAATGCTAAAGATTGTTTCAGCTTTAAGCCATGGTGAAAAGCAAATTTTGTATTACAGAAACTTATCAGCTGTTTTGCAAAAACAAACATAATTTAGCAAAGCAAACAATATGCAATACAATGCAGCCAAAGAAATCAGTCAAAACATAACAGTATACGAATCTGCAACTTTGAATAGCAATCTTCGAGCACGCAAATAAACTTGTTAAGGACAACAATGAAGAAATTTGATTCAAACGAGATTATATGAATTGCAATTTACCCAGTGTTGATCATGCTGCTACGTATTGCAACGATAACCAAGAGCAGAAAGTTACGAAAGATTGCAACCGGCCTTGCGACTGCGAGAATGCAAACTTTATCCTTTGCTAAAGCAGCAAGAACGGTGAAGAATTGACTCGAATTATCACACCTGCCGATGATGCGTTGTTATCAATGAGGTTGGAAAGAAACCTGCTTCATTAAAGACGCGAAAACTCACTAATGTGGTAACCCGTTCGACTTGGTATAACACAATTGTCAACTCAAACCAAGCGCTAACAATATATTAAACATTAATTCACTCGCATAGACAGCCGCATAAAGAATCACTCGCTAAGCAGGCCTGTCTAGAGAAGGTTTTGCCATCACGGGAGTATTTCTTCAAAAGGGAAGGGGGATTAATCTTAAATAAATGCTGTTAAACATTCTCTACTATAAAAATCGGTCTTTGTTGAAGCATTTGACATTTAGAATGGGAAACAGATGTTCATAAAGCATGGCAAAGGGCAGTTTTCGCTTTGTATAAGCAACTAACAGCAATCGTAGGATCGTAACGATTTTCCAAATATTTTGGGAAATAGTTTGAGTCTAAAACAGGTAAGAGCCAGCGCTTATAATGCTTATAAATGTGCTTATAATTGAACAAGCCATATAAATAAAGTGCAACGCTTTAACTCGCCTTATTGAAAACAGATTCAGATAAAATGACATAGACAAACGAAATTGACGGAGTTACTACTGAGCCAGACTTTCCTCTGTTTTAGTTAGCATGTTGTTGTTGGCATGACAAGGGGCGGAGATCAACAACAAATTCAAAGGAGGGGCAGTTGGTAGTGGGGGCGCTTGAAGATTTTCAGAAATTGGTGACGAGAGTACGCTATATACAACAATTTCAGACCTTAACTACTGACAGAAAGCTCTCTATTCAAGTTCTAAAGGAAATTTTCACAATAATTGTGCCAAATCATTTTCAAAAAGAGGCACTAAAATTGCTTCAATTCTGTGAGCGAGGGGCAACTGCCCCTGGTTGCCCCCCCCCCCTTGAATCCTCCACTGGACGTGACACCAGCCACCCATGCTCTTCAGTTTCTTAAAGGGACTGGAAAAAACCGAAGCGCTTTTAATGATTTTTATCAGAAACAATAGCACTTTTCAGGCTTAACTTCACGAGGAAGAAAATTTTGAGATCAAACATAGTATGGAATGTGTAAAATTTCATAATAACGGCAGAGGAAAAAAAGTGGAGAATAGAAGAAGAATGAAAAAATGAAGCAGAAGTAAAGAAAAAGAGGGAACAGAAGAGAAACCAGAAAGAGGAAAAGGGGTTGATGAAGAAGAACAAGAAGATGAAGAGAAAGATGAAGTAAGAACACGAGGAAGATAAAATTGGAAAAATTGCAAAAAGAGAAGAAGAAAAACAAGAAAAAGAAAAGAAAAGGATGCATAACGTTTTTGGGTTCTGCGATGCGTTGAGACGTACAAAAGGTTACGTGGGTCGAAAGCTATGAGATTTGCTGTATTTTCAATTCCACATTTTTTTATGCTCCTTAGCATTTCTTTGTTGATATTGGAATGGTCGAACATTGAATAATTAGATTTAGAGAACGAGTGGACGGCAATCATGGAGAGTTGTTGGGCAGCAATCATTTGAATGGAGGTTGTTGGGCCTTGAGTCTATCGATTAGAATTTGTGAACATCGATTGTATTGCAATAAGCGTTTTCCGATAAAATGGCAGGTATCTGATTAAAATCTCTTGTTTGCAACAAAAAGACGTCTAAAGATTTTTCAAAATATTTTGTTCCGGTACTTTCCTGATCACTTTACCCCACCTCTGCATTTGAAGAAGGACTGGACACCAAGTTATATGAAGGATTATAACCTAATGTCAATTTTAAGTTTAACGGTCTTATCCAAAATGATGACATGAAATTTTTTCGGCTAGGTTTCTGTGCTGATAGATTCTAAAGGATGTCATGTGAAAAGCGATCATTGTAAAATAACATTGATTATTGTTATTTGGCTCTAACAAGATTTCATGAATAGTTTTCGCATTATAGAATAATCCTTTTGATGCATAGTTATGCAGAGAATTTGTAGACGAGGCAAAAGTATTGTGAGATGTCGCATCACGCTTATCAAAGGTCAGGGGAATAGAACGATGAATTGTGCTCTATGGTTTTGTGAAACAAATCGAAAGGAACCTCATTGTTTTCTAGAGAAGCAGACTCACTTTCCCATGAAATATTTGTAAACAAAAAAGGGTTATTGAAACGCTAGAATGCGAACTCGTGCTTTGAGAGCACCTGGACTGATACTCAACGTACGACAAGTGACTAAGATTCTGAAAGAAGAAATATTTTGAAGATCAAAGCTTTAATATTTTCAAGTAATTTCGAAAGAGTTTTCAAGAAATCTTTCCTGCAAGTGGAGCGTAAATTTTGAGAAAACTATCAATTAATATATTGTTTGAATTACCCTGCCCCAGTGCGATGTCTTTTTCTAGGCAAATATTATATTGAAAGTGCTAGGACAAGCGAAATGAACCGATTTTCTGTGTTTTCTTATGAAATAATAGCAAAGATTGAAGGAGTAATGCCATTGTCAAAGTCACTTCAGTCTAGCATATCAATTATCGCTATATAAGCCTCCTGTTAGACTCTTGTAGAACTTACTAAGCAACAAAGAATCAATGAGAGTATATGCTGGCGACCGGGCATTGCTGTTCTGTTTTGTTCAATTAGATTTTGGAAGCTAAACCGACCCTCTTCAAATCGTATCTGCGTTTAAACAGGAAATATTTTGCAAACATAGTTTTTGACAACATGTTTCGTAGGCCTTAATCACCAACTCGACAGTACATTGCATCCGGTTTGGACCTCAAACATCTTGATATGGAGGGAGCTCAAGAGAAACATAATGACACGTGCAAAAAAGAACAATTAAAAACATTGCAGAACTACTTAAAATATAATAAAAAGTTCAGAAATAGAATTCTTCGGAAATAGTTAGAAGCAGGAACGTAACATTCTTTGTTCCTTAAGAATTATAAAATGCTTATCCCGTCTTTTTCCCTAATATGAAAATTTGTGAAACTGAAATGTTGACCCGCCCATTGCATGTCAGTAACGCTTTGATTTGATACAGTTTCTAGACAACTGTATTTCTGAATTTAGTAACGGTCTATATTTTCTGCATAAAAGTGGCAAACAAACAACATTCTTAAACAACTAAGATAAATTCAAAGATATATTAAAAACTCACCGCCTACACAATACGGCACTTGAGAAACACTGAAATGAATTAAGTTGTTTTGGTTTTGAATAAGAATGCTTCATGACAAATTCTCCAATCTAAGATGGCCGCCAATGACAGATAAGAATAGAAGTTCTTTTATTCGGCGCTGTCGCTCGAAAAAAGACCAGAAAACACAGAAAGTTTGATTTTCACATCAATAATATATGCTAGTGCTTACGGGTATGCCTATAGGTAACTATTCTAATGTTAAAATTAAAAACTTTACAGAAAATATGCGCAAAAAACCAACATTATGATTTATGAATCATCAATAGCCATAAGTGAAAGATAGTCTTTGTAATAAACGATTCCTTTATCTGGATCTACTGCAGCTGAGAGCATTTCTTCCATCTCTTCTTGCGTAAAAGGCTCTCCTTGAATGAGAAAAATATAATGATAAATAGATAAACACTGTTGGAAATCATAGCATCAAAACATTAGCGAATATTTACTCTTGGAAAAAATATACTTCTGAACTCTATTCATACTTGAATGGCCTGTGTGTGTGTCTTACATCATTTTATTTTCAAGACTACCAAATTGAAGGCCTTGCACCTGCGGATGTGTACTTCATTCCTAGTTTTCTAAAACTTCGCTACGATGTATCGAGTTTCAATAAAAGAAAACCTTTGGCATTTCTGTGAAACGAAAACAAGAGTACAAAGTTTTCATAGCACGAGCATACTTCAAAGCAATAACAGCTGTTGTTTAATTTTGGGACACTGCCCTCAGTCTCCAAATCAAAGCAAGTATATTAAAGCCTCCATTACTTAAAGTATCGACCAGTAGCAACAGACAAGGAACTTCAACAGCAATTCTTCTTATACATAAATTAGCAAGTTTAACAACGACTGCAGCCTTCGAAAAATCATAGGGAACGGAACAAAACTGTTGGGATTGCCCTTTCTTTACTTTTGTCATAGATTATTACTGATTTGATCATAATCAATAGGAAAGAAATATTATTTCATGTAAAGAATTACAAACTGTGTAAAGGTCAATTAAAACTACCTCTATCGCCCATTCCAGTTACAATGAAGCAAAAACTTTCAGTGAAAACATAGCAAAAAATTTAACTTGAAATTTAAACAGACTTGTGTTAAGTTAGTAATTCTAGATACCAAGTTCTCACATTTTTGGGGGTTTCTAAGATGTGTTTGGTTCAAAACCCCAGATACAAATATGTCTACACATGGTCAGCTTTCTCTGCTTAGCTATAAACTACACTGGGAAATTTACCCTGCAATGTAATATGTTTGACTTGTCTACAGATTAATCTTATGTTTTAATTCAACTTATGCCATTCCTTTAAGCATGTTCGTAGAACGTGTTTGTATCTTAGCAATGCGTTTTTCGTGTATGTGTGTGTTTGTGCCGTTGGCGTCATTCTGTTGTCTTGACAGAACGATTAAGATAAATCTTGAGTTCATGAAAGTGCTGTCTCTCTCAGTCTTAGGGCCTAAGCACGCATCCCTCGACGCTTTTGAAAAGACACGTGAAGGCCACAGCAATACATGCGTTAAACGGTGCGTGTTTACATCCAATCAAATGCCCACAGTGGTTTAGTATTCTATTACATCGAATTATCTTTTTTACAGAAAGATAGATAGATTTCAAGCAGTTCCAAGAAGACATTTCAAGCATCACATAATCAACTCGAAAACGTTATGTGGAATTAAAGCACTTTTTGCTTGGCTATAGCATAAATTGACAATAGGCACATTCATAACAAAACAATAAAGTATTTTATGGTTGAATTAAAATAATTTCTAGAAAATATATAATAACAAGACAATATCTTAAGAAAGACAAAAATATCAATTCTCGTTGGAATTCTGTTAAGGAAACAAACAAATCTTTCTTAATATAGCTTCCTTTCCATGAATCTAGCATTCATAATAATTAACTGAATTTTGATAGAAATTAAATGTGCAAATGATTTATTGTACGAAGCAAGAAACCTAGCCAGCATCTGGGAAAGTTTACATGATAAACCAAGCAACTTCAATCCCGTATGATAATATTTGAATTGAGTAGACTCTGTAAAGTCAACAGTTTTCTTATTGATAGAATGTAGCAGGTTCATATAGAATAAATCAACTAAATGTATAAAGCCATTTGAGAGGTGGCAATGCAAACAAGAGTAAGCTTCATTGATGCTGAAGCAGAAAAGCTGAAGAAATGACAAGTAAGTATCAAGCTATAATAAAACAGGCTTTCAGCATGTCTTAACTGCTGTTTGAGCGTTGTTCATCAACAGAGAAATGTGCTTCCATGGCTTAAAAGAAAACTCAACTTCCTTCTAAGGCCAGTCTAGGTTAAGGTAATAAATTTGATCAGAATAGGAAGCAACAAGAAAGAAAATATCCTCTTTTAAACTTCCTTTAAGATTAGATGACTTGTTTATCTTGAGTGATTTTTGGGATAACGTATTTGATGAAATTTAGAACAAATGAGAAGAGAAGAAATGAAATGATATTTAGAACATGCTTTTGACGAGAATTTCCAAATAAAGTAGATGGGATCGAGATTGTAAATCTTCCAGAACCTCTCCCCAGGAACGGATCTTGAAAATGTTTTAGGCAATGAACAAAGTCTTACACAAGAAGTTTTCAACAAGATTACAGTCCTAGAAAAAAGGTTATAGGGATACACTTTCTTTAAGAAACGTTCTTTGATAGAACACCGACGAGAGCATCTCAAAACTTGCTTAATGAAGGGGCGAGGAATTCTTTTTATTTGGAAATGATGAACAATGAATTCTTGTACATTTACTTTTTCTTTTAACCAGGATAAGCAGGGAAAACAGCAATTATTGTTGAAGATTTTATCCTGTAAAAATATTCGTATTATTATTATTATTATTATCATTATTTTATGTACTATCCCAATGTCCGCATAAGACTCTGCCTGTTGCAGTCTTTTTCTTTGATCTTTGATCTAATTCTTTTGCCACTGAAGCAGTTATTAAACCTTACAACTCTATAGATCTGCTTTTAGGGAAAAGCATACAATATAGCTACTCCCTGAGGCGGTAATGTGATTGTCGCAGAAGAGTTGACAATTTCTTCAATTCTGATGCTTCCATTTTGCTAGAAATTCAATCTTTGAAGCTAAATTTAATAACAGAATTTGACTCAAAAATAATATCATCAGGCGAAGAAACTATTGGAAAGATTTAATCTGTTCTTCCTCGTGACAAAGTCTTGATATAGGAACTGTTCTGATAAAGTCGTTCTTCGCGCGGTGCCTAAGCATTCCTCTCCTTTTTATGAGGTTAGGGGGTAATTTTAGCTAGTAAAAGATCAAAACATCAATTTAAATTTTTGGACGCTTGCAAAGATCGATTGCATTTCTATGGCATCAAGAAATGAAAAAAGATGTTCCAAAAACGTGTTTCGCTACGGGTTGGTTGTTTCTTAGTCTCTTGAAATCAATCACTACTGCTTGCATGCAGATTTCGAAACTTTAAACGAATCAAGCTTCTAAAATTTCTGAGTGGGGCAACCACCTAACCCCCCCCCCGCCCCTCACCCCTTTCCTTCAGACATGAAAAGAAGAAAACTAATTATATATACCTTCTTCGGTCATTAGTTTTTGTAGCTCATCAACTGTTAAGAAGCCTTTAGATTCTTGATCAAGAACCTAATTGAATTATAACAGTATAAACAATAAAACAGAGAAAACTTGAATTAATACAGTGGGACCTAAACACCAAAGTAATTATAAGATAGATGTGATTTGTGCTAGAGTTACAATTAACACCTCAATGGAGGTGGAGGTAAACAGTGTTTCAATTAACATGCTTTTGAAATCAATCTAGCTATCTAGAATCAAAACGATATTTCCCCAATAATGATAACAGAAATAAATTCATGACAAAATGACAAAGACAGACTACTGAAAATGCTCAAACTTTCAGGGAAAGTCATCCAGTTGATCAGTTTGGCATCATAAAAGATTTAAACAAGACTACTTTCAACAAAATAAAACAAGTTATCAGTTTGGGACAAAAGCTAAATTTTGCGTTATGATGTCAAAAATCTTTATTGCACCTTCATAAAAAGAGGGTCAAAATGTCATAAGCTCAAGTGATTATTCTTCATCATAAAGAAATTTCTAATGCCTTAGGGAAAGTAGTATATAGAACTGAGATGGGATTTTTTTAAAATCTACCAAAAGTAAAAAAGTTCGAATAGCTGAAAGTATTTGGCTTACAGAAAATGCTTTCAAGAGTTGCTCCTCATTGGCAGGTTTGTATCTAAATGGAAAGGAAAATAGCCAAATGATAAATGTTTATCAAAACATGCTAAAAGAAATAGAAGGAAAATTTTTGCTTTCAAGCAAGGAGTTTAACACTGCAGCAAAAGATTTAAAACCGTCTAACAACTATGTTAGTACTGGGTCTCCAAAAAGGTATTTAAAGTTGAGATTAAAAAGGTATTTAAAGTTGAGATTCAAAAGGTATTTAAATTTGAGATTCAAAAATATTTTCAAATGGTATCTTTAGCACATATATGTTTTATATAGGGAAACAGTTTACATATATTAAGCCTCCAACTAATTACATATGACAAAACTAATAACAAATCAAATTCATTTATTTCAATTAAATAGGTGATTGAATTTAACATAATCAAATTTCCAAAATGAGACTATAATATTCGGTGCATAGATTAGGCCTTTTTCTGTGCCTTTTAATCAGTATTACATTAAAAAACAATTAGTTTGCTAAATATTGCAGGAATTTCAAGTAGAACTTACTTTCTTTCTAAGAGTATCTTCATCATTACTGGTTCAAATTTTTCAAATCTTATGTAGCCTGTAGGCTCTTCTTCTTCAACCTGCATAAAAGTAGCTTTAACATTAGTGCCAAGGAATAACCATGATTATATAATGAATAAAATCTAAATCATAAAGCCAATTCACATCTATGCATTTTTCTGTCATTGTCAGATTTAATAAAAAATGAGATATATTTTGGCACAGAAAAAAGAATGAGCAAGAAAGCCATACAGTGGTATATTCACAAAGAATATGACTATCATAGCTTAAAATGTTAAGTTTTCTTGTGTATCATTAATCTATATTTTTGAGCATGCATACATCACTAAGAATATCGCTCAGCTCTCCTTCACTTGGACAGCAATTCAGTGACCTCACAATAGTACCAATTTCCCTAAAATGTAAATATAAACAATGAAAGTACATGGTTACATAACTCAAAACACACCCTGGGCAGAACATGAATAGCTCCATACACAATGTGTTTCTTAATTTTTCTCGGTTCTTTTTTTTTCTTTGGCTACATTTTTAATGTAGAGTATAGGAGAATGACCTCGGCAGTTTATATATTTTACTACAAACTAAAGGATTTTGAGAAACACTCAAACCCAAAAAGTATCAATTAAAAAATTATTACCAATGTAAAAGTTTGTTCAAATCATGAAAAATTTTCAAGATTTAAAGATTCAATTACAAAGCAAAAACAACATTGCCATGAAAATTTGAGCCACTTTTTAAAGTCATTCAATAGTCGAACCAAAGATAGAAATATTAGCCTTTTTGCCTTTTTGGCCTTTTTGCTCTGATGAAGCCCCTTGTGCTGGGGCCATCTTTGGTTTGTGTGTTTGTTGTTATTCTCGTCACATTGTGGTGTTCCTTATATACTACTATAGAAATATTTCCAACTTCCTTAATCTAAATCTTGAAAAAGCAGCTTTTAAAAGGCCAAAAAACTCAAAGCTTTGAACACTGAGGCAAAATATTTTTTTGTTTCTCAAGGGAATCCTGGTCATTTCATTTAATGAGGAAAAAATATAGTTTTGAGTCATTTTTCAGCATCATTTCCTCTCTAAACAGCAATGCAATGGATGGAAAAATAAGGTGTTTTGATAGGAAAAATATAAACAGTTCTTCAACTGAATTCATGCAATAAAGTGTAAGGTTGCCTGTGACACTAAGCCTAATACTATGCAAACAGACATTTTGCCGATCTCTAGCAACGTTGGATAAAAGGAAAATGTTTATAATGGAAAATGTTTATAATGGAAAATGTTTATAAGGCTTGGACACATAACCAGTATATCCCAGTTTCCCTTAAAATATATTCATTCCCGAAAGAAAACATTTAGTATCATCAAACCAGACATTCATAGACCTACTCAAATGTGAATGTGAGATGTTACATTCATGATAATATTATATTTTTTCAGTATTCATTCATTCTGTTCTGGAGATAAATAGTGTTTCTTTGCTGTTTTCATGCGATATGAACCTATAATAGATAATAATATGCCTTTTAAAATTTCTTAACAGACCTTAAAAGGAAGTTCAAGACTGCATCAACATCAAGAATGCAAAATACAGACGGACTTTAAATCATCAAACGAAATAACAAATTCTCTTCGGAATAGATCAAACCTTCCTATCTCAATCTTTACATTCTCAACACAAATACCTGACGATGCCGTTGCAAAACATTGTTGCGGGTGCAATAATGTGGAAATTTCCAGTCTGGGCCGTTTGCACAACATTACTATCAAGCCAGCATGCAAGGCTTTATATCTAAGGTTCTTACCTCACGTCAACAGTTTTGTTTGACTCATGATCAAAGATATCAAATGCATCAGCGATTCGTTTTTGTAAGTCTGCTGTCGTATGTTCTAAATCTGATTTTTCTCTGTCCTCGGCCATTTTGCTTCTCAATTCCTCAAAAAATTATCTAGCCTAGCAACAAACCTCGTTACCAAGAAACCTCATTGCGATGAAACTTCACGGAGAGCATCAAACGAGAAGCAAATGGAGAGAAAATGTAGCAAAATTTAACTAAAACTAAATATGATGTAGAAATATGCAAAACAGGTAAAAAAAGGAATCTTTAGGTCTCCAGGTATATCAAAATTGAGCTATGGACTGAGGGAAAGGGTACAGAGCTCGCAACCGTCTTTAATCGGACTTTTTAATCGGACTTTTTAGCGTGTCCTTGGATGTCTTCACTGGAGACGTTAAAATACAATTTACTATATATACTATCATCATCACTATCAGTTTTGCCGAATCCAACTTACTCGTGTATTGTTGCACCTGCAAAATGCGAAAATAACTTCCCATTGAGTAAAACTGTAAATAATACTTCAACAAATGAACACCATGCTTAAGAAACCCCACAATATCTTGAATGTTTACAATATGTAAGAAAAAGTGTTACAAAACAGGCTTTCCGACCTATGGCTGGTAGGATGGTAACAGCAGTTTTCATAGGCTGTCAGTTGCCGACAAAAAGGGATTGAAAATCTGAATGAAGCGTTCCCAAATATTTGAACTTGAATTAAACAACAGCTTGGGTTTCTTTCAAGACAATAATTAAGCATAAGAAAACTGTCTAATGACCTAAATACAGATTTGCACTATCAACCTTTGTTTAACTGTTTAAAATGTGAGGAAATTGGACTTCACTAGATTGGAATCGCACGAGAATGGAAGACTGAAGAAAGCAGACTAATTACGAGAAACATGTTCGTCTCTGACAAATGAAGATTCATTTGTGAAAGATGTATGCTACAATTATTGAACAAAGCAAAACAACATGACAACGACAGAAGGTTAAACGGAAATTAAGCAAAAATGTATTCAAATGTAGATATGATAGACAGATGACAGATTTACTATCGCTAACCCAAATCTTATTCGAAATCAATGGAAAGACTTGATTGCCGCTAGAAAAGGTGATGTGAGTTAATTATAAGGATCATCTTATCGAAGCCAATTAGAGAATGAAAGCAACTTGAATATCTGAATTTAAGTTTCATTGTCAAGTGCAATTTTTGCTACATGTAACGAAATATTCCGTCATCAACATTCAAGGCTTGATTTAACAAATTTGGGGGCTGTTGATTTAATAATGTCGCCACCATTAACTTCAGATGCAGCAAGTATACATAACTTTACTACAGCTGTTTAAAACACGAGGAATCGTTTGGTTTATTCAAATAAACTGCAACAAAACTTAAAATACATTCCTTTCAAGACTTCTCATATGATGAAAAAGACAAAACCCAAGTTTTAAAATAATAAAAACAAAATCAGCATTTGAGTTATTATGAAACGGAGCATGTACAGAAAGTTGTGGAAACATACGTCAGCTTATTTAACCCAAAATTAAATTAGTATTCACTTGTTTAGAAAAAAAATAGTACACACTAATAACAAGGAATGGCAAAATTATGTTTAAAATCGCTGAGCAGTTTAACAGTTTGTATTTTTGCGATTCTGCTGATAAATTAATGCTCAGGCAATTTGAAGGAGTACACAGATCTATCGATTATTGCTTGCATTTGGGAGCAATTCACTTAAAGTAAACGAGTTATTTTAATCTACAATTGTCATTATCTATACAAAACTATTGCTATTACTACTATCATTAAGTTCTGTTTCTTCATGAGCATCAAGTTCCGACATGTCTTCATCTTGATCCATTGACGTTTGGGTGTCATCAAGGGTAAAGGGAGGAGGATTGAAATCATCGTCCTCTTCTTGAATATACCTTGCCTCTTTTATCATGCTGTTAGCACCCTGCGGGTCTAAGCTCATGGCCCATGAAAAGTTCATTTGAGCTAGATGTACTTGACCCAGCTTCCTATAAATCTACACGAAAACAAAAATGCTACATGAATGTAGGCAAAACTGTTGATTGACTTGTTAACTAGCGATTGAGAAGAACATGTCTTCAGCCATTTAGCGCAGTAGAACAATGTAAAGGAAAGGGTCAGCATTCGTGATTCCCTTTAAGAATGCAGCTGATAAGAATTTATTGTAAGAAGAGCATCTTGTAATGTAGCATAACATAACATAACATAACATAACATAACATAACATAACATAACATAACATAACATAACATAACATAACATAACATAACATAACGTAACGTTACATAACATAACATAACATAACATAACATAGCACAACATAACATAACATAACATAGCATAACATAACATAACATAACATATAATAGCATGACATAACATAACATATAATAGCATAACATAGCATAACATAGCATAACATATAATAGCATAGCATAGCATAGCATAGCATGGCATAGCATAGCATAGCATAGCATAGCATAGCATAGCATAGCATAGCATAGCATAGCATAGCATAGCATAGCACAGCATAGCATAACATAGCATAACATAACATAAGAAAACATAACATAACATAAAATACTCTAAAATAGCATAACGTAATAAAATAACAATAGAAGTCTTGTGAACTCACCTTTCCAAACAAGAAATACACTAACGCTTCTCTAGGAACAATCTTCCTCAGTTCTTCTAATTCACCAAGAGCTTCCTGAATTAAGAAGAAGTATTTTACAGCTTGAATTTAAATAAACTAAGCCCAATTAATTGTTCGCTGCTACAAAATTTGTTACAAAAATCAAAAGGGGATTTCAGAGCCAGTAAATGTGAAAATTGAGTGTGAAAATCAAATTAAAGTTTTAAATTGTTTGTGTTGTGTTTAGATCTTAAAGTGTCAGCAAAATTACAACATTTGCTATAAGAAAGCCACCAACAGCATACGGTCGCTAAAAAACTTGAAATGTTCATAAAAAATCAATTTTCACGTCAGGCCCATCTCGAATGCACTACATATATTCAAAATAAGGAAGGCCAAGCCCAAAATTAAATCATTTATCTGGCTTGTATGTGGGAATCCCTTTACAGAGAAGTTCCAAACTCATAAGGCCCAAAAATATCAAGTAAATTTACCTCGTATCGGTCAAGGGTGTAAAGAAATGAGGCTTTGTGGTATTTGCAAAGTGCGTTCTTTGGCATAAAATGCAGTGCCTTATTCACAGTTTTCAAAGCTTGATGGGGCTTTTTCATCGCATGCTGAGTCTGCAAAAAAACAACGAGCAGTTTAACACAGGCATTGCCATTCTTTAGTAGCACTGATAGTAAAATTTTGACAAAGTAAATAAAAAAATATACCTAACATTTGTAACAGAATCATAAGAGAATTAGTTTTGCTTTCTAAGGTTTTCTTTACTCCAATACAACATACAGTTTCTTCCGTCATACTAGATCAGCCAACTCAACAGATTTTATATCAATATTCCCCCGACCTTCATAATTCTTACGTGCATTACCTTAGTCCATTTCGGAATATACAAGCCAAATTACCCTCAAAGTCTTTAAACAACACTATGAAACATATTAGCCTATTAGCCTTTTTATCAAATGACCAATCGATGGCTGCGACAGGTCGTTTCACAATGACATATAACAATGACATTTATCAAATCCGACTTTCATAATATTTGCTAAATTCTGTGTAGTTGTGCGTATCTCAGTGATGGTCCACTTGACTTACTAATTAAAGAGCTTCCAAATTCGGAACAAAGGCAATTTAATTTTCTTGTTCTTTATCAAACGTTATAAAAAACACTAGAGTTGTTTACAACCAACAAAGGAGAAAAATCCTTAAACGCAACCTGAAACATTTACTTTACGTTATGCTGTCAGAAAAATAACTCCTTGGGCCCAGTGGCGGACACTTGAGGGGGCGAGGGGGGGGGGCGACCGCCCTCCCAATACTTTAGAGGACAATGGTCTTTTGTTCTAAACAATGGGAAATGTGACGGCATCTTATTAAAACAATAGGCTTGCCCCCCCAATATTTGATCACGTGTCCGCCCCTGCTTGGGCCGCAGAAGCCTTCGTCATTAAAAATAAAATGTCGTAACTAGAAAACATAAGCATTTGCTAGTTTAGAGAAGAGGTAAGATGAATAGGGTGGGTTGACCATCACAAATAGTACAGTGCTGGTTGAAGCATGACTGTACATTCAAGGTGAAATGAGATGGTCCTTGGCTCGAGTCCCTGGCATGACCAAACTTTCACCCAGAGTGAGGAGAGTCGCCAGCTCTCTGTAATTTCAAGCGTAGGAATCACGAGGTGTGGTCACATCGAGAGGAAAGACGAGGACACTGCTCGATAAGCATAAGCTTTTCAGTGTCCTAAAAACTACCTTCGGATGCTAGGTAGAAACAAATACAAATACAAATGAGATGACTATAAACTACCCGTAACTATTAAGAGAGATATATTTAAACTCAAATTAAGAAAATGACAAGACATTAGGCGCTGCCTCAAATAGTCGCTGCCTTTAGTCATTAAAAGAACTTGACTTTTTTAGTTCAAGCAATTTTCTTTTCTTCGCCAATGAAGAAAACTAAAATATTTGAAAATGCAACTGAAAATTCACGAAGATAAAATTGCGGCCTCCTTTAAGCATTGTCTTCTTCTAATTTGGTAATTTCGTAATTTCATCTTCAAACGAGATTTTAAAGGTCACTTTTTAATATAATTTTCAGGGGAAATCGAAAAGTAATGGCAGCTAAACACTCTTCCGAGTTTTAAATGCTACAATTAGTTATGTTCTTTGTTATAATTGTAGAGCAAAATGAAATTAAAAATTTATAGAGAAAAACCTTACTATTGGAAGTTAGACAGTGAGTAGAAAATCCTAAATTTATTCCATCAGAAAACAGGACATTAATTATGTTGCTTAAACTCTGACAGAACACAACAAAAATAGCTTGTGGTTGCTTTATTTCCCTGCTTCCTAACAAAAACTTTCACATCGAAATTAAGTATGAATGACATTTACATACTGGGTATAAATTAGAGACCCTACCACAGCTAAATGACATAGAAGAACCGAATGCTTTGGGTTTATCTGAAGCGATCTCAAGAAATGCTTCTCTGCTATGTGGTAATTCTCCTGTTTGTAGCAGATCATTGCGATGCCGTACCACGCATTATAGTGCCTGCTATCAAGACGAATTGAGGTCCGGAAGCAGGACATGCCCTTGTCGAGTTCTTCAGTAAGGACATACTCGTGGCCGAGCAGAGTGTACGCGTAAGTGAAATCCGGATCAAGTTGAATTGATCTTTGCAGAAACTTGATGGCCGAGTCGTGCTCCTTTTGTAAACTAAAGCAGTTGCCCATCGCACACCATGCCTGTAAAAACAAATAAAGGTTTATTACCAAGGAAAATTTCTATACTTTGTGGCAAAATCTTAGGAGGATGGCCCATGTCCGATTTTTGACGCTTAACTTATGTTTTCGGATAGCCGTAAGTTGCGCCTATGAACGTATTCCGATTTAAAATGTGACCCGAAAGGCTCTTAAACGCATATCTCTATAAGCACACTCCATGTACAAGGTGTTCGTAGTTGCCCCGTCACTTACCGTCCACTTGCCTAGTTTTTGCGTATTTCATTGAGCGAAATTATTGGATTCTCCACACACTTAAAAAAGCTTGAAACGGTGGCTGAGTATCATTATGACACATCATGGTATTTGAGAACGTTACTTCACAAAATAGTTTTTCAACTGCAGGAATGAAGGTACAGCAAATTTAAATGCCGTCTTCTGCATCAAATTTGATGACATGAAAAGAATTTATCACCAGTATTAGTTAGTGCATCACTCTGTGGTGGTATATTTTTGGCATGTGGTTATGTGCCTGATCGCCAGCTGTACTTTTTTACAAAACAGCACTTCAAGGCGTATTTTTGAGAAGACTCAGACTACGTCGTAGTGATAAATCGGGCAACGATCACCAGCCGGATACCGAAAACATATTAAATTCACCTTTTCGGAGATTTATATTTACTACTCAGATCTTTTCATTAGGCTTAGAGAACACGTATTTGTGGAGGTCAAGTTAAGTTAGCTTCCACAGGACATGCGGAAGTCAAGTTAAGTTAGCTTCCATAAGACATGTTGTGGAGCTTAAGAAGTGAGATTTAAAGGAGACGAAATTCAAAACTTGGTACAGGCTGGAAAAAATACCACCATCCTGAAATATCTTTGCATTACTTTTATGTAGGACAAACGGGGAATCGCACGTGGTGGCTTGGATTCACTTGTTATTGAAAACACTGGATTCATATTAAAAGGTATTAGCAAATTTGTACTTTCTTCTTTGAAGTATTTAGCTTGATGCCATATTAACTGCTGTCGAATGACTTGATACTGTAAAGTAAGTTCTCCCTAGTTTACAAACAAAATTTAATCAAAGAAACACAAGCAGCCAAGCACATTCTTGGCATCCTGTGTTGCTTAGTTTCTTGCTGCAGCAGTAAAAATGGCTTGCTATGCGAATCAACTACAGCCGTCTGCCTGCAAGAAACTTTGGTTGGGAAACATAACTCATAGAGCAATCTTTGAATTATCTGGCAATTTAAACAACGAAATACCAAATAATTATTTGAATTCGGCTATAACCAGTCATTTGTTATTCAACCTGGTGCTGTTGGAAAACGGGGATGTTTGAATCATGTACTTTGACATGCTGATAAGCAGCCCACGTGGAGCTTCAACAAAAATCTACTGTTTACAAGTTTAATTAAAATAACTGTTTTACCAGTCTGTCATAAAAAGCTCGTTGCCGTATAGGCAGAGCAGTACTCGCTTGGTGTGTAGAGCACGATAGTACTTAGTTACTCCAGGTGTCTCACTGAATGCTATTATCAGGCCCTTCATAATATTAACAAATAGATTTTAATCATTAAAAAAGTTTATCTGTGAGTGGCTGGTATTCAAAAACCTGTTTACAAGCTAGGAAGATTTTAAAAGCACTAGGTTGGTATTCTCTCACAAAAATATCATTAAAGAGGACGCTTCACATATCTAAAACATTCATAACTTTTTGCTCAGTCCCAGCAGCTAGCGCAGAAAGAATTTAACGAACCCAGGAAACTTGTGGAAAATTTCAAAAACAAGGGCTTTGTTAGTTATGCTCTGTTTGCCACATTTCAACGCTTTTCTTCTTCAAGAAAACACTGCGAAGATAATATCTTCACTTTGTTCTGCTAAACAATACAATGCAACATTCTCTTTGATTGTGTTTGCATTACCTCTTCGATCCATCTTACATTTTGCCCTTCTGAGAGTGTGTTTCGCAAGAACAAAATCGATTTTTTTTCTATTGTTTTAATAGAAGAACAGAATGACAAGGGTACTTGAAGGTTACTACTAGTTGCTGAGATCTGTTGTTTTAAACAAAAGATATTCAAAATATCTTTAAAGTTGTCTAATAGAAATATGCTGAAAATAATATTAACTTAATTGAGGTTCAAACAAGACCTCTTTTTTGATTAGCTTTTAAGGACAAAAAACAACCAAAATTTTTTTAAGCTCAAAACCTTGAAATGATCAAAGTTAAAGCATGTTAAATATAAACAGACATGAGAGAAACACTTACTTCGGGTGAAGAACGATCAAGTTCGACCAGGTCCAATGCGACTGAAGACAACGATCCTTCTTTCTTCATAAACCAGAGTAAAGTTGAATACACGTCCATTCCTGAGCAAAAAACGAAGAAAAAATGCGATGATCGCTGGAACTTACTCCAAAAATAATTGCAATAACGTTTGACTCATTCATGCTGGATTTAAATGCGTATTTCTGTAAAAGACGTGAATCCGTGCAGCACCCAAGTACCAAAACGACAGCTTACGCCGTTCAATAGCCCTTCTACATTTTCTTTCCTTCAAAATCCGCATATATTAAATTATAATAGCTTTCAACCTCCAGAGCAAAAAAGCTCAAAGAATTGCGCAACATAGGCAAATGAAGAGTAGAACTATTGAAAACTCGTTTAAAATTAATCGACAAAGAACTTTTTAATCTTTGTTTCTATTTACGAAAAGTGTTACTCAAAAAACGCCAAAGCGAAGGAAACTTACCACCCATGTGAAATTTATCGAGAGTGCGAAGCTCACTGAACTTTTGTTCAGCCTTGAAAAAATAAAGATCGACACGATTAAAATTATAAAAATATAAAAAAGAAAAATAAACCATTTACTGTAGAAACCATCAAATGCCTTTAGCCGTTGAGGTACGAGATATCAAGTTAGTTAAAGAGTTATGACTTGATCTTGCAATGAAATCCGGATGGTTGACTTCCAGTCAGTTTAAAGGGGTGAGATGTTAGCATTTATCTGTAGTGTAGAATAATTTTTCGATAAAATATAAAAAATACTGAATACAAATGACAGAAAATTTCCTGCCATTGCTTGGATGAAAGGTGCCAAAGTCGTTGCGATTGGGAGCACTCAAATCTGAGACTTGGAATCTTGGAACTACTTCCAGAATAAAAAAGGGATACACTTTCCATTCTTACATTCAGAAATAATTATAGGTCCCTACTGTACTAGAGTCATAATTATTGGACGGTCGAGGATTCTCGAAAAAATGTAGACGGGTATGGTCGGAATTATTTTTGACGATAAAAAAACTGGAACGCAAGAAAAATTTGATAAGCAAATTGAAATTCTTACTTTAATGATTAAAATCCATTGCTATCTATGGCTGTATTGGCAATGTTGATAGGACTGTCTATCAACAAAAAAATCAAGTTACGGTTAACAACATACCTGATGGTAATCAGTCATTTCGAAGTACGCAGTTCCTATTTGTTGCAATACCCAACAAGTATTTAGCTGGTGCGGAGGAAGTGCCTCGAATAAGGCAACAGCCTTTTTACAATCGAACGAAGCAAGAGCAGCGTATGCCTTGCCGATTTCTTGCAGCAGCTGCATCAATCCATCTGCAAAAAGAAATAGGAGTTCGTCCTCTAACAACATATTCCATGTGGGAAGCAACGATTTGACAGACCCAAAGTGCAATTTGATGACTTCCATTCAATGGATCTCCCTATACAAGGTCTTCAATATTAATACTTAATAGCTGCATCAGTGACAGCTCAACCATTCACAACATTGCCTTGCCTAAACGAAACCAAATACCTTATAAGGGCAGGTCCTATTTCCAAATCATTTCGGAAATTTCGATATATTTATAGTCTTGAAAAGAAACACCAGCGATTCTATTTCCACATTTTTTTGGATTTCGTTAATTTTGCTACATACAATGCAATGAAGCCTTTTGACACGGTGCAATGGGGGTAACATAAAGAGTCTGGACCAGATTTTACAACGTCACCTACGACATTGCAAGGTGGAAACATGACGAGATGACCTTTCACCTGCAATATTTGGAAATGCTTAACTGTCGGAACACACACGCCCCGTTTTAACAGTTTTACAGATGTGTTCCCATCCCCTTATAACATCGCTGGCAGGCCTGGTCATAAGACTTTAAGCAGGGTAATCTCCAGGTGAGCTATTTCTAGATACATAAGAATACCAACAAAGGAAAAATTGATTTCAAGGAGAGCAATTTGCTTTTTAGAGTAAATTTAGGAGAGCAATCCGTAGCTCCCTTTCAGCATTTGAGGAGAGCCTGAAGGAGAGCAAGAGCTATGGCTCGCCTCAAATGGCCAGGCCTGACCGTTGGTCAATTTCAATATTTCATTGTTGCCGGGGAAGAACTGGCTAGTGTGACGACAGGGTTTATAAATTGAGGAGGCTGTTAAAGGCTGGCATTGTGCGAAATTGCTATATGCTGGTGGCTCAAGTTCAGTACTACAGATACAGGATCAGAAAGACAATATTGTTCAGGCTCAAAATCTAATTCCAATAGAGGACTGTAAGACACCGTTTACACTAGCACGGATCCAAATGGGACGGATCCATTTTGGATCCGTGACCAGTTTTGTTGGTGTTTACACTGGAACGCATCAAATTTAGATCGCGTTTACACTAGCACGGACCCAGTCCACTGTCTCGGCTACTTGACCTCCCATTGGGTTTCAACAGACAAAGGCTTTCTCAAGTCTGTTGTTCGCTTTTGCAAGAACGATCGTAGTTAGTCTAAAATTCTCGTACTATTCTTCAAAAACAACTTTATCATTCAGGAAATTTTGCCACCAAACGCTGGTTCTTCCTGATCGTTGCCAGAATCTTTTGGTTTGCGGTGCCGATATCGCTGTTGTTGAATGTTATGATGTAGGCCTAGTGCAAGGCTGCGTTGTTGAAATATAACCAAAGCTAGTCTCAACTGACAAATCCTGTGTTGAGCACATAAAAAAGCCATATACTGCAGCCAGGAATTAAAACATAACACTAACATTGTGAGTATAAGAAGAACTTTCTGTTTGTATATAAAATTCGAGATTTTGGCGCCAACAATTGGCCTCTTAAGGAGAAAATTTCATGCCTCGTATCCGAAGTGTGCTTGGTTTGGTTCGGTTCCAGCCGTTTACACTAGACCTAAACGGGAACGGATCCAAGTGAGTACACCTTGGAAAGCAATCCCACACGGGTCCAGATAGCAGACCCAAATGAGTACGGATCCAGCAGGTCTAGTGTAAACAAAAAGCCTATCTGTGCTAGTTTGGGTACGGATCCATATGGATTTGTGCTAGTGTAAACGGGGTCTGAAACTTCGATAAATTAACGTGAATTCTAGTAAGGTTCCAACATCGATCCGTTCTTATTCTATGACTTCTCTAATCTCATTCAATTCTTATCTAATTTCTAAGGCATACTTCAACGAGTAAATTAAGTGACTACAACAACAACTTACAGGCATGGCTAATTTTTAATCTTGAATATTTAGGTGTTTCGTGTACTTGTTTGATCTAGTACGAATTGAAATGCTGTCTGGAAAACTCTTAAATCAATAGCAAAGAGCTTGTCTTTCAAACACAAGATTACCCACGCGGCTATCGCGAGAAATTTTCACAAACAGTTAGGTAGTCTTTCAAAGATTCGACACAGCACAAAACTGTCAATTCTAACAAAGCCTTTATGAATAAAATAACAACAATAAATACGAACTTATTGTAGACCTACCTGTGCTAGTTTTTATTGGTGAAATCGAAAATCTATCAATTTTCACTCCTTCTTTGGCCTCGACATCCTCTTCATTCTGGGGTGTTAATCCTGGTTGGATGTTCTCCGTTGCTGGGGTAAGGGGCTGCGGCATTGAAATTCTTGTTCTTCTCGTCTGCTTAAAACAAAATGTCGAGTAAATTTTACACAGAAAAAAGCCATTGTACCTGACAGATCAGGTTTAAGAAACGACACCGCAAAACACACTTTAGATATGAATAATTTCAAAATAACAATATATACTAAAAACAATTACCAAAACGGCTTATGGTTTGCTAATTTTGCCCTTTATGTTATCCTTGTTTTCACGCTATCTCACTGTGTATACTTTCAAGTCGTTACAATCAGAGCCGTTGAGAACCAAATATATTTCAGTCTCATATGTGTAATAACTAAGCTTTCGATCGTTAGCTAAGATCATAAGCTGATCGTCAAAAATACAAAGGGTTGGCAATTTGTTAATCTAGGCCATGTAGCCATGGAAGTGATAATACCAACCTTGGTCCTCCTTGTGTTGCTTGTTGTTTTCGCCGATTCAGAAAACTGCACCTTGCTGGGTTTTTTTGGCTCCTAAAACAAAACGTTAATCGCATCATAGTTAACATGAATCACATACCTCTAACTAACCTTTGAAAAAACAGGTACATTAAATACATCACTTAAACGCCAGACAAAACAGCCATTTGCAAAGAACCTACTGACGTATTATGCCCTCCGGCGGATCTTTTTGTTTTCGATTAACAAACACTTTGATGAAATAAAATCAGTATCATCAACATTGTGGTGATAACGAAGTCTACATAAATATCCGTATTTTCGCAGCATCCGTTTTAAGCCTTTACTTGTCTGCAAAGACGAACCGAGAGTGCTGGGTAAGTTTTGTTATTTTAAATCACCTTCATAAAATATTTCAACACATATTTTAAAGAAGCAACCACGTTTAAGCCATATACCATGCTCTCGCAAACTGATGTTATGACATTCCTATTTCTTGTCAAAACCGATCAAAACCGCGGTGAAAATCTAAGCTGTTACTTATATTTGTGAGTTCGAGAAAGGTTAATTTATTCACAGAAAAACTTATGACTGATGACATAAAGCAACTTGAATAGCTGGTTTTAGAAGAAAAATTAATTTTAGGAAATACGCCAGTGTGGTTATAAGAAAAAATTTCATTTCAATGTCTGCGAGAGTTAGAGCCCGATTTGGCCGTTTAGGCATTAAAAGAAAACAGATTGAAGAGTATACTAAGGAAATTTCGCCACTGCATCAACTCTTGATTTATCAGGGAAAAACATCTTAATCAGAAACAACCCGTTCCAATTATGCTTAATCGATCAACAGGCATTGAGCTATAGTGTTCTAAAGTGTGACGTCATCAAAAACTTATCATTATAATTTTTTAATGTCAACCACATTACTTAAAGGATCACCATGAAATACCTTCAAATATGCAAAATTGACCAAATATGTCTAAAATCGGTTGAGATATGACCAATTAAGGATTTGAAATTTGCTAACGAATCACTGTTATTTTGGCTCTGTTCATAAAGTTACGAACATAGACCAAATACAGAGGTTTGATGGGGAAGAGCCAATACAGATGTGCCGATATCTCTGCCATTTCGTGACACATTTGATTCAATTTGATTCAATTTAGAGGTATTTCATGATGCTCTTCCAGGTTATGGATCCAAATTCAAAAAGTCTGAAAATAGGATTTTGTGACGTCATCACTTTAGAACTATATTTCTGTATTGTGATAAAGATTGCAGTTTATCCGTAAAACTGGTCGACTTGCTTAAGATCGTCCCTAACCTTGCCACATGCCACCACCTGATATTTACTTATACTGTTTTAATACACATGTATACAGTTAGCTGTATGTTTCACGAAACCTTTCTCTTCTTTCTTATTTCTAATGGCCCCGGGGTAGACATAGTACTTTGCTCTCCAGGGCATCGTCCTTAGTAGCGTTGTAGAGTAAATTCCTGTATGTAAAGTATTTTGTGATATGTAGCTGTAAAAATTTTATTGGATTATACATAAAAACAGGCATTATTTCCACCCACAAGCTAGTTCCTTTCATTGGTTGTTATGTGTCACACATTAATTCAAAGGCATCGACTCTTCAACTACCCAACAAATGCGCTCAATAAGGCCCTTAAACTAAAAGCTTCTTTGCGGTCTGCGTATTAAGATTGTGCGATATGACTTTATCAAGATATTCTGCTTAATATAGGCACTATACTGTGACTGCTTGTATGGTACATAGCTATGAATTTATTTATTTATATAATTGACAAGTACATTTAATGAACAATTAACAGACGGTAACCTTGGATGAGCTATGAGTCCCAGTAGCATTTCCAAACAGTCTACTGCTCCTTCTCAGCCCGATGTTGCTGATTCCGATTGAAGTAGTGGTAGGCGAGGGTGTCATCAACGTCGGCGTGGAAGAACCGACGTTCTGCATCTTGCTCGGTCCCGGTGCGATTCCTGTGAACCCGGATCGGGTTGTTCGTCCCTCCACTCGTTTCAGCGCATGCTGTCAAGACAAATATTATCTTTTTTTACGAATGAATCATTTACATTAACAGAAAAGTAAGGCTACCAAAAGGTCGATAATACATCGGGAAAAAAACTTCCACACAGATATTTGGTCTATCTTAGTATAACTTTAAATTTTTACTAAAAAGAGCTCGGTTTTAATGTCTGTGTAGGTTATATCAAAATTTAACGATTAAGAATTGTTCAGTAAATATTCCAGGACAAAATTATAAATTGAATTGTGTTTGAAAGAAAGAAAAACTTACAGAAAAGTTAAGCGAAACTATTTCCCGATTTGTATTTACCATTTTAATGCTGTTATTTTCTGAATATCATTTTAGTTATTGGTTTGCACGTGTAACCAATGTTCAAAATAACAGGCAAAGATAATATAAAGAGATAATGTTTAAAATAAGCTCACGTAATGCAAAATTTCAAAACTGCATGAAAACGCAAAATAATTTAATGTTTGTGCTTGTAATCGTATTAACAGCTATAATACGGTTGCATATTTTGCGCAATCTTGAGATAGATAAAGGCAATTCAGTAGCATTTTTTAGAACTTTGGCCATAAACAGATTTGAAAATAAACTATTTGCGTCATAAATCTAGCCTTCGTAAATCGTAAACAGTCCAGCCTTATGAAACTATGATAAATTATGAAACTCGCATTATGAAATTCGTGCTTTTGATAAGCTGATCTCATGGGGGCTGTCCCTTCAAATCCAATCCTTTTCAAAGTAAACAGCCCTTTCTAAGATCGAGAATATTTAAATACAAGCTTATAGCGCACATAAGAATCTGAGATATCAAGTTTTTCAGTCAGCTGCTACATAGATCGATAATTTGGCAAACTTGACAAAACAATTAAATAATGGCTTCACAAAAAATATTTCAATCTTGGAAGCTTGAAATCTGAGTTCTAATTATTGTAAGCCCAATGTGAAATCTTCTAGTAGCAAAGTAAATTTGTTCATTGCATTGTGTTGTATGTGGCAGTTATATGTTTTATTCACAGACTGTTGTTTCAAAATAGGCCGAACATGGACACTGTAACTCATACCCAATATCACTAGTAGAACAGCACCAATCACTAAGTGTAACAGACAATGAATTATTTCCCTTCACTACAATACCAATTAAGAAATGCAGAGATGGAATGTTACCTTCTTTGCAGGAGCAGAAGGAATTCTACTTTCTGTAATTGTTGTTGGCGATGGTGTGATGAAATCCGATGAAAGAGCCTCAGCTTGAGGAGTATCTTGAGGTAGCACTCCAAAGCTAAAGTATAATGGATCATTGTGATATATGTTGAGTTGAGTAAAAATATCAACTAGAAAATTGCAGCTTTCTGAAATGTGTGTAAACAACAGCAAAATTGATTGAATTATCTCATACTTATGGGATGGGCCCTTAGACATTTCTAGATGCATACCTTGGAACTAAACAGCTTACAACTGTACTGTTCTTTACCCCGAAGCGTGGGCTCTCATACAGATATAATAGTATACAGATATCATACAGAAAGAGTCAATGCAGAGAGTTCTATGATACAGTTATGAGTAGTACTTCTCTACCAGATCAAAGACAAGAAGGACCTTTTCCCTATAGTTTATCATAGAGAAACTGACAACATGTGCATGATCTCGAACATCATAAGTCTAAACTTGGCAAATTTGCAAATTCGCCTCATATAAACCTGCAAGGTGGGCATAAGACAACCAACCTGGGGGTTAAAGGACTGTTCGTAGCTGCAGCCCCAAGCAAGTTCCTGCCGACTTTCGATCTAACTTGTTCACGACTTGTTGCAGTGGTAGCCTGGGCCATGTCATTGTCTACTGAGGATTTCGATAATTGATTCTGGGTGGGCTTTGAGACAACAGTTGACGTCATCAATGGAGCTGATGTCATTGAGGATTCGTATGACGGGTCTAAGTTCTCTGATGACATTACGTCATATTGACAGTTTGACCTCGATTGTGACAAAATGGCGTGTTGCTTTGCTGCCAGGCCGTATGAAATTTTCGGGGGATATGGTATCCCATCGCCTGGCTTCGTTGACGAAATTGAAGTTTTGAAATAATCTTGAGGATCAACCTTTTCACCTGTGTATAAGGAATAGAAATTGATTCAATCTTCAAATTTGATAATTTAAATGAAAAAATATTATAATGATGCGTCCAAAATAAAACAACTAAAAAGGAAGTTTTGTCACTTAATAATGAACCAATAAGTCAATGTGCGCCTATATGTTAGAAATATTGTTTAGATATATTTTCTTTTTTGGAAATGGGGAAAAAGGGAAATAATGAGCAATGCATTTGGATGTGAAAAACATATCAAAAGAACAGTATTGAGACTTTGTTAGATAGCTGACTACAATGTTTATAAACTCACCCATCTGACAGAGGGACTCAAATGATGTCCATAAAAACGGGTTCGAACGAAGACTTGCTTTGTAGCACTCAGCAGCTTTACTGAGCTGGTCAGATCTCCTTTCGAATTGAATTGAAACATGTTTAACAAACCTTTTGTACTACAAAATATCATAATAAAACGGAAAAGAAGATACAGTAAATCACTGAGGTACTATTTCGTTCCAAACGTTGTTATTGACAATCTTAAATATGTTTGTTACAAATTATTACATCATCTAAATACCTAACAAAATGCTTTTTTTATAAAACAATAAAACTTCATCAATCACCAAATAATAATTGGCTCAACTCATTGCTAACTGGAAATGGCACAAAAAATAACAAACTTCATCTATGGATTGTAGATATCTATAAACTAGCTCCAAATAAGAAGAATTTATTAAATGTGAATCCAACTGCATACCTGTATACATTACCAAGTAACTGAAGAGCATAACCAGCAAGGTTCCCATATTCACTCATAATGTTATCTGTTACTTTTGACGTAAATAGTGTTCCAATACTGCCAACAAGTAAGTGCTCTACTTCTGAATACCTAAAATAGATACATTAAAAACAAGTGTTACAAATTCCAAAAATTTTTCCATGCAGAGATGCTTCCAGATGCCTCAAAACAGTACAATAAATTGTGAAGCTTTTTCACGAAATTGATTTCACAAGAAATCAAGTTATCAAAGCAGTAGCATGTAATGCTTATCTGCATGATACCCCAAAATCTGATTGCATTTGATGATGTGATGATAAAATACCTGGATACCATAAATCCTCAAATTAGCCCCCTTGGGCCTATTTATTTTTCATATTTTTGGATTTTAGGCTATTCGAGGGGGTTTATATTAGAGGGGCTTAAAAATTTATTACATTAAGACATGCATTAATAAAAGACCTCAATTTTAGTGGTAATTTGATATAACGCCAAAGGCAGCCTCAGATGGCAAAAACCAACAAATAGAGGAGAGACAATTTGAGGATTTGTCCATGGTAGCAGTCGGGGCTTATTGAAAATTTGTAGTTCTAGTGTGGTGGCTTATTCGAGGGGGGCTCATTGAGGGGGGCAATGCGAAGATTTATGGTACTTAACTGCTCAGGACCTTCTGTCATAGGGCTTTTGAGAGCAGGAGGATTGAACTAACTGACAATGTTTTCCTTAGCACAAGATAATATGGAAGCCTTCCGAGACTTACATAATGCCTTTGCCAATGTAAAACATATTTTGCTTTCTTAAATCAAGAAATGTGATATAGTAAAACAATTTGGTATGAATAAAAACCTATATCTTCTATGATTATATGAACAAGGCGGCATTTTTTGCTGCACCTCATCCTGCCTCAACGCATTGCAAAGCCCTAAGTGTGGATTTACCTATAGGGGTACATGCCTGTGTCTGAAACCAGCCTTAGACAATTAAGTGAAATAACCCCTCCCTTTTGAATGAGCACCCAACTCAAATGAGCACCCCCCTAACTTAGTTGAAAATTTAATGAGCACTCAGGCACTCCTCAATGATACATGATACAGATCATACCTTTTCATTTCATCACAACATTTTGCCATGAGGAATTTGCAGTGAATATTAACTGGACTGTGTTTCTGCAGCAAGGCATGGGCACGCTTTACTGAGCCACAGCGATAGTAAGATGTTGCCAAAAGGTGAAGAGTTTCATCTGATGGTGCTGCAAAAAACAGAGTGATGACATGATACAAGAAAAGTGCTTGATTTGAATTCCACTTAGATACATTAATAATAATCCTTAAGTGATGACTATAATACTGGATAAAATTCTTTAATGTGGAGCTACCTATCATTTAAACTAATCACTGTTCAAGCTTTACTTGGTATGGATGTCTTCAAATGCTGCATTCTGATTGAAAAGTTATGAAGTTTTGAAAACGTTAGAATGCTTTGATCATATGCTATGTAGTCTGTATTCATTTCCTGTGGTATATAAAATTGAGTTCACTCAAGTATGATATTACAAATGACAAATGATATCACATTTACCATCGTAATGGTAAACAGATTAAAATCAAATTCACTTTTTACAAGGCCAAATGTTCATAGACAAAAAGCAGCTTTATAAAATCAATGGCAAGTGACAAAACAACTCTATACATGGCTTTGAAAAGGCAATCATTTTACAACTTATATATATCACTTGGACTCTAGGGATAATTTTTCTATAGCCATGCAGCAACTGTCTGACCACATTTGCAGTATGTTGTAAAATGTTTGCATTTTTCAAAGCTGCTTTCAAATTTTGTGTGGCCAAAAAATTATTAAAACTCTTTATATACGCAAGTCCAGGTTGAAGCAAATCAAAATTACTAAAAAATACTGAATCTGTGTTTAATAATTGAAGCTACAAAATTAGCTCTAGTAATTAAATATCAGTAAGATACAGGCTTCACTAGGAAGAAATAGACAGGTGTGTAGCAAAAGCCTCACACTTTGAAGTATTAAGTCATATGACTAAGTGGCATGCCTTAAATCAGTATGAGTAAATTCTAAGGATGGTGAACGTAAAATAAAACAAAGCTTCATGATTAGAAGCAAGTTCATCAATCATTTTACAAACTCTGACATCAAATTACCTTCAGCATACAGTCTCTCAGAAAGAAAGACAGCATCTTTGTAACAATAGTTGTTTAGGGCTTGCCAAATAGCCAACTGCAAAAGAAAGTAAATAATACAAGAGGGAGACATTAACAAAAAGAACATTAATAGTTTTTAAGACAATGAGGTCAATCATTTTTTGGCGTTTGGCGTTTAAAGCAGAGAGATCAAGGATATCAGATCAGATGATCAGCTTTAAGCAGCCATCATTAGGTGTACCACATTGTTACTGGACCGGACATACTGCTATTAAGTCCCTATCTCTCTATCAAGTCCCCCTGTTGAAGCAAAATTAGAAATTAGACTTCCTTTCTATTACAATTTCCCCAACGAAACAATCAATCTGGATGATTCTGATGAAGAGGAGGACACTATCATAGACCCAGTAATACTTCATTTGTTAGCTTGCTAGTAATTCCAACCCTTAAAAAGTTAAGGATGGCTTGCAATCCATAAAACAGAGACCTTACAATTTTGATGAAGACCTGATAGGCTTTGAAGTACAATATATATATTTGGAGGGGTGTCTCTATCACAGTTTGAAAAGTATAAGAGCTTTTTATAAACCAAATAATTTTTATGGAATTTTCGATGAAGTTTCTTGCAAAAAATAATTAAACAAATAGCATACATTTTTAGGCCTTCTTGCCATAAATCCATTTAAGTTTTTACATTCCCATTAATACCTTAAAAAATAAACTTGAGTCATCTGAAAACGTGGTTCAAAGTGAGCCATTTGAGAACGCGTTGTTTTATTGGGAACAGCAAACACAGCAGAGGCATTCCAAAATGGAGTCATTCATTCTCAGTTTCAAAAAGAGCTCGTACAAGGGACATGTGAGAATGGATGAAAATGGAAACTTGGAGTAATGAGAACAAGTACCCTGGAGTAATGAGACACTAAAAATATGAAAATGAACTGAAAACAGAGTAACGGAAACAGGGCCTTAAATAGTGATTATGCCCCCTTTGAAATACTGTCAAGTTAACTCAGAAAAAGAAACTACTTTAGAGAAAGTTATCTACACTAGCACATTTTGTTTTTGCATATATGTTGTCGGAACCTATATTTCCCAAGGACATAACTCTTGTTGGATTGTCAAGTAAAGGGGAGTTAACAAGAGGGAGCTGTCTTTTCCACTTAGTTGAGCTAAATGTGGAGCGCATAATTAGAGGTGGATTTAACACAAAAGGGATGCTGAATAGAGAATGTCCAGTATATAAAGGTAGAAAAAATATTGTATTTACTTATATCCTCATAAAGATAAATTCTTAATTAAAATTTTAAGCAAGTTAAGACATTCAACTAAAAAATCAGGAAAATGCTGTGTTCTAAAAAAAATTATATTAGGCTAATACAATAGGTAACCATGACATAAAATTAACCAGACTCTTAATAATTTGAGGCAAATACTCAGCTCTATAATAGTATGAATTCATTGGATGATAAATGTCAGTAGCATAAATAATTAACTAAAGAGCAAGAATTCATCTCTAAAAAACAAAATCAAGGAGCTTTGCAAAAGTTGAGAAATTCCTTGTTTTAATAAGAAACATTGAAGAAACTGCTCCTTGATTCTTGTATGTTTCTTGAAAAAGCAACTTTTCAGTAGTGATTGTGTGATTCTGTACTAACTCGGTAACTTCTCCATCTTTATATGAATAGGCTGTATACAATAAATTTCGGTCTTGACGAGGGCAAGATGTCTAGGTATGAAATATCTATTTAGGCAAGGAGACAAAAAATCGGCGTATTCTTGTTCTAAACAGTAGCTCCACAATTTAAAATTGGGCAAGTCTTGTCTGAACATATTACCAAGTTTTAAAAATAACATGGGTAGGTATAATCAACAGAGCCGTTATTATTACGGTTTGGGCGCCTTCAAATTTCAAAACAAGAGACCGATAGCGGTAGCTCGATTTATAGCTGACTTCTCGTAAATCCTAGCAACATACACACCTGCACAGGTTCTTCAAGCAGCATTTTCGAGCTCTTTTCAAGATTTCACAATTTTCGCTGTTGTACAATAATGAGCCATGAAAAATTATTAAGTTTCCATTTTAATAAAATTTCAACTGCTAACTGCCATTGTAGGCCCAGAAAACAAGGACATGCGCAATGTCAAGCTCCTTTTCCACCGCAGAGGCTGAAATCGGGGTTGCAAGCACTGGCCCAAAAGTAATACACAAATACAAAACAAAAATATTCGCATTAACAACACAAAAATAATCCATGAAACAGCACAAAAACATGATCAGAGGCAGTACATGAAAATTATTTCAGACATGCAATGAAAATGCAAACTGGAGACATAAGAAAACATTAAAAAACATTCATAAATGATCAAAAGGTAAAACAAAATTATCTACTGAATTTTGACCAGAACGGGCCTCCATAAGGAGCGTTTTTTGGATCGAAGGGGGCTGTATCCATGATTGTGAATAAGCACCAATTTACCGATGAAAACCACGAAACTGGGCAAAGGATCGATTTAGGCTCATACAAAAAATTTTGAGGGTTGGATGCTTGATAGGGATAAAACAGTATTCGGAATTTGGTCACATGATTCGAATTATTTCAGGAAACTAGATTATGTACATTTTTTCTTTCATAGGAGCAACTTTTTGAGAATACGAGCTTCAAAATTGCAAAAAAGGTCCTGTAAAATTGACTGTGTTACTTTGAAATTTAAGAACTTATATAACATTGTAAGGACATTGTCATCAGCGGTGCATCTTTTGCTAACGTTTTTGGCCAATCAATCCAATGTTGTTCTGCAGAAAAAACATCCCTTCCTGGCTATATATGCTTAAATTACAACCTTATAGTTTAAAAACAACTTAAGAACAATTCAACCTTAACGTTTTGGTAGAATTGAAAACAGCCAACATAGACCAAATATGATAGCTTTTTTTGATAAAATGTGTGTAGTTTAATAATAGTATGACCATGGTACTTTTTTGTGCTCTTTTTTAGCAAACGAATTTCTTAAAGTCCGTCAGAATCTATCAAAATTCCAATCTCCAATTTTCGATGCAATGTTGAAATTTATTTATACTTCCATTTGAACTGAAATTGGTACAAATATTTTGCAGTGGTTGTGGCTTGTTTCAAAGTTCTTCTTCTCTTCAATCGTATCATCCCGAATTTCCCGTGAATATTACAAAAACTGGCTTTTTGACGCTGTAGGAATGCATGTAAATCTATTATGCTATAAAATGTTCATTCGCCGCATTATTTAAATTGATTTCGCTATCTATATTTTGCTGGACTTGAAGAAGATGCCAAGCCATTGAATGGGAAATCAGTTCTATTCGAATTCTGAAATTTTTTCTTGGATGAGTTTTAATTCTCTATAATACACACCTACAATGAGATGGTTATGAGGTGTCATGGCATATTGTACACGTTCCTGTTGTTTTTGAAGAAACTACTGCAAAACTTTGTTATGATGTCACATGATTTGTATATTAACTATGTTAATATACAAATCATGCGAGTGAGAGGGGTGGGTGAGCCAAAAATCAACAGATATGTTAGTCGAAGGTAGTAGCCCGGTGTAAAAAAGTGTGTTTAGCCTCAGATTTTGAAAATAGATACACAACGAATACAATATATTCTTTGCCATAAGAGTGATAGGAAATATACGGACCTGATTTTTTTCAATTTAATAGGACTGAAGGTTTTCTAGAAAGTAATTTTCACGTTTCTTTTGAAAGATAACTTAGTGGCAGCATTTTTCAAATCTAGAGGCAGAGAATTCAGTAATTTAACATAATTTAACATCAAATGTAAGGAAGTTTAAAATTGTGGAAATTGATTGAAGAGAAAAACCAAGGCTAGAAGACTGTCTAGTACTGTAATGATGAAGGCTTTTTGTTATGAAGGTAACAACGTGGATTTCTGCTACCAAATACGTTCAGGATTTCGAAGTAGAAATTATTACGTTTAACTGCCGAGTGGGAAATCTTCTCGACCTATCATTTTTTATAAATTTGCAAATTTCTCTGAAAATAAGACATCTGTACTTATTCATGGTGGAGTCTCAAGTCCTTAACAGAACACCATATAAAAAAACTTTTGTTTAATAGCTTTTTGTACAACTTGTAAGACATGCTTTCCAAGTTACTTATGTGTCATGGAGATGAGCATATACTTATCAATAAACATTTACAGTTCGGCATTAATTATCTACAAAGAAAAACACCGTGACTTATTCATATTCTTAATAATTAATTCAGCCAGGCATTTGGAGTTCACCTTTCATTTTATTTATCTACATATTTCCTTAAATAAAAGTAATTCAATTTTATCTGCTTATTGATATTTAGGCCGTTATAACATGGCTACAACTGACAATCTAGTGTTCGGCGAGATCCTCTTCAAAGAAAGAAGAACTATGTCTAGTCCACTCCCTGAATCTCATTTACATAATATTTGAGGCTTAAAACAAAGCAAATTTAATCACAAAATCAACAGCCAATCTTTCGGTTGCAATAGGAAGGCAGGCAAAACTCGTGCTGAAACGAGTCAAGAAAATTATGCTTTCATGAGAGAAAGGTTAATTCATTACATGAGAGGTTTAACTTGACTTGCCGTATGTCTAACAATTAATTAAGGAGCTTTGAGGCACCAACAAGGGTTCCTACTATTGTGAAGCATCCACGCTTTTGTGATGATTGAGAGGGTTCTAAATGCTTTGAAGTACAATAATACAGAGTAACGCTAGTGGGTGTAGTGCTAGTTTCAAGCAAACAACGGTGCATGGTTTAATCTGCTACCACAAGCTCGAAATAAGAACTTTTCATAACAGAGAAAAAATAATCTTTTGTTTCCGAGACCGGACGAAACACGTAGCTCATCATAGCTATGGCAGTCATAAACAACTGAAAATTTGCTGCTTTTTTGCTCTGCACTAAAATGATTAACCACTTGTATCACTGGTACACTGCCAGTACTCTACACTTTATCGTTGCAAATTCTCAATAGCGTTCTCCTTCCTCTCCAATGACTTTCATTATATAATTTTCAGATCTCCAATGATATTAACGCTCCAAACAACATAGTTGTGAGAGATAAGGAACACGTTGTCGGTTTCTTTCAGAGTCATACTTGAATTTCATCAACTTTAGCTAAAATAATTCGTTTAGAATCTGGCAAATCCATGGTATAAAAATATATGCTTTTGCCAGTGGGCCTATTGATGAAAACGCCCAAAAATAAATTAAAAAATGCCAATTTACTCGATGTTTTGTTATTCATTTAGTTGTTGCTCTTCGTAAAAGAATACAATAACACTTTTCTAAACAGACATACAGAATAACCTTGAAAAAACTGTCAATCAAATCTCTCTTGGTCTACCTTTTCAAAAGACAGCTAGATATAAGTTTTAAAACCATCGTTAGCAATTTTTAGTTACTTTTGCTGTTAATTTTTACTGTTTTTATCGATTTTTGTAAACAGATGCATAAACATTCATAAAATTTTCATGCTGAACAAGACTATAAAAAAGAAAATCCCATTCATTTTTGAATATTCAATTTTCTAAACGTAGGAAATTTGTGCAAGGAGATGTTTGACTAAAACTATGATTAACAACAAAGGGTTTTTAGAAGCGTGTTTCCATTCATTGATTCTTGAAAACATACAAAGCTGGCAAAAAATAGAAATGGTTGGCATCGATAGATCATCAAAAAATAAAACAGAAACAACTAAATTCAGTAACATAGCATGGTGACAGAGAAAACAATTTTTATGTTTGCAGGAAAGAGAGAATTTTGGCATTAAGATACATCGACATGACGACATTATTTTAAGAAACATGTAGTAAAATTGAACTGTTCTGACACAGTACTAAGAATTTTTTTAACCTATTTGCAGTCCCAGAACCGATTCCTTCGCAAAATTGTTCGTGATTACAAAAGTGTATACGATCCGAGTTATGTGTTTCACTAATGCCATTAGCAAAAGCGCTTTTGCTTTAACTTAGAACCTCTAATGTTTTCGATATTCAATGACAGACAGTTAACGAAAAAATCCTACCAAGAAAATACAAGTAAACTCACACTTTTTAATCTCGAGATGAATCATTCTTTAGAGCTAACGATTTTGGCTACATATTTTTATCAAATCTAATGAAGCATAATTCTAAATCATGATTAAAGGTACAAAACGTTAGCATGTTTTATTTTCTGTGGTTAGCATTTTGAAATTTTCATTAATCTTTCGTGGAATGTCTAGAAACAAGAACAAACACCAAAATCCATTCAAGTGTATTTATGTCAAACTACGCACTTCTATTCTTAGGACTTTTCCAGGTTAACAGAATTTGTCCCACACTACTCTATTTTTGACATTGTTGACTTCAGTTGAAGAGAACGTATGCGAATGTCATCAATAAGATTTAATAAACGAATCTGCGCTTGACGAATCTGCGCTTGAAAATGACTCTGTCTCTCCATACAGTCTCGTTCCATTGTTCACATTTTTTTGAAGTACTACACTGTAAGCGCTGCACTGAAGGATCATAACCTCGAAAAAGACCATGTATAAGAATAATTGTGCTTCGAAGTTGTGTGTAATACAAACGAATAAAGCCTTAATAGCATTGTATACATGGCATCCATGGATATAGACTGTCATATAGCTTTCGGAGTAGAATTATATGTTTTTCCGTTTATTTATTAAGGTAAGTTCACTTGCCTGTGTGCGATTGAGTATACGGGGAGATGTTAATCGTCTGCTTTTTACCAGTTCTCACATCACTCTTCTTTCTCCATTAATATCAACTTTGCAAATTTTCCAAGCGTCTTAAGGCAGTCCACTTACGAATCTCATGGCCTGTTTAGAGAAGATTATGTATATCCCGTTAAAAGCTTTATAAAACCATTAGGCTTTTCAGAAATTTTCAAACAGACAGCTTCTGGAAAGGGCAACTACCCGTGCATAGAGTAGGGACAGATGCATAGATTAAAAAATCAAAATCTCCAGAAAATGCAAAAATTTTGTAAGGTGGAATATGATTCCATTTTGACTGTAGAAATGGAAGAGAGGGCAAGAAGTTACTTCGCATCCGAGTCTCGACCAAAACCAAAGACACGACGCCCTTTGTTGGGGTTCTTAGAAACATCGCGTAGATCGGTTTAACTATGTTGATGATATAAGTTGAACAAGATGTTAAAACTCTTCTTGAAACATTAAACAAATGCTGTTACATAGTAGCTAGCTATTCCTGTAAATGATTTCATAATAAAAAAGAGGCGAAGTGGTCAAGTGAGAGTGGGTAGGGTGCTGTTGGCGGCGCCCAGGACTAGGACGCTTGCCTCTTGGGTACCCCTTGGCAACAAAGGGAGGCTAATGCCAACGGCTACCCTACCTCGTCATGATCTTGGCCCAGGACAGGTTCCTTCTCTTACATATACTTCCCAAACGTGTGGGACGTTCATGGGACTCGTCTTTCTCTTCACCTTGAAGTTCCTGTAAATGAATTCATCAATAAATTCCCTTTTAAGAAATATATGGATTTTATATTACTTAAAAGCAAGACTCGTGATTAAATGAAGGAAACGGGGTGAAAATAGCGGTCCTTAGAGCAACTTTTATTTGGATAATTTTGTTCGGTAGCCGAAAACACTTGCTTTGTTTGGTGATGGTTAAGCTTAAAGGAAACTAAACGGCGACTTAAGTAAAAATTATACTGGATTATAGAATAGAATATTTTTTCCTCAGTTTTTCTGATTAACTCATCTGATTCGAGCTGATGCAATAAGAATACAATGCAATCTTCGTATTCACAATCTAGCAGCATAATGCATTTTATGGTGTGTGAAATAGAAAAAGAGACAACTGAATAAAAAATATATTTATTATTTTACATTCCTATTAAGCCTTGATAAAAATGTTTACTATCATTCAAGAACGAGAGTAATTAATCACTTGTTTGATATGTCTGATTTTGGACGCTTTCCAGGTTTTCTAACCAATTGGCCTATTTATAGACATTCGGCAGCTGGCTAAAAGACAGACCAAAAAAAGGCAATTATCTAGATAATTTTTGGCTCTTGCAGCTATGTGTGTAATCTTGCAAAGTAAACTGCTGTTTGTTACCAAGGTGTAGCTATACCCAAACACAAATTTTCAGCTGTAGCGTTGCTACCCCAGAGAGGATATCTTTCTTTATTGTTTATGATGATGATTAGTGATTGAGATTGATTAATCACAATAATGTTGATGATGATGATGATAAGGATGATTGAATATAGTGATGACGGGCTATGATGATGATGATGACGATGATGACGATGATGACGATGATGATGATGATGACGATGACGATGATGATGATGATGATGACGATGACGATGATGATGATGATGATGACTGATCGATGATTATAATGATGATAACAATGAATGATTGGGGTGATATTCCACTGATAGATAAACAGACCGATAGATATTATATTGTATAAAATATTGAATAGAGGAGATTTCTGCATGCTTAGGCTTTCACCGCGTCGTGTTCTAGTTCTAAATTAGCAACCCTATTTAGTGGGTCACCAAATCCGATAAATGAATATTTCATTTCCAAGCAAGATTCTAGCCAAAATTTAATTAATACTATTGCACTAATTGCAATGATGGCTATAAAAATTAACATCCGAACACGGTCTATGAAATAAAACATCTGAATTTGTGACCTAATTCTGCGCTTAATAAAAAAAATTATCCGCATAAAATGAAATTAAATTTATCTCTACGGTAGAATGAAGTTCGCCTAAGCTATCAATTAATAATGGTGCCAAAAGAAGAAATTGAATTTTCAACGTTTATTGAATATTTCCGTGTCATCGCTGAGATTAAAAATAGAAATAGAATAAAAGAATAAAAAATGAAATAGAAGAAAATAAAAGTGCGATAAATCCTTTTATTGCTTAATTTCCAAGGAATAACCTAAGGTCTACGGGGCCTTATAATGCAATGAATTCCATTTTGAAACTGGAATTAATCAAACGTACTAAAAGCACTATTAGTGTGAGAGATGCAAAACCATATTTTACCGAAAAAAATTCTTTTGTTACATTTGGCATAAGATTTTTTGTTACCGACCAATTCTCTGAAAGTTGGGGGTGTGATGCCCCCGCACGCTACGCCACTGGGTGTGTGGCTGCTTTTTTATATCTTATGGGTAAAAGACTTTGATTGGGACTGTGAATGGTCATCGCGAATTTCACGTTTCTTTATTTAGCTTTGTGTATCAGTCCATTGCAAAGATATTTGCCAAGAAAAGTATTCCTCCAGACAATGCCCTCAAGCTTTGATAACGCTTCTCGATAAGGCGATGAAGATAAGACATGATTTTGGCGTGACGTGGTTCTTAAATTTCCCCTGTTTTCAGTGGCCATCAAACGTGTTTCCGCCTTGCAGTGACGCAAAAAGGAGGAGGCCTGAGCGAACTCTTGGAGCCCCATCGGTAATTTTTTAGAAATGAGAGTCCCCAAAGCTGTTGAACTTTAACAATGTGGTCTACTAAAGAGACTTCCACCCTTGTTTTCCCCATGTGTTTGTTGTGCCACTGTCACTGCCATTGTGCCCCATATGCTTACCTGGCTCTGCTGGCGATCTTTGTTTTTTCGAGGATTCCTCTTATCTCAAATCTAGGAATAAAGATAACAAATCTGGTCATCAGATTCATCGTAGCTCTATGCATTAACAAAATTTTATTGTCTCTACGTAAGAATAATTTTGGACTTCCCATTCAAACTTTCGAAGCTGCTAGTAATCTTTTGCGAGCATTTGTATGATATTTTGACAACTAAAAAAGGCCAAGAGCATTTTTAAAACTTTTTTGCTTCAAATTTTTGATAAGCCCCCTCTCTTTTAAGCCCCCCTCTAGGACTGAAAGAATTAAATAAGCCACCCGGGGGCTTAATAGAGTTTCATAGTATGTCAAGATAACAAATTAGACAAAAAGACCAGAAACGATAAAGAGGAGAACAGTTTTTGAGAAAAGAGTAAGTTATCAGCACAGTCCGACTATGACTTTAAAAAAACTCCAGATTCATGCGATAGAATGCATTCTAAATTAAAAATCACCTTTTTTATACACGAGAGATGGTCAAATTTAATGAAACTAAACTTCAAACAGAATGTTGCTTTGCTTTGATTTTTTAAAAAAGTCTTAAAAAAATAATTAATCCCTCAACAACCTCGTTTTATTAGTCAGTACAGTATGTCTTCAAGACTATCATTTGTACCACCGTAAATTCTCTTTTAAGCCCCCCTCTCAATTAAGCTCCCCTCTTTTATTAACCCCCCTTCTCTGAAGAAAATTTAAGTAGCCCTCCTTTCAATTTAGCCCCCGTAAAGTTTTACTGATGCCGAAATAAGTAAACTTGACAAAAAACAGAGATTTTCATTGCTGATTTAATGTTTTTTATTTCGCAAATAACAAAAAATTAGTTTCCCACTATAAATGGTCTTTTATTAAAAATATTCATTAAGCTCCCTCTCTCAATTTAGCCCCCCTCTCTTATAAGCCCCCCTTTAAAGTGCTGAAAAACAATAAGCCCCCGGGAGGCTAAACAAATTTACGATATGTTATTTCGCCAGTTAACCTTTCTTGATACTCAAATCAATTGGAAAGCTGATACGGTTAGGTTTCTAAAAACTAGGCTTTTTGAAAATATTTGTATTAAAGTTAAAGTATCTTAGTAACAAAATAATGAATTGAAAACTGAAAACCGATATAAAATCTTTCTTGCCGATATAAGAGCGATATAAGTTTAAACAAAAAGACAGAAAAATAAATCAAGGGGCAAACAGTTTCGTCAGTTGACACTTACATTGAAGATTCGAGATAGAGAGCTCCAGGTAGGACGCTAGCTGTTGAAAGCTTTAGGAACAGCGATCGCCAAAAACGGCCGAAGCCAAAAAAATGGGTAAAGAAGTGATTTTTGCCGACTAAAAAAGGTGTGTCACACTCTTTAAGGGTGTGATCAAAAGATAAATACTCTTATATGCTGCTTTTATGCGTTTCTGTCTCATAGCTCATACTTCAGTGCTAAACTTTGAAGGTTCAGGTACTACAGAAAAGGTTGCAGGGTGAGTACAAAAATAGCTTCTTTCGCCCAGCAAAAATCCTTAATGTGCCAACAAACAAGTGTTGGGGTGATTTCGCACCCCTCTTTATCCCCTCCCCCTTGCAGCGGCCCTGAAGGTAGTATCATTTCGCTAAAAATCCACCTAACATTCTCCAAACTGTTGAGTAACTACAGACATTGCCTTGAGAAGCATTATGCTGTAACCCCCTCCTCCCAACCCTGGCTAAGATAACAGTAGTAGCGTGTCTACGAATAGAAAGAGCAGCCATGCAAATCAAGTTGAGATTTTCAAACGCACAAGAGAATATATAATCTCAGTACGCAGCACTGACAGACACGAACTATAAATAGGGAATAAATACCTTATATAAAATGTACTTAATGTTGGGTGATGGTTCTATTTTAGGGGCAAACGACTTATGTTCATTATTCTTATTCTATAGGACGACTCAAAGAGTTCATAACGCTAGCCAAAAGAGGACAATGCACCCTGGCTGTTATCGAGGCAGATTCATGCTTAAGTCCATTATCACATAGTAATTTTGCACCAAATTAGGCCGTGTTTTATTAAAGTGAAAATCGATTATCGCTAGAATGATGATCAAACGTCTTTCTCGGTAAATATCAGAGATTGCTAACTGCTTTGTTACCGCAGCCAATCACTTGCACGACAAAGGGAGGTTGTGCAGGTGATCTTGGGTCTGATAAGACCGTAGCTCGATTCAGTATGTTTTCATTCTACATAGTGGAGGCTAGAGGCAAGGTATAAGAAAGGAAAAACATCTATTCCTGTACATTGATCTGTGTATATCTGAGCAAGATAAGTTCCATGGAGATTTAGAACTTGATTTGGGAGAAGTGAAGCAGGCAACGAACTAATCATTTTCCGCAACTAATTATTTTAAAAGCTCTCGTTACAGAAGATTCCGTCTGTAGCAAGTAAGTTGTATTTTCGCTTTCTTTGCATACATAATCCAGATTGAAAAGTAAAAGCAAACATAACGAATAAAAGAAACTAATGAACGAAGATTCAAGCCAAATGCAATCTGTTTTGAAAACTATTTGTTTACTCTGAAAGAAAGAACATTCGATTTACTTGAAAACACTATATTTCTAAATATCATTAAAACTCGATGTACAAACTTTTAACTGGGTAACAAACTTTTAAGATATGGTAAGGAACATATTTCGTTATTTCCTCGCTGATTTTAAATCATTTATTGATAGAACTTTGTTACGACTAAGAGCTAAAAAGTTTAGTGAAGTAACACCATAGATAACTTAACACTTGACACTTGATGTACAATAGAGTAAAACTCGCTGCTCAGATCTGTCAAAACGCGCCCGTGAAGTCGGCATTGCTTTCAAACAAAAGACTCATTTACTAAAATAAACAAAATTTTCCAAAGCAACCATTAAAGATGTAAGAAACGGCAATTTGAACAAATTTTGTTTTCTAGGAAACTGATAAGAATATCACCACATATAACATAAAGCAAAATTCAAGTAATCATTAGGGAGTAAACGGAAGAACTGATATTTCTAAATGCTTTTCATTCTTCCTCAAGATCAACGATAACAGTATACAGCTGCTTCAAAATGAAAAGAAGTGCTCTCTATTCGGAATCTCTTTAATCCGTTCATAAATGGTTAGTGCAGTCAAGATTTATTCACTGAGGATTCTCCGAAAAACACTTGAAGTAGCTAAACAAGTGCTTTAATGTTATTTGGTCCTTATTGAACCCGCCTGTTAAATAAGAGCATGTACTGGTGGGATAGCTACAAACAGCATAATTCACAGAAGCCGCAATACTTTGTTTGCTTTTAACACAACAATAGCTAGCCTACAGTTGTATATATGCACAGAAGCAAAATTATCGTTGTAACTACACGTTTTTGTTAACTTTGTTGAGTTCGATCGACGCTATTGAAAACGTTATACTTGGTTAACATCGTTCTAGGAAAGTGCAGCGTAATAATGATAGGTAAAGCGATAAGAAGCTACGAGAAGTGCAAGATAGAAAAACAGAAAACCAGCATGCTAACAACTGAGAAACAAATCTCCTCGCAAAAGGCCATGGCAGTGTTGCACTGCGAAGTGACGATAAATTAATTGAGTACTGGTACTATATGGAAATTTATCTCTATAAGCCTACCTACAATCCCGGACAAAAATGTTGAGACAAAACGCAATTTTTGTAATTTTCTACTTCACCTTGCCCCTGTAAATTCGAAGCCTCCCTTTCCCCTTGAAGCAATGTTGGATTTGTAGTTCTATCATTTCTCCTTCAAAATCATGCATTCAACATTTAAATGGGGGAAGGGGAAAAGTTATTTTTTAAAGGAAAGTAAAAAATTGAACCTTTCCCTGAAAAGTGTCAACCATTTTTGTCCGGGATTGTAGTCTCACGATACCTAAGATACTTATCGAACATATATGCCACATATTTTTGTAAGATTTGCCCAAAATAGTGGAAACACAGCATAAGATATATTTGTTGTTTATGTTGGTTACATAACTGTTTAATGTAGTTCAAGCAAGTCAGCATCATTAGGCCACTTGAGGTTTTGTGTGAAAGATGAGCAAGTCTTACATCAATTTATTCTCACCCCGTACTCGCATCAAAGGCATGCGCATCAAACTCAATTGCTACTGCGCATGCTTTTCGCTGTAAGCAGAAATGATAGTTCACGGCTTACTTATTTGTTTCCGAAACAATATTGGTTGCAAGCGCTTTGCTTTTTTCTGCCTAGAGGCAAAAGGTGTAGGCAAAATACACCCAGACTCAAAACGCTTAAAAAAGTTTTCCAGTTGGATCTTAAGGATTAAATACTACGCACAATTTCATTAAATGTAGGATACCAGAAGCAGCTTCATTGTGTTGCGCTATCTTGTCATTGTTGTCCTTTGACTTAAAAAAAGTCAAACTCGCACTTCACGCTTGATAAATAGGAGTCTGAATCTCTAGGAATGTGGTACCTGATTCTAGGACATTGTTTGGCTGCCAGGGAAACATTTTATACAAAAACACGATCTTCTTTCTTGCTTTGCAGGGCTGCTTGTGAGGTAAGCTAGAAGCATGGTGGTCTCATTAAATGGAAGTGATCCTACAAGGTGCACACCTAATTTATCCATTGATACTCACCTATCAAAAGGAGCAGCCGTTGGTTATATCATTATAGGCGGGATTGGGTTCACTAGCAATGTGTTTATTGACTATATTATTTACCGACTCCGCTTGTATCGTGTGCTTGGGCATTGTCTGATACTAAGTTTGTCCATATCAGACATGATACAAAGCTTACTTGTCTGCACTCTCAATTCTGTGGAATTGCTCACCGAATCAGGGTTTTCTGTCTCCCAGTCCTGGTGCAGATTATCGGCTGGTCTTGGGTTGCTGGCGGTTCTAAGCACTTGTCTGAATCTGGTTGGCATTTCAATGGACAGATTCGTAGCGATTTTCTTTCCACTGCATTACCCGCAGATCGTCACACCGTCAAGAGTTTACGTCTACCTCGCAATTACTTGGATTTCGATGGTTACTTGGTCATTTCTACCATTAATCGGTTGGAACAGCAGCCTTGATTGTCTGAGAAACGGATATACGATTTGTGATTGGGGATTCAGTCTAGATTTCAACTACTTCATAGGAACAAGTGTTGTTGTTTTAACTGCTGTTATCATTGTCATAATTTTACAAGCGACAATTTATGTGCAGGCTATCAAGCAGGCCAGGAAAGTTTATGGCAAAGAATCTGGCCGCGCGGAGGCAGGTAGAGGCGAGCTATCTCGTGTTCAGAAGAAAGTCTCGCGGGTCGTCGCGTTTATTGTGCTAACCTTTTTCATCACATACATCCCATGGTTCTCGTTGGCAATTCGAACAGTAGTTACCCAAAGCGGAGGACATGAAGTAATACTTGCATGCTGCGCTCTCCTGTACACTAATTCTATGTTAAACCCATGGGTTTATGCATCCTCAGATAGCAACATTCGAAAGGAAGTTTTGTCGGCCTTACATTTACGCGGAGGTCGTAACAATCAAGTAAACCCGACATTGTCCACATCTAATGAAAAAAGCGACCAAAAACGACCAAGCAACGGGTCTATGGAAGCTCAGGCATAGAATTACAAAGAAAAAGCAACTGAATGGTCAGTGACACAAGGATAAACTAGATGAGTCTAGACGATTAGTTTCATAAGTTTTTGAAATATATCCGAGCGAGTAATTTTGAATACGGGTGCATTCTCATTACAAAGCGTTTAACTGCCAGACTGTAAAGCACACCACAGATACAGCAGTATTTTCGCCCTTCAAGGGCAAACATACAACGTAGGGGTGTAGTGCTTGAATGTTTTGAAAGCAGTTACTTATAGCGTTGTACCCAGTTGTGTCACCACTAGGCCCTTTGGCCTTGCTTTGACCAAGAAAAGCTGCGATGAGGGTGCCTTCCATGGCTAATTGTGAGCGTACATTACACGAAAATAAAGGCCCTCCATATAAAATGCCAGCAGAACAGAGCAAAGGTAAACAACATTTCATGGCTACTAGAACGAGACTTTTCGTTTTAAGAGCATACACTCAGTATTTTGTGTGCCAATTCATTTCTAGTGTGAGACTTTTCCATTTCAATATTGGTTGAAACTTACTTATCAGCTCTCTGCCATTGTGGCTTTTCCAGGAAGGTTTACGTTTTACGAAACATTTACATTCGAAATTACAGCGAGAGGAGAGTATATTGAAGAAAAAGATTGGAATCCTATATTAAGCGATAACATTATTATGAACGAAAGATCCAATTATGGAAATAAAATAAAGAACACTGAGAATGGTACTTCGACACTTTTTTTTATATTTCTTAGTGACATAACTATGGTTAGTCTATAAAAACTCGATGACTATAAATTAAGAGAAAATGACCTTTTATGGATATGTCAGATTCTCAGTTGGTTGGGAAAGTGTAGTTCAAACAACAGTTCGTAATATTTAATTCAGATTAATATACAATTTGACGTCGGACGCAGTATAAATATACTGGAAGAGTAAGTGAGTGACACGGCAAACTGTAAACAGTATACTTTAAAATCAAATCATTATTTTACACATTTTGCAATACCAAAATGTAGATTGATTGAAAATGTTGAAGCTTCAAAGCAAGAAGATTCATAGTGCAGCCTTTCCGAAATACAGCAGCGAAGTAACTTTCTAGGCAAGTGAAAATTACGCTATTCGGTACTTGGTTAGAGGTAGACTGTAGTGAAGTACTTGTCTTCTAGTAGATACTGTCTCTTGTTGTCTCATGCATTCATTGCAACGTAAAACAGAGTAGGTTAGAATGTCACCTATGCATAGCATTAAAGGCAAGCGACGAATACTTAAGTGGCTTAAACTATCTGTCAATCATGAATTGACCAATCGAGAAGAGTCTTACACTCAGACGGTTATTGATTGGCCAATAGTTGAATCAATGGCGTCGCCAGCCCGAAAAAACTGGGGTGGCAAAAAATATTTTCTCGACCGCGCCCTTCAGACTCCCGCATGAAAACAGCTTTATTTAGCATTTTCGCAACGGGGGCTTTTTTGAAAGAACTAAAGTCGAAATCGATCTGATAAAGCACACCCCCCCCCCCCAAAGGTTTTTCAACGGATTTCGAAAAATTAGAAAATCAATATCTTGGAAAACTCTGCAAAACACCTCGTTGCGAATACGTTGACTGCCTTTAATCTACTAAAATTCGTGTTTTCTACAACCTTCTTCCAAGATTAAATACAAGGAGATCCAAAAGTTTGCGGTAAAATGAATATTAGAAAAAAGAATTATAGCATACGTGAAACAACAAACACAAATACGATATATAATATTAAATATAATCTTCCTAGCAATACAGGCATTATGTTGTGGATTATAAGTTATGTGGAAGGGCACAAAAATTTTATAAGCGATATCAATGTCAAGAAAGGCTATAATGTGTTGCATTCTTCAGAATCGTCTTTGTTACTTCTCTTTGACGACAGCTTATCTAGAAGAGAAACAAAAATATCGATTAGTTAATCAAAACGAAACGGACAAAAGATAGTTACTATTTTTTGATTAGGGCACTCTGCACACCTGTTATACAGCAATTCCCTGTGTTTAATGTTAAATGCTAAAGAGGGCCTATATGCTTGTTACTACAACAAGAAGCAAGGGAGCGTAGTTCAAAGTCATAAGGATCGATAGACTTGGGAAAGCTGATTTTCTTTAAGGCTTTTAGACGTAAAGCAAAACTTGATCAGATTGGGGAACCCTACCAGGTTAGGTTGAAGAGCATGCTTCAAAAACCAAAGAAATGTCTTTGGAAGCCGAAAATATCTGAAAATATGGAGCAGTCATCAAGCAAATGAATTATATCATCAACATTTGATTGACCGACCGAAGTCAGACTTTCATTTTTGGGAATCTAATAGAACGAATGTAAACGTAATATTTCTGCGCTGGCAAACTCTAAACTGAGCTTCTTCGAACAAAATTCCTTCAGTTTCACAGTCAAAACCTTTGGCAACAACCACAATACATCCCTTACGTGTAAATACATGGGGTTGATAAACAAGTTTTCTCCTTAGTAAAGAAGGGTACTATCACTTAATGTTGAAATTTATTTTTACAGTGTGTGCAGAATGCCATAAGAAAAGGCATAAATTCTACAATGCAAAACTTTCGCGAAAATCAATTGTTCTCAATGTCATGAACTTATGGTAGCCTTGTTGAGAAAGTGGCTAGAGTAGTTGAAGTTAATTACTAAAACAAATTCTCGTGTGGGTTAGTATTACTGTAAATTTAACAAGTGTGTGCGTGTTAGAGGTATTTTAAAAATTAGGCTGCATGTAACTAGAAAAACACATGTTATGCAATTGAGAAATGTATAAGATTAGTGGAATTATGCGTTGAGATTAAAAATTGTAAATTGGACCAACCTGAAGAAATTAACATGCTCTCTCTCCGAGGTTTGTAAATATTAATGTGTCTCCTCGTTGTGCATCTTATCCTTTGTACTTTGAACAATTTAGTATAGCGTTACACTGAGATTTATTTTTATCATTAATTTGGCTTATCAACTGAAATTAATTAACAGAGCGACCGACGTTTGTGTTTGCCTGATTACTCCCAGTGTGGCTCTGAACTATTTTATCGCTGTCTCGTTTCTCTCTTAAATTTACTCATAAGTGCAAAATTCTGGTCACAGATTTTCCAATCATTCAGGGAACGTCTTCACTAATAAAATCAAAAATAGGCGTAATGCTTTTTTATCGAAAAATAGAACCAAACCTAAAGACCGTTGGATAGTTTGGTATATAAACAGGAATCAAGAGTCACGTAAAATTTAAACGAAACGATAAAGTTTCAGCCTATCTTTTGCTTCACTCGACTCTCATTATAGTTACATTAGACCTAGCTTGAAAAGTTTAATAGATACAAGTTCAAAGTGACTTCAACCAACAGTGTAATTATTATCGGAGTCGACTGCGGAATAACAGAACAAACAGACATTTTGGAAAAGAACGTTCATGTATATAACATACGAAAAACAGGGTATACGCGATATAAAATACAGAATAAAGAAAGAAGCCTTATAGGCGTTGGTACTTAAATGCATATACAGTTATCCCCCTTGTAAAGAAAAACGAGTACCAATCTTTGAATACACAAATGAATATACAAGATACACATTTATAGTAATAAGAGATTTACATCTGATTTACAGCTTTTAGTATACTAAGCTAAATATACTTTGATATAAGGTATAATAGTACTGGGTCTTTGTAAGTAGCAAGGGAATTTATCATTTTAATACGCTACTCTAGAAAGCCAGTTGTCTTTCTATCCTTCTAGTATGAGTTACAGAGACGTGCAAATATTCCCCATATCACGAAGTATCTCAAAACAAGAGGCATAGGCACTAGAGAATAGTCTCCAGCATTCTTCTTATACATATGCACTTTTAATAACAGTGAAGATCCCGGCATGATAATTCCGTCAGAGAGGCAGATAATTATACCAAAAATTTAAGAAACATAAGTGTTTTATCCAAGTAAGAGGAAATAGAGGTCTCGCTGGATAGCATGCAAAATGAGAGGTCAGCGTTTAAAAATATCCACTTTAACAGCCATTGTCTTAAGACTTGCCAAAACAAATCTTTAGGAGCTATTTCTGGTCTTCAATCTCTTCAATTTTCTTTTTAAGCTAGGTAATCTCAAATTTTCAGTTTCTCCGAAAAATAAGAGAATGACACAGTATGATAAGATAATAAATTGACAAGATCTACTAATAAATAATAATAAAACAGTCTTCCTAATCAATAATTGGACGGATTTTGTTTATCAACAGTTTCAATGTCAGCAGTTGACGGTTTCAAGAGAAATCGAAATTTGGTATCAGGATTAGGAATATTTTGATTCTCTTTGTCCACGACCAATACGATTTTAGATTAATGCTTGCAACGTGAACAAGATTGTCACAAAGATGCTCGAAATGCTGCTCATAGAAAATTACCATTGACTGTCTAATACAGATATGCTTACCTTGATAGAATTGGTCTGTTTTTAACTCGACTGTCCCTTAAAATGGCCTCAAAACTTATAAGCTCAGATCCAACGATAATAGGCAGTACAAAGAGGAAATAGGATTTACTTCTTTGAATAAAAACGGGTCGTTGACATAACAAAGATAATCAGTGAATTCATAATCGACGTGTGTTGATAAGAAATCCTAGGGCACAAAGTATCTTCGACCGAGTTTTAAACTTGGGAACATTGTGTGGATTCAAGTTTACTTAAAAAAGCTAACGTTCCAGTTATCCGGAACTCAGATAATTGAGTCCGGACAACCTATGATCTATGTACACGCCTTGTAGTGAGGGATTATGTTGCAGAAAAAAACAACAAAATTTCAACATGCCAAGACAGGTGCTAAAATGTAGATAACTTAGCCTTAAGATTGCATAGCGGGATCTTCACTGTTTTTAAAAAGACTACGAGGGATAAAAATTAGTGCGTTTTAGCACAACGTAGATCTTGATTTCAATTGTCGGCTTCTGAGCCAAGGTTTAAACATTTTAAGAGATCGCCCTTTTTTAAAGTAAACATGTTATACTATTTACCGATTGTTTTTAATATGTTTTAAAAATCAAGAACGTATCCTAGTTTACAATTAAGAGTTTGTGGTATCTGATGCTTAGCTATAGTCTACATGTTTATATACATAGCATCCTGGTTGCGAATTACAGAACGAAGGTATCTACCCTCTTGTGGCTAAGGGCTTGAACGTGAAAAGCCAGTATTCTGAAACAGAAAGAGAATGCCCTGTTAGCCGAGTATAAACAGCTCTGCTCAGACCAAACCAATAGAACCCTTTGTCCACCGCTTTTTGATTGTTAAGCATCCATGATAGTCGGAAACGTTTCAAACTCACATTGCAAAAAATGAATCCACGAGAAAACGCTTATTACCGTGTTATCCTTATTGTGATTCGAAGCAGCGTTCTTGTTGTGAGGCTGCATGAAAAATTCCAATAATTGGCAATCATAGGGCAATAAATTCTAATCTGGAATCAATGCTGTACGACAATGAAAAATTCTGACGAGGATATAAAGGGAATATGGCTTTGAAGGTATGCAGTATACATTTTTATGAACGTCATGGAGACCATCGCAGTTTTATCTAGGGTTCACCCCTACAGTCAAGTTAGGGAGAACTTGATATTTTTTATGAGTTGCAAATGTACCCCTACCCTGATAAAAACTCAATGATAGCCCTCCTATTTGGAAAAATATTTCAGAAATAATGAGGGGACTACAGTAGCCCTCCTCAGACCGTTTTTCTCAACAAAGGGACAGTTTCCTCTGATTACCACTTCAAATCATCGTTGATACATGTATAGGAAAAACATGGGTGGAACTATAATATACCAGCCAATTTTTCTGTTGAGACACCGCCAAGAAGATCATTTGAAATACACTTTTGGATATCATGACACGATAACCAACGTTTATCAGAAAAATTTAAATAGCATGATTTGTCTCATATTAAACCCCAGGTTAGTGGCATTGTTGAAGCAAAAAGGGTTTTGCTATTTGTTCGAAAATTACGATTTGAAAAATTTTATAAAGCGTTAATTTTATTCGTTAGTTGGAATACTTAATTTGTTAGTTGATTAAATTAATGAGCAGCACAAACGAGAAGGAGACGTTTAAAGTGCTTTTTTAACTGAATTAGTGCAATCATAGAACGGGTTACAAATTAAAAGTCACTCTAGTTTAAGATATCGTTGTAATGGCAACCATAAGCCAAGAGAAACTAATTTCTGCGACTGAAAAAGCCGATATATAGCAGAAAACTCATGAATAGCTGAATAAGGTGTGTAGAAGGCAATAGACAGGAGAGCACACAGTAGAACAAGATGTTTTGCTCTTACTACGACAGATAGAGGAATACGGAAAATGTAGGTAATAAATAAATTGTATATGTAATAGAGAGATCACGGAAAAGCAACAAAGATAGATAGCAGAAACACTTTTCAAGCGATAGAAAAATAAATGGCTACAAATTACAGTCTACAGAAAATATGCTATGTGGCAGAAGAAACAATTAAAAAAATGGTTCCATCCATAAGGAAAATTTGAACTAGAACACAACTTACTGAGCAAATGGGTACCAAGAAAAGTAAAAACAGGTAACATATACAGTGAGCGTGAGATGAAGTACACGTAAAAGAGAGAGTAGTTCATGGGCGCATAAAAAATATTATGCCACCTTTTTTTTATTCATAGCTTCATTGTCTTCAGGTGGCCATTAGGTTGTTGTTTACTGCTAAGGTGACAGGAATTGCAAGTCCAAAGAACGGAACAAAACTAAACTGGAACCCAAAAGCATTTGCACAGTAGAAACTGTTGGATGTACAGTAAAATGATCCAAACTGACAGATCTACACAAAAAGGGGCTACATCCCTTTAAGATTGGAAAAGTGTTCATAATTCCCCGGGCCAATGAGCCTTAAAAATCCGTAACCTTCTTGAAAAAAAGGCCTGGTAACAGAAATTATCCTGTTACCATTTACCATGCTAATGGTCGTTGGGTAACCAACAATAATTCTGGACGATGATAGCCCTATCCATATTGATAGCTGAAACCTTGCTTGCCTCACAGCGTCAATTCATGAATAGATTCACTGTAGCAAACATACATTATTAAACAACAAATATCCTTCATATCAAAAGGTAGAAACAATAGTACATACGCTTTTTAGAATTTTTTGATCAAAATATTACATTTCCTGGCTGCTTAAATTCACGAAAAACAAGTACAGGTTCTACCTGTATTGGAGTCTGTTTGTGACAGATTTTGCAAACTATTTTTCCCATTCACGTTAACAAAACCGTTGAAGAATTAGTTCAAGAAAACCAGGTATCAAAGGCAAAGGTAGGTACAACCATCCCAGGAAACAATCAACTAGATAAATACATTTTCGTATTTTGATAAAAGAATAAAACACTTACGTTCACTTCCGCATCGTTTATCGAAATGGGTGACATTTCTTAGCAGTGTTGTCCATTCTTCAACTTGAGTTTCCCAGACATTTGCGAATACTTCCATGTTTTCTAAAGAAATTTTACTTGAAGGATGACCAGATAGAATCTTGGCTGCTGACACCAGCTATATAAAAGTAAAAATAATGTTTTAATAAAAGTACTTTGGAGAAGGAGCTCAATTCAACAGGATAGAAGGAAATAATTTCTAATTTCTTGGATAGTTTGAGGATATACTATTTCTGATTCTAAGGTAACGAGGTGCCTTTCAAATGTGGTCCTTTCCAGGTTTCTCTAGAAACAGCATTTCGGCCAGTAAGCCTTCACTTTCCAACGGGAAACAGTTATGATGTTAGGGCGTCCATTGTCGATTATTTGAACTCAAAATAAACAGAATTTAACAAATAAATAATTGAAGGTAAAAAACAAAGTAAATTACCTGCGGAAGAAATATTTTCATGTTTTCTTCGATTTTATTCGCAGTTATCACAACCGGCTCACTTTGTGTTATGTTGCAAATTAACTTCGATACCTGTAACAGAATTCGTTCCAGTTAACAATGCCAAAACCCTCCCTAAAAATGACAATACAAACAGAGGACATAAAGCATAAAGGTAGCCATTTTTCTCAATAAAAAGAAAGCACTGTAGAGTAGCGAACTAAAACCACCCTGTTCTACACACTAAAGCAAGAATATTTGCAAAAAGGCCTTCTATAAAGGGTCTTTTAAGTCGTGAACAGCGGTTTCTCTAAAAAATTAAATTTTGATCCCAAGGATCTTTGAAAAACCTTCTTCAATTGGTTGATTAATATGAAATATTTGCGTTTAAGAATAAAAGAAATTTATCGGTGGTAAAGAAGGATGCAAAAAACTGATGTTCATACCTCCTTCATTTTCCGTGAATCTTCCTCAAGTTTTTCTCCATACAGGTCAACCGAACCTGGGTCCCCATTGACGGAGGATAGCCTTAGCTTTTGTAAATTTGGCTTCCAGGCTTGATTTATGAAAACCTCTGTCAGCAAATCAAGTGACACGTTGGTAAGCTACAAAAAGCAAATTAGTAATTGCATTTTATTACAGCAGTAAACACGTTTTATTACACGAAAAAGTAAATTGACTAGATCAAAAACTGTTTTCATTTGCTGTTGGTACGACTATGAAGAAGCATCAATGTCAAATTGACTTATCTGAAGTTACAAAAACCAAAATAATAGGTTTTTTCAAGTAAATAATTATTGTTAATTTGAACACTGTTCAAAATAAAACACAACAATATATAACTGTAGAATATGCATCATTTGGTGCAACGTTATACAGAATTTAAACCTGATCATATAAAAAGGTTCTACTTGAAAAAGAAATGAATAAGATCAATTTTGCATCAAGGCCCATGGGAAAGGCTTACTTTTCAGACGCTTAATAGGGAAGGGGGTTTACTAGGGAAGAGAGCTTAATAGAGAGGGGGCTTTTTTAAATACATGCTGCTTGGAGTTTAAATACACTGACCCTGGGCATTTAAAAGACGGAGCTGTGATCCCAGAATAACTCAAAGCAATGACAAGTAAAAAGGCCTTGATAAGAATTTTAAAGTATTAACTGGAAAAAAGGAGGACCATCTGAAACATATAAATCTAAATGACAATGGACCAAACATCACAAAAAAAATTATACTTGTTGTTATACTTGAAATGTTGAACTATCGATTATTACGGGGCTAAATAGAAAAGGGAGGTCTATTATTCTCCTTTTCTAAAAAGGGGGGCTTATTAGAAAAAGAGACTCGAACTCAAAACAGGGCATACATGAGGAATCAGTGAGACTGTTAAGGGCAATCATACAGCTTTGGTCTCAATCCCAATGCCACACCTGCCGAAGCATTGCCACAAGGACCCATCAAATAGGTAACATGTAGGTTGGTGTCAGCCGTGTCAAAAATCAAAGCCTTAGGATTGGCTCAAAGAACTTCTAAAGTAATGTGGATTCAAGTTTAGCGATTCACAATTTGCTACTGACTTAACCTCGAATTAAAATCCTGGTTTCTTGGTCAAATCCGACCACATCAAACAGCACGTCAATAAGACGTTCAGACCAACCTGTAAAGAGTGTCTTTCCTGGAGCTGATAAAAATTATTTGATAACAAGCAAAACACTTTACTCACATCAGTATTTATGTCATTCATAATTTTACTAATTTGTTTTAACAATTGGCAGAGCGATTCATCCAAGGATTCCTAAAACGAAGACAAACCCTAATCAATTTAAGATACTTCAATTTGAACAATTTTTTTGCGGTACCGAATTTGAAAATGGCTTTGAAAAAAGCAAACATTTTACGACATACTAAAAGCTTTTTCGTCTGACACTCCTCAAGTACCTGTAGGTCTAGGTCTAGGTGTAGGTCGACAGTCCTGTAGGTCTAGAAACACTGTTAAAACAAGTGATTCTGCCATTGGTCAACATCTTTTAGACAACCCAGATTGTGCAAAACTCTATAATGACGACATGTTTCGGATAATTGGCAGATCCCTGTCGTCCATCCATCCAGCAGTTTTGGAGTCAATCTACATAAAAACGAAAAAACCGCCTTTGTGTAGACAAAAGGAGTTCGTTTTCTCTCTTGGACTCCATTGGTAATTTTTCTTTAGGCTCGCGGCACTGATTGGTCAACTATACCGGTCTTGTGCTTGCGTTTTTCTGATTGGCCTATTTCGATCCACAACTGGGTATATTTTTTTCGATCGTGTTTTTTCGGAACCTATTCTGACGTTTTATGCTCTGAGGAGTGTCAGACGAAAAAGCTTTTAGTATGTCGTAAAATGTTTGCTTTTTTCAAAGCCATTTTCATACTTCAATTTCTTATAACAGACAGACAAATACCGAGGAATTACTAGAAAAGGTTCGGTGATAGGAAAGAAAAGAGCAAATCCAGCTAAATTTATGTTCACGAGTACACGACATGTTTTTTGAGAATAACACTGGGAATAATACTTTTAATTTCATATACGTCATACGAAACATTTTTAAGAGATAAAACGTCTTCTCAAAATTTCGTAATGAAAGATTCGCTGTATTGTTTAAAGCAAGGAAGTAGAAAATGTTTTATCTACAATATGTAAACTCATATTGAAAACATGCATAGAAACGCAGTGAAACATAATCTGATAGTGGTTAACTTTAGGTTTGAAATCTTCCAAAGATTTCAGAGCCCATTTATTGAGAAAATTATTTTGGAAAATGTTATATAAAAGTTCTACAACGATAACATCTGTCCTTTATGTAGAAACAGTTTGTTTTTTGGAAACTAAACAAAAGAACATAGCATATCTTTTCAAATATGCGTTTTATTCAGAAAACCGTTATGCAAGTTAAAAATATCTGGATGTCTATCTGAGTTTTCTAAGTCAGCAGATTGCTGATTACCAGAGAAAAGTACAGTAAGAAATAATCTTAAATTATTTTCATTGTATTTGTTTAGAAAACGGCAAACACAGTAATAGATTAGTAGGCAAATTTCGTTACGATATCTTGAACATACGTCACTGCATGTTTTGAATTCCCCAATCAGGTCCTGCAATAGATCCCTCAGATTTGCACAGTAGGCCATAATCCGATTTTTCTTAGGACTTGGAATAAATTCTGAGTTGATTAAATTTTCTGAGTCCGAAATTATCTTTTTCAACTTATCCATTATTTCTGGCCTTATCTCGGTGTCATCTGGCCTCTGAAACAGAACCTCTACAGCAACCTATCAGTAAAAGAATAAACTACATTGTCACCAGTAGTATAAGACAGTGAAATCATTAAATGAGTACTATGTACTAATATCGATGATTATAATTTACGAATCTAGCTTTTCACGAACTTCTCGCTGCTACGAACTAACAGTCCGGTGATGCTTCATGTGTAAACAACCCTATATATAAGTCCCGTTATCAAAATTCTACCTCTTGGTGCATACAGAATTCAAAATACCGTAGTTTCACTGAATAACTAGTTTCTTAAATGGTATTTAAGTCCTTCTAAAAAGCAAATCTATATACAATCACTGCCAAAATTACTTGGAACACCTAACACTTTGCGCTGTGCCTTTCTATTTTTCATTTGTTTTTTTTTAATACTACCACTTCCGCCCCCCCCCCTTTCCCCCCAAAACAATGTTGAAAGTATAGAAAAATATCAAACAATCCACAAGAGAAAGCGTACTCCATAACCCCTTTCTTTTTTCTATAGTAAATCAACATTATTCTTAGGGGGAGAGGGGGATGGCTGAATTTGCCTTTGAAAACCTACGTTTGTTAATGCTATACAAGAAAGTGCTATAAAGCCTTTTGAGAAATGGCGCAAAAAATGGAAACAAAATGTGCGGTTAATGGAATTTAGCTTGGACTGCGACACAATTTAAAAAACAGTCTTCTAAAATCAGTCCTCTAATTACTCAGTATCGATAGAATGAAATTATCATTGGGAGGAGGGGGCTGCTTAATCAGCTGCTGTTCCAATATGCAATATTAGCTGCAAAAATCTCGCATACATTTGGGTAAAACAGTCGCTTTTATCGAAACACATTGTGCAGCGGAATGTACAAACATTGCGCAAATGAGAGGCCCATTGACAAGGACAGTAAAAATATTTGCACAAAATAATTTGCGATTGGAGTTAAAGTGTACAATCTCACCTCAAAGTCTTTAAACTCCATTCCTAGTCCTCTAGACATTTCAAGTGATGGTTCGTACGAATTTTCCTGAACTATTTCTTTCAGAGTTGACATAGCAGTCCGCATGCACTGAAAAACGCCACTGCGATTTCCGAGAGCCAATGGAGAGTCAGGATGGCGTAGACACGTCTACAAGAAACACAAAAATAGGAAAAGCCCGAATACGACATCTGAGGGAGCATCTGTGATTTCCATTGTTGAACGAATTTTCTCAAGAAAAAAGTTCTCAGTTTTAAGGCAGTTATGAGAAATGCTTATTTTTCTATGTTAAATTCAATATTTGACCATTTTATCAGAGGTGTATATGATGAAAAATGATCAAAACTTAGTCATTGTGCTAAATTGCTCACAGCTTGGAACTCCTTTAATTTTGAAACCTTTGTACTTTTTCGTTCTCAAATTTAGCAGTTATAGGAACTTACAAGGATCTGCATAACTGGTTAGGAACTTAGAAAAATCTCGCAATAAATTTTTTCATATCACTGTAAATAAAATTATGACAGCCCAGCTCTAGATATTTGGTACAAATGTAGTCTCTAAAAGCAAAGACAAGTTTTAGGCCAATCATTGATTATTAAAGCTCTTGATTAGATTTGATATTAAGTCTTTTCGGGTGAAATTCATGAAAATTTATATTTACTTGTAAAATCATATATAATTTGCATTTGCATGCAAATGCATGAAAAGACATAATGGTGAGATAGAATACCTGTTGTTTGTTAATTAAACTGTCTACTTTGGTCTACAAAAAAATCCTTATGAGAGCTGAGCTTTAACTTAAACTCACCTTGCAAGATGTGAGAAGCATCATTGTTGACTTTTCCAAAACAGCCCTTGCAGCACACATTTCAGCCCTTTGTTTATCATCTTTAAGGTCCTGTGCAAGATAACCAAAGCAATTGCTTACTGAGGTACAAGAGCAACTTAAGTACAGAAGATTCTGCAAAAAGACAGGATTTAAAAATAATTCACAAGCAAAGCAAGACTGATATCATATTAGAAACTTGTATTCATAAAATATAAAGGTGATTACATTCTGACGGTCACCAGAAACATGGGCCAGCTCAACCATGTCTGCTCCAAACTGGCTAAAAGCTTGAACAAAATCTGTGAAAATATGTACATTTTCCAACTCTCTCAGCTTTTCATCCACCTGGAAAGAAAAATGATCAAATTTGTCACCTTGGTTAAAATATTTTTAGCAGAAATTTTCAAATAACAAGATAAGATTACTCGCTATATGAAAGTAGATTTTTGGGGCCCTTGAGGATGCCAAAACAACCGTGCATTGAAGAGGCATTGAAGATCAAAGAGGGTTTGTTCTACACAGAGTGGAGGCAATGGAAAAAGTGGTTTGCAAGGGCAGATCAAAAGAAAAAAGTGACTGAGTTCTGGGCCAGGCTTGGCAAGAGAAAAATTTTCTTGGCCTTAGCTTATTGGCTTAACCACCAGGTTGAGATTTTCTAGTAGAGGGTGGGAGAGCTGGAAGATCATTCTTGAATTTATCAATGAATTTATCCTTATCAAAAATTATATTAAAATGACATAAGCTAAATTGATAAAAACATACCTTTTCTGCGGCCCTGACCAGCTTTTTGACAGCAACAACATCTGCTAGAAGCAGGCTTCTAGTAATTGAGCCAAGTAGCACTCTAGACACTTGAACAATAGCAGCTTTATCAAGAGACAGGCTCTCATTCAAGTCTGTAAGTTTAAGAATGATCTCTCCACTTTTTAAAGCTTCTGAACAGGTTTCATTCATGTCATCAGCAATATCATCATTTTCTGCAGCTATGGTTTGGCCAACATTTGAAAAACTGTCAATTGCTTTCTGTATATTTGTGCCAGCAGCTTTTAAAATCTGTTTACTTTTGTCTGTAAGTTTTATTCGCTCTTTTAGGTTGACAAGTGTTGTGATCTTGAACAACAAAAATATAATGTACCAAGCAGTCCATAATAGCAAGGTAGGTCAGAATTGCAAATCTCATAGAAGCGTTTAAATCAAGGAGATTTGCTATCCTTTTCAACTGCTTCTTATATCAATGTCCGTAATAATAAGCTACTTGACATGCTTCTCTTATAATGAATTACTAGGGTTAGATTGCTAACTTTTACTGAAGTGAAGAGAATCTCACATCTATCAAAAGACCTGCTGAACATTTCCGTCAATGCTGCAAGGAACTCTCAAAGAAATTTTCAATGTTTTTTACAATATCATATGCATCTTTAATACCTGGTCATGTGAAGGGTTTCAGCATTGGCAGGCCTTCCTGGAATAAATTAGCACAAGTGTGACATTTCACACCCCTAGGCTGATTTAGGCATGTGATGGAGTGCTATTGGTGTTTTGTCTTATTTCTACAAATGTTTAATTACATAATATATGGAGCCTTCAAAAACCCCCTTTCTTAAGTCATTTTTTCAGTTTTCACACAACTTTAGCAATTTATTTTTTTTTGTGGCAAAACGATAAAGAAAGGGTAAGGATATTGCCAGAGATCTTTACTAAATTTGATGCTGAAAGTATTTTAGATGCAGTTACCGGCAATCCCTCTTGCCACCAACCATGGTGGCAGTCTTCATGAAACCCTTGAAAAAAGTTAAAATTTTTGCCCAAACTTTCAATTGTGTATCATCAAAAGGTATATGAAAACAGCTTTGAAAACATTACGATTTGAAAATGGCACGATTTGAAAATGGCATGATTTGAAAATGGCATGATTTGAAAGTGGCACAAAATGTTTCAGTGCAAACGCTTGAAACAAAACAACTTTATGCAGATGTATCCAAGTGTAATAATAATATAATAATAATAATACCTTTTTACTGAGTTGGTTTGACAATAGTGTGAACACTAATAAACACTAACATGAAGCAATTTAGGAGATTGAATTATGGAAGTTGTTGACTGCAAGCGTTTCAGGCACATTGATTTTAGAAATAACAATCTTTTATAAGAACTTTCATTGACTTGCATTTTTAGAGAAATTTATTTCACTTGACGAGAATTCCAAATCTTTAGACCCAAAAACACTTAAAAAAATTTCATGCCTTTGTCACAACCTGCCGCTTTCCAAATGAATAATTTGTGGAAGAACGGGACATCCTCAAAAATGCCATATTGCACAAGCCCTTCTGGGGAGGGTTGTTTAGCATTGCATCATTCTCCATTTATTTTTAACCCAGCTGGCGGTGGCAACTGGTACTGAAATCACTGGCATAAAAGAATAGCGTACAGAAAGCAAGCTTTCCAGCATGGGGCCATTGGCGAAGGCTTTCAAAAAACAACAGCTCCTTAGAATGATAGATGCCTGACGATCTGATATTTCGCACACAACTTGCTCCAAATCTTTGTTGCATATTGCTTATTGTCACGGACTTAAATAGTATAACCCTAAAATGTCACTGTTGCCCCATTTCAGGAATATGGCAAGCTCCTTTGTAACCCCTTTACATTTTTTGCTGAAGACACCAAACTTACAAGTATAGATCAGAAGAAATACGGCACAAATCTTTTGTTTGAAAATTCAACTTAATTTACCAATTGAAAAAGGTATTTTAGAAACATCTGCATGCTAACACAGGTCTATGATAAAAATGCGTGATAAAAATGTTTTTATGAGCACTGGACTAGAAGATGATTACATTGACGTATAATCATGGTTTCTGCAGCCTTAGATGTAAGTATTAAATTTACCAGACCACTACTAGCCCTGATACTATGGTCATTTGGTCTATGTTTGATTGCATTCAAGTGTCATCACAACAGCTCTTCAAAATGATTATGATGACCCAGGACTGTGGACAGGACCGGTGAAACACATGAAAATAAAACACAAACACGCTTATTATGATTGGGGGATGAGGGGTCCCAAACTGTTGATGACCACAGGGCAAACAGTGCATGACTACATTATTATATAAAGTATGCATTTAACGTTTACATTCAATGTGTCATCAAAAATAATGATCCTGAATATATTTATGCCAATGTATGTGGCACAGACAGGAGAGGCTGGCACCCATTTAAATGTTGTATTAGAATGTGATGATGAGTAAAACAATACGGGAAATAAACATCCACCTAACTTGTGCACAAATTTCATATTTAAAGAGTTTTTTACCAATTTGGTTTTAAACAACATCTAAATAATCAGATTATATCCCTTAAAGCGTGTCACATGTTTATATCCCTTCATTAACATGTTTCTGTCCAGAAAGCTATTTCAATATTTTTTGCTTGACCTACAAAAACACAAGCTTTTTTCCTTTTTTTGCAACATTTTAGATCTTGCAGATGAGATGATATATTTCATTTTACTAAAGATGTTGTTGTGCCCCTCTACTTCTCTCCTCCAAGTTCTATCAAGGCTGCATGCAAAATGGATTCTCTGATACACTACCCTCATGCTAGCCTGTGGGTGAGATCCTTATTGTTAGGGTAGGGTCTCACTGGTACCATAATAAGCTGATGCACAACAGCTTATCAGCCTTCTTTGGTCAGTAAACCCGGGCTTATAAGAAAGCTTATCTTAATACACTTAAAGGAACGCTTGCTTTTATAGTTCAAACATGTTTCATTTTGGACATTTGCATTGAATCAACTACTACATATCAAAAGTCAAAAAAAGGAGAAAGATAAGTATAAACTTATGAGGAACAGTTTTGTTTTTATAAGAAGTTAATGGAAAACGAAAATTTTAAATGAAGCAATCAAATGCACCATTTCCTAAATAAAAGATGACTTTAAAGGGGAGCAGCCAGTTGCTCTTTTTGTCACCATATATTAATGGAAGAATTTAAGTAGACTCAGGTGCTCCATCTTTAAACCCAATGGATAACAGCTTAATGTATAATTTTAGTACCTTGTTCTCAGAGCTTTTGTGTGTATTAGAAAACAAGATTTAATACATTCGCCCAGAGAAGTAGACAGTCAGTGCTTGTTCACCCTTTATTTAATTATACCGTCTTGTTTGACATAGGGCCCAAAGGGGTTCTTGGATCTGCAATTTGCAATGAGTAAAACTTAAATATCTTAATACTTATGCTTGGGTAGATATAGCTAGTCAGTTTGCAAAAACAACATCACCAAAATAAAATAAATTACTGATTTTTATCAATGATGAGATAGGCACAACTGGCAATGCCCACATAATAATATGACACTGACAGACAACAACTGGTTGAAAGACCCCCATGAAACAGACAGTGTGGACAAGACATTGGAAAATGCTAGACAGGATATTCGGGAAAGGGAATTTATCTATGAGCAACTCTGTATAATTGGGAGCAATTTGACATCTGTGGTTGGTACCATTGAATACGCTTAAGAAATTAATAAGATTCCTTTGTAAAGCAAGTTACAAATAGTAAATAAATAGGCTAGTGCATTTTTCAAAATGAAGAACGTAGTTTGCATTTATAGAAGACAAAGTTGTCTTTTTACAGCACGGTCTATTTCCAATATCAAACAGGATAAAATCCATCCCCTAACAAATCTATACAGTCCATTTTGCAATTGACTGACAATCTATACACCAAGTGAAAAATTAGACACGGGTTTACCTGTCCCTGTTAAAATTTTCCAAATTAGCAAACAGTCGTTTTAAAAAAGGAATTTTTTGGAGAACAAGCAACTGACAACTGACCCTTGGAACAAACGTGACAAGCGGTACCTGTTGTTTCAATCAAATCAGCTTTTATGTTTGCATGAAAAGAATGGTAAAATATTTAAATGTTGAGATAATATACCTGTGCAACTAATGGCACGAGAGCTTGTTCAACAGATCTTGTACGAATTTCAAGATTTTTTGCATCCCATCTCGCCATGACCACGAAAAATTTCGACAGCACGCGTGGGCCTAAGCACCTCGTGCAAAATTGTTCACTTTAACTTGGTGTCACATCCGTGCCGAGGAAATGCAAAAACAAATTCCAGTGCTTTACTGGACTGGCAAATACTGTCAAAGAAAAATAGATTTCCACTGGACCATTTTTATCCCATTTCAGGCTGTGCCATCGCCCTAAGCCGCAAATCGTCTCACAACAAACAAACGCAGGGGGCGCGTCTCAATCTATCGCTTCGCATGGTGCGCTTTGTTCCACGGACGCGCTTTGCATCCGAAGAATTTTATCAATCATTTTTGCATTATCCCTTATTGTTGAGTACAAGGGACTTAATGTTTTCAGTTTCCTAAATTTCAAAAGAACATCGTTAACGGATTTTGATTATCAAATCAAAACACGTTATACGCTTTCAGGATAATATTTTGCATAACATCAAAAACAAATAAGGTCAGCATCCCAAACGCCGAGAAAATTGTGAACAAACACGGGTTATGATGTGGTTTCGGTGTGGTTTTAGTGGCATTTCAACTTTCAAATTAACAAAAAAGTTTGAGTACAACTAAATGTACAACTTGCCACAAACATGAATTCCATTGTTGTTGAAAAAAGGACACTGATCTAACTTTTGACGACATAAGAAATAGCGATAGACCAGGCGGAGATTAGGGGAATGGTCGCTCGAGGGCGAAATTTATGGGACCAAGTGCTTTTTGTCAATTCGAGGGTGCTGATTTCGAAAATCGATGTTAACAATCTTTTGGTGGTACAAAACTTGTAAATGGCTTTGAAAAAAGCAAACATTTAGTAAACTAAAGCTTTTCGTCTGACACTCTTCAGAGTTTAAAACGTCAGAACATAGATCGAAAACTCTACGCTAAGAAATTATATATACCCAGTTGTGGATCGAAATCGATGTTATACGGGGATTTTGGGGGGCCATCAGCCTCTTTTCATGTTTGAAGTCTCGTTTTTGAGTATATGAAAGTATTGAAAAAACAGTTTCAATGGAAAAAAGTTAAAGTCTTAAAGCTAATTAAGCATATTTCTTGCGCATAAATGCTTAAAATTGAATTATGGTCTGTTAAGGGGGGCCAAAAGCCTCGTTTTCACGAGAAAATTGCGTAATCTTAAAATTTTTATCCTTAAATAGACATCTACAAAAGCTTAAAACATCTTTTTTTAGACTAATATTTTAATTGTCGTCCGAAGAAACTATGCAGCGCTATTAATTACTAACTGATAAATGACAATATGAAAAAACAACCGGATCATCTAAAAGTAGTTTAATCGTTGCAAAGTTCCTCAAGATCGTCTTCTCAGTCATTGCACACGACACTTTAAGCGTAAAGCTCTTTTTCACTCTGACAATAGAATCCTCATTCACCCCAACCATGATCTATCTACTAGGAAGCCCAACTGAAGCATCAAACCACCTTGAAATCATATAGATTTAGTTTGCATGCAGAATATAAAGCCTTGTGTTTTCTTCACATGGCGATAGAAGACTGAGATTTATGATTTCTTAATGTCTTTCGACCTTCTGCACAAGCATTATGTGTCAGAGAAGATTTACTCAAGATGTGCTTTGACGACGAAGTGTAACTAGAAACATAGTTATAGCAAGAAAAGGCGTGCAGGCCAAGTAATGCTTTCTTTTTCTAGAAATTTTGAGTTAACTCAAAATGAATTTTTTTTGAGAATTTTGGAGCCGTTCTAATCAATGATATTAACTTTCAAATTTTCAAAACAAGTTTGTAACCTGCTTCAAAATAATTTTTTTGATATAATTACGATATAATTAGCAGGGTTCAAAGGAAGGCTGATTATAATCAGCGAAACGACACGAAACGAAACGAAATACTGCGAAATATTAAAAGATATGGTTAAAAATAACAACAAAGTACGCCAAAATTCTCAAATCATTTCATAATATTATGATAAGCCCAAAGGAATCAGTAAAAGCCTCTTTACATTAAGGAGAAGTTTTACAAATATTTGATAAGATATCCCTTACTTCAGTTTTAAACTCCAGCCTCTTTTCTGACATGTCTGCAAGAGTCTTTAGTGTTCATCGGAACATCGATCGATGATTGACTAAAATGTCCATTAAACGACAAACGTGCTGTTTCAACCAGTGCGATCTTATTTTACGTGCAGAGGACACGGAGCCAGAGAGATGCAAACTGTTTGTGCAGTGTGTAACGTGATTTCTACTGACTGATTATAATTTACAAAAGTGTGTATTGATATAGAAAACTGGCAAACTTAATTAAGAGTTATACAAAGGAATGGATATGCTCGATGGTTAACAATGGTGTGATAGATTAGGTTAAAATGACGTGTAATTAACATAGAGAATGATGAATATAGAATTACGTAGGTATGCAGAAGAAGCAATGATGGATTGTATAAAATGGCCTTAATTGAATCACTACAATAGCCCCCTCCCTAGAATGCAAGCGAGTGTGAAGCATTCGATACGTAGAGAGAAAAGCGAGAAAAAAAAATGCAATGACGAGAACGAATTAAGTTTTAGAGTTCGAAATTTAATGTTCATTTTTGGTTGTGCGTGTTACTTGCCAGCTCTTGTGATGTGAATTGACATCTTGCAGAATGTGTGCGGAGAGTGGTGCTTGCGGTGCCGAAGTTTTTTTTTTGGGTAGGTTGACCAGCCTGCGATGGATTGGAGGCGTGTATGTGAGCAAAGAACGAATGCCATGTTGCTGCCTGCCGTAGCTGTGTGAGGCGTGTGAGACAATGTCCGATGCTGTTTGCTGCCTTGATGCGAATGGTGTAGCGTAGCACTACGGTGAGTCGAGCGCTGCTGTGTTCGCTTGTTGCGAGTTGGCACTACGGTGATTCGAGTGCTGCTTGATGATGGTGTATGTGCATTGTGGTGCGTTGAAAACAGCGTCGTAGAATGTGCGTGTCAATGCAGCCGCGGTCACGTCGTGGTCACCAATTTAGTGTTCATCGGAACATCGATCGATGATTGACTAAAATGTCCATTAAACGACAAACGTGCTGTTTCAACCAGTGCGATCTTATTTTACGTGCAGAGGACACGGAGCCAGAGAGATGCAAACTGTTTGTGCAGTGTGTAACGTGATTTCTACTGACTGATTATAATTTACAAAAGTGTGTATTGATATAGAAAACTGGCAAACTTAATTAAGAGTTATACAAAGGAATGGATATGCTCGATGGTTAACAATGGTGTGATAGATTAGGTTAAAATGACGTGTAATTAACATAGAGAATGATGAATATAGAATTACGTAGGTATGCAGAAGAAGCAATGATGGATTGTATAAAATGGCCTTAATTGAATCACTACAAGTCTATTTTGCAAAAAGTTATTAACCTCCAACGTTCCACGAGGCAAGCTGTAAACATTTTTGTTTTCATTTTTATTTTTTTGCCTCAATTTTGTTGTTAATTGAGAGAAGCTATAGCCTCTTGAGTCGTTGCTGACCAATCTTGTTCGTCTATAGTTTTTAGAAAGACCCCTCAGCACTGGCTGTTACAGCAAATGTATTTGAAAGGCTCTATACAGATTTGGGCCTTGCACATTCCGGTTTCATGCATGTACATTGCTTCACAATTAACTCACCCTTTTCCCCCATTCTCGTTGTTTTGGGAGCTTTTCAACAGAAGGCTTTCTAAATACTAGACAGAGACAATATATTAAACCTATCCTCCATATCGACTCTACTTTGCTTTCTGTGGAAAGGAGTGCTGTTGGAAACAAGGCCCCAAATGATTTAAGTATTAATGTTAGAGTTTTTTTGAAAATGACAAAATAGCAAATACCAGATATTGCCGAATGGAAATTTTACCGACTTTTGCGAAAGGTACGCAAATGATGAGAAGCTTGACTGGATGAAGGGAAGGCTGAAGCAGTGGCGTAGCGTGAGCGCAGAACTTAGGCATGCGGTAACATAAAATATACGGCTATGTTGAATAAATGTAATCGTAATTTCAGTTTCTAAAAAATACAAGCGGTAATTAATGATAATCGTGATAGCAAATTTTGATTTTCAAAGTAACAAATCATTAGTACTCTAATTCTAATCAATCAAGGTGTCTATTCTTAGCATCAGAGGCTCCGACAGAGGTTGGCAAGTGAAGAGGGGCCAAGGGAAAAATTATCACCCATGCGAAAGTTTTTGAAAAAAGCTCAGTTGTTTAGCAAGACTTTTCAGAATAACTCCTAGTGCTAAAACTGCTTTGCAAAATATTTTATTCTTATTCATATTCCTCAAGAAAAGGCATCACCTAATGCCCACCTAATGTAAGAATTTTTTATGCTATTATGAAGCTGGGGATTCCCGCAAGAAGGAGCTCTCCACATTGCGAAATTGTTAACACACTGCAGAGCCTAAGCGAACAGGAGCAACAGTTTCTGCTCATTTTTTACTCTCATAGTTAACTAAGATGAAAATAGTGAGCTGTGAGAGTTGTTAGAATTGAAGATGCTTCCATGTGTAAAGTTTCAGAAAGTTAGTCCCGGCAAATCATCATGTATTTGGCAAGGCTTGCGCTCAGGTCTACCGCATGCCCTGGTCCGTAAATTCTGACTATACTGGCAAGCCTTTTGACTTGAATTACGGAATGCGGATCATGACAAATAGACTCTGACCCCACTTTGACGAAACTTTTTCTCTTTTCAACAGTCACAAAGTAAAGAAAGGAAAATAATTGGATTTGAAATGATCTATCACGCAAAGAGTATTCGCAAAAAGCAGCTTATAGGTAGAAACATGTTGTGGATTATCAAATATTTGGGAAGGCTTGCGCTCAGGCCGACCGCAAGCTCCAGTCCGGAAAATTCTCACTTCTCTCAGAAGCTTCTCTCGAGTTGCACTGAAGCTGCACTGGAGCATCACATGTTTCTCTTATTTTGGACAGGCAAAAAGAGTGATGTGGAGGGGCTTCAGTTTTTCAGATTTTTCGAATTTCATAATTTTTAGCGATCTGTTTACTTATAAAAATAGCCAATTTGGGGCCAATTGGCCTGTTGGCGCTAGAGTTCACTGCATGCTGCTCATGACAAGAAAGAGAAGCCGTTTATTGCGGAAATTGTTATGCATTGAAAGTGTTGCAAGAATTTTAGAATTTGTCTATAAATTTTTACGCTTGCGCCGCAAGCGTAGCATACATAGACGCTACGCCACTGGGCTGAAGGTGTGGAACAATGTTGAGATTGGCAACACTGCAAGAGACAGGAAAAGATAAAAATTATTTGACAGAAACTGAAGAACAACTCATGAAATCTTATGCCATGATATGCTACGGTACAAGAAGAAGAAAAAGAAGAAAGTGCGTATATCTGCATAGTATTTAATAGCTTTATATGGTTAGGAAATCAACCTTTCTTCTTACTGTTCTTGCTATTCTGGCTGTTCTGGCATTTCTGGGTGTTCTTTACGAAATGACTGGCACTAATTTGACTAGAAAAGATCTCAAGCAAAAGATCAAAAGTCGTCAAGATTTTTCCCCCTCGCCCCCTAATAACTGCCACTGCCTGGGAAGGTGAAACCGGGGAGTTAAATAGCATTAATACAATGTACTACACTGCCTGATTATATGGTTTTGAAGGCTGCACTAATTTGAGAGCAACATGAAACGCTAGTCTTCTTCCCCCCGTATGAATGGGTTGAGATGTGTCAAACTTCATATCTGGTTATTCTGTGCCAGATATACTAAAAGATGTAAAGTAGAAACCAAAATGCCAAACTCACCCAGGGCCTTTAAAAATTGGGGTTACATTTCCCATGACCCACATCTTTCTGACCAATAAGCCTTTGACTTAAAAAAATTTTCTTGTTCTCTATGGCGGATACACAATTTAGCATACATAGATATTCCATATAAACTTTTATACTCTTATCCACGCTTCCCTATGACTATCCCAAATCTTGCACAAACACCGTGCATCTTAAATACCACTTATCAAAAAAGCCAGTCCCATCATCCACCAAAACCTAGTATGCACCCTTCCTTTGTAAAAACTTTGTCATTAAACATGCCCCCAGAGGCTCATCTGTTTTACTACACACGTGTAAAAGCTTCACAAAAAATGATATTGTGTAAAATATGACTATTTCAGTGGCGGACACTTGGTAAAATATTGGGGACAAGCCTATTGTTTTAATGAGATGATGTCAAATTTGCCTATTGTTTTAGAACAAAAGACCATTGTCCTCCAAAGTTTTGGGGGAGGCTGCCCCCTCCTTGCCCCCAGGTGTCCACCACTGGCCTATGTATGTTTTTGCAAGGTCTGACTTTTTCTCTGCATTATTTTCAAACATGTTACTACTGTTTCAACAAACTATTTATTGAAGTTCTCCAGAAAACTTTCAGTAGCTATTTCAACTGAATCTGCTTGTAATACATGCTCATCATTTTTAGAGACTGTTATAATGCATGTTTTACCAAGCATTTCATCAACAATTGACTTCTGAAATTGTTCTTCTTTACTTGCAAACTCTTCTGAAGACATGTGAAATAACTCTTTGCAAGCACACTCTGAAACCTGGAGTTTAAGCAGCTGATGTGGGCTTGACTTTTCTACAAAAATTGTCACATTGTATTGCCAAATCCATTTCTTTGATATATCGTCAGTTTCCTAATCAAAAGATGAAAATAAGTGAGACATAGATTTTCAGGCAACTAGTGATCAGTGACAGAAGTTGAGATGATTGAATGGTGGGGCGATCCTACAAGGCTGCAGTAGTTAGGAATCAAGCTGTAGCATCAAAACAGTTGGTACTCGCAGAAAGAGCTCACAAGGATAAGTTTATGTACTTACAGACTTTCCACACAAAACTACTATTTCGGAAGCAGTGCACTGACATCTAGGACACCACAAGCCTTCTCCCCCATTTTCACATAAACTAGCCAGGCATGTGAAATGCACTTGTCTTACATATCTTCCAGTGGCTGTCTTTAACTCACTGATTTTGCCCAGCATCACAAAACCATGATCCTGTGGCTTGATCACCTCAACTAAGTCATACATACAAGGAGAAGCAACATAGCCTTTCAAAGAGCTGATGTTTGACAATTTCCCGCCCTCAAATGTTTTCAGTGTACAGCATTTATAATCTGTGTGAGAAAAGGTAGCAATAAGTTTTTGTTGTTGTTCTAATATTAAAAAATCATGCTTTAAATAAAAATATTCACTGTATGTGGACCAGAACATGCTATTAAAAATATTCATGACCTGTATGAAGTGATTAATTGAATTTTGCTTAATTTTCACTGTGGTCTTCTACCCATTGATTAGCAGTCTCTTTGTCTGATTCACAGAGCCTAAATTAATTTCAGCTTTATTTGTATTTGGTGTGGCTTATATAGACAAGAATTTCTATGGAATATACAACATACATTTCTATGCAATAAGGAATTCAAATTAAGTAACACAAAGTAACATTTGCCCATGATAAAGAATAGATGTTAATTTTGGACATAGCCAAAAACAATATGGCACTGCAAATATTTTCCATTTATTACCGCTATATTTACCATCCTATAATTTATGAATGTGAAAATATTTACCATCTGTCTGTAAGTTTTCAAGTAACAAAACCTGTCCTGGATACAAGGTTTTGTGGTGCTGACAGGAATCATCAAAAATTGCAACTTTCAAAACTCCAAATTCATCAAATATTTCAATGTCAAACTTATACCCTTTAACAATTTGATGCTCAAAGACAACTTTTGGTGATAATGTCTTTATTGTTCCTACAAATGTCACATGGAGGGAATTTCTTTTCAAGTCAACTGAAACAAAGCGATTAGGGTAGGATTGAAAATCCAGTCTTCCATCTGAGCTTCTTTTAACTAATGATGAATCATTTTGAGTTGCTTGGCTGGATATGATCTCTGTAGATATGTTAGCAGGAATCAAATAAAAGATTGTTGCAGGCCCATATTCTAAATGGGCATCATTCCCATCATTCACAAGAAAAGGCTCCTCAATGCACAATAAATCGCCAACACCAAAAATGTTTCTAAAAGCAACAGCTTCATCCCAAAGTACAAGCTTGATTCTGTTTGACTTGGAATCCATAACACTGATATCCACTTTCCTTGTGCTGTCGCCATATGGATTGTGGATTGTTTCTTGGCGTCCAATTTCATTTATAGTGACAAACAAATTCCTGCTGTAGTGAGGGAAAGTATCTTCGTCCCAAATCCCATCTAGTGAGAGAAACCTTTCAGATATAAATCTCTTGTCACTCACAGGATTTAGTACTGGAATTACATATTCTGTTGGTAGAAGCCTGAAGTCCCACAAACTTCCAAGCTGCTTACTTTGCAGATTATGAACTCTAAGGTTTGTCATCCTAAGAGGGTAATTGACAAATTTCTCTTCCATGCAGCAAATTTTTTGATGCAAGTACATTTCAACTGCAGGAAGGCAAGCTTCCTCGACATATCCTTGATCAACAAGTTTCCTGTCTATTAGCCTCACTATTCTTGTCGTTTTTATGTCGTTATCCTCTGAAACTGGTCTTATGTAGCATTCAATGCATGCTGAAATGTTTGCCTGTCTTGATTCGAGTATTTCACTTACTGTGAGTGTGCAACCAAGCTCTGTCTCGGATAAACTTTTGGTCGTAAGCCTGTTCTGGTCGTTTAGGCCAGTTACTAACTCAGATAATATTACTGCATCTGTGAGGCCAGTTGGGTACTTTCCTAAAACCTGGACGATCTTTGAAGCCACGTATGACCAAGTAACAGATGAATTTTCATATCCTCGTCTTTTTTGTTCCGACGTCAACTCAGACAGTTTTTGGTGAAATTGGTCAACAGCTTTTAAAAATCCCGCCATCTTATAACATTCCTTTTTGCAATCTCGTTGTGAAAAATCAACAAGATTCTAACCTCGGTTCTGTGCCACAGGCTTGGGTCGGGTGTAGGTGGTTGGTAAACTTTCTGTGTACTACAGGGGGGGGGGGTTTATCGTCCCACATAAATAATGTCCCATCTCACCTATTCCATATTTTTACTCTAACGAAAGCAACATGATCAATTGCAATTGCACTTTCGAAAATGTCTCAGTTTAATGCAAATAACGCAATGTATAAAAAGTGACAAGCTTTCCCTAACGAACTACGTCAAATAATTTAGCACTCTTGGGGACTCATCAGAAAATTATCTGAAATAATCCCATCCATTTTACTTCTAAGGCGAATTAAGAGATTAAAACGTTACTTTAACAAACATGATTTGTGTTCTACAATCATTTGTCACTCAAGTTTTTTGGCTCATTCCTATTCGACCATTTGAGTGATCAGAAACTAATATATAATACTTACTGCCGACTAAAAGAGAAGAAGAATGGACTGCTGATAATCACATAAGAAGATTATTAAGCAGATACTAAATAATTGGCGAATAGTAAGGAAAATTGACTTAAAATTATATATGCTCAGCTTTTTAGCATAAGGTCAATAGCTCTAGGCTCGTATTTGTTCACCTCATTTAACTATGAGAAAAAACCATTATTTTTTATTCAAAAATTACTAGTACCTTCAAATATTTAAAAACATCAAGAACCAGCAACATTTTCTATGCTGTCCTCAATTCATATTCTTCCTTTAACATCACTAGTGGTTTTAGGTAGACTTATAAAGTCTTTATCTTATTTCCGAGGCCCCTGAAAGGCCATCATTTCCACTCATTTTATCAGTAACGTGCAAACAAGTAACTACATGATCTTATTTTTGTTTATTTGACCTAAATTGTTGCGTTCAGAAGAAAGATGTTTATATTTTATCAAGAGTCCTGAAGTGGATGGAAAATTACCGCCTAGCCAAGGGGAGCACTGCCCGCCCAACTATAATTATTTGCCCCTCTCTGGCCGTCCAAAAATTTTGAAATTTATGTCTAAAAACTTAGAAAACAGCGTTTTTCTATCGAAAAAACTCGCTTAACTAAGTCTGAACATCTGTGCATTAATGATAATAACCAATATCAATTGTGCACCAGTTCACACAATGCTATATCGAGTGGATCCACCTGCTGATATACTTCAGACTGCGTTGGATGCTTGTTTTTGGCACTGAGCAAGATAGATTCTTCCAACGAAGACACAAAGCTTCATTTTGAACCATAATCTTTGAGGTCACTGCAATTCGATGAATTTTTAAATGTGGAAAGGCTTCTTTGCACCTTTATTCTGTTAAATACTTGATAGAAAACAAGCCTTCTCTTCAGATGTTTGCGTTTCATTTAATACCAGGAGCGTCGCTAAAGAAGGGCACTTTTCCCCATAGTTTGTCATACTTCCCCCCATATAAAATGTCGGCTATATTTTTAAAACTTCGGTGTAAATTTTGTTGGAAAGAAAAATTTCTGTGAGTAAAGAAATGAAACATTTTCTGTAAACTATTTCTATCTTCAACATAAATTATCTAGAACGCAATCGTAAAAGTTACAAAATTCATATTTTTTGAAGGTAGATAAGAAATAGTTTAATAAACAGCAGATAAGGGTATAATAAACTCTTACGAAATAATTGAGAGAAATTACGAAGAGCCAGTAGAAACATCAGCTCAATCCATAGGCGGCGGTGGATATCTTATTTTTTTGATCTCCTGAATGAAGAGGGCGGGAGAGAATGTTCGGTGGAACGGTGGATATCTTATTTTTTGATGACGAAGAAGAACCAGAAGCTGGAAAATGATTCTAACAATATCAAGGAAAATTTTTTTTTCTTATTTTTAAAGTCCATCGGCGTAAAACGACATTTTTCTAGCGTTGAAAAATTTGGGTAATAAGAAAATTCGGTGGGATTAATTCTGGGTTGTCCTACTTCACCGAAAATAAATCCCAATGGAATTATTAAAACACTCAGAACACATCGCTTTGGTAAAAAACGAGACATCATCAATGATTTGGTAATCATTTATAATAAAATCACTTTACAAGTTTGAAAAACTTCACAACGCAAGTCATAGATAATATTAATCTAGCATAATGTGAATTTAGATAATTTTACTGTAATTTAATAAGCACTAGAGGTAATTTAAAGAACCTATGTGTGAGCTCCTTAAAGCAAATCCAGTTTGCAACTTAAATGCCTATATTGCATCAGCAACTTGCATAAATTTCAGTAATCTTTAATTTTTTACACAACAATGAAGAAAATTATCTAGCTGCTTTTGTTATCTTAACACTGTTTTTGTTAATCCTATTTCTTTACATGTAATGAGCACAACTTTAGAGAATATGGACAATATTTATGAAACAACATAAATGCAATAAAGCGGAACTATTTCTGCAAAATATACAAATCATTAGTAGTAAAAAGCTTTAGAAATTTTCGTTCAGTTTAGACAAGTGGGTAGCTGGCCTTAGATGCGATTCCACATTGGTTGTTCTTGTTTCTTGACATCATGATGTAACCACTCAACCCCCAACTTGTTCCCCAGCTACAAAATAAAAAGTACAAGAATTCTATAAATACATATACAAACAGATGTAATATATATATATATATATATTTATATATATATATACATTATGATAAGATTGAAAACACACAACATAGATTCCTTTTAGTCAATAAATTGTCTTCCAGATAAGCCAAACTTTTGTCATGTATTTGCAACTTTGTAAGAATTTGTGATTAATGTGGCCTCAATACTATCCAGAGGTTGACAATTCCAGTTAAAAGTTGTTCTTCAGATGGAAGACCAGATCTTCTTGTGGTCTCCTGCTTATTGCCAGTAATCTCCTACATAGGGGGCTCTGGCCACAGAGATTGAGAATTCCAGTTAAAACTTTGTCACCTGGTGGTTACCCTGTGTAAGCATAATGGTCTCCTGCATAGGCTGTCCTAGGTGTTTAGGGAGACTGAATTTTCCACCTTGGCTATATAAGTGTTACTGCTTTAAGTTTATTCAGATACCAAGAGCTATGTGATCTATAAAGCAAAGATCCACTATTGTGGTCCTTTTAACTAGGATCCACTTCAATCTTTAGGTTTCTGACAGCCAAATACTATCAATTAAAATGTACAACTTTTTAAAATATGAAAATTATTGTTTTACCCCCTGTAACACAGTGCTTCAAGCTGTATAGTCAGTGCTATACATGCCTTGGTGTATAGAACAGAATGTTTAAATGTTGCAACTCTGGGTTCTTGGTGTGATCTGTTGCCTAATGATGGCATTAAACACGGAACTTTGAGATGCAGCTAAGAACCATCCAATTCTATAAGCCAAAGCATATAAGACATTTTTCTTTCCATCAGTAATAAGTCTTACCTGTTCTTGACTAGCCAGTAATCTTTTCCCTGGTATACACCATATCCAGCAACCAAGACACCATGATCAAGCCTTGTGGAGCTGCAAAGGGCGCTGTTGTAAACTCCTCCATGATAGAACTGGAATGAGTAGTGACTGGCATCAATAGCTACTGAAATTGGTCCAACTGTTGCAGTTGCAGTCATCAAAGCTTTCTCATCACCAGATGGAAGATCAACAAAGCCAGTGTCAGTGGCTCCAACATCTGATGCCTTGAATTTGCAGCTTCCTTGCTAAAATAGAATAAAGGCTTTTAAACATCTACAGTCTCATTACACATCAAACTACAGAAAAATATGCTTGCTATCTTGAAACATAGATACTTAGTAATTTTATAGTTGTATAAGAACATCTGGATGGTTATTGTGTCACTGAGGAGACTGAAGAAAGACAACAAAGCGCTTATGGGTAATTCCATATCAAATCATCAAAAGATTTCACAATTCAAAACCATAGTTTCTTGGATTGATTTGATTTCACATCATAGTTACATATGATCAAGATACACAACTTCCCAAAATTTCACGTGCAAAACCTGAACACTTTTCAAATTGTCATTGTTTAAAGATTTTGCTTATTTCAGCACTTTTTGAATTGTAAACAAGGAGATAAACACATTTAGAGAATGACTGTTTGCAATGCACTTCCCTTTATATAAAAAAATTTTGATCCAAACTTGGTTCATGAGAATAAACACATCTGTCTGTGAAACACAGAAGTGGCTAAATGTTTAGAACTTTCAGATGGGCTTTCTTGTGATCAGACAGAAAACTTTAAAAATGAATCATTGAAATTTAAATATTTGGCATTTAATGTGACACACTAACCACTGCTGTGTATGGATAGCTTTCTTCAGTGTCAATTCCTCCATTAGCCTTGATGTACTTAAATGCATTGTCCATAAGACCACCTTGGCATCCATAGTTTCCATATGAACCTGAACAATCAACCAAATTCTGCTCACTCAGAGAAACAAGCTTTCCTGACTTCTTGAAGTGCTGTCCTTCCAAAGATCCAGTCTTTAAAGAACAAATATTTTAATCTATTAATAAAACTGGAAAACATAAAAATGTTTTTGGCTAGCATTGCATTTTTTCCTCATTAAATTAAAGCAGTGCAAATGTACCATGTAAAAGTTATAATTGAATAAGTTGCTGCCTTCTTTGAGATTCACACTTGATACCATATACAGGCAACTGTTAAACCACTCTATACATATTTATGTTACCCTATTTACATGGTATGTCAAAAATGTAGGTGTTTACTTGCAGCAATCATCCATTAGAAATATATAATCTATATATATATATGGGCTCTTACTGTGCTAAAAGCCCAACATGATCCACACTGTCCTTGGTTCTTTACAGGAGTTACATATCCCTCTTTTCTCCAGTCAACTGTATCTGGGACATTGACATTGCTTGGAGCAAGAAAAGTTGAGCCTTTCTTTGTGTTATTATAATCGGCTTTGCCCATGTAACCATTCATCCTCATGCGGAACTCATCTTCAGTCAAGTCTCCAAAATGATTCATTGCCAATTCAACATCTTTGTTTGCCTCATTGAATTCGAGAATCTTTTTCATATTGTTTTGCCAAATTATGTACCTAACTCTCTCTTCACCATCATCTCCATAAGCTTTACTGTGTGTCTTTTTCCACACATGCCATGCTGAATCTTGAATTACCATGCCAAAGGCAGGGGCAACAACAAGGGCAAGAAATAGCAACTTCATTTTGAAATATCTATAAAAAGAATATTCGCTTTTGTGAACCAAATTTTTAAATGCTTTTTAAAGTAAATTGAAAAAATTGGCACTATAGTACATTTGCTTACACTCAAGCAATTTTGCTTACACTTAGAAGAAATCAGCAATTTGTCACTTGATTTCTATAAATAGATTTAAGCAAGACTCCCACATCTTATTAGGCATCAGATGATAATCATGTGATACCTACAAAACATGCCTGATGAAATGTATGATACAGCATAACCTTATTACAATATCATTCTGCCCAAACAAGTTAATTTGATTGTTTTGTTCAGCTAAGCAGTAGCATAGCAAGGGGGGTGAAAAAAAGAGGGGCAGATATCCCCTCTAATTGCAAAAACTCTCTTGGAAACGGGGTGCTTTCTGGCATTTAGAAGGATTTGGACCTCAGATTTTTCCTTGCTCATCTTGCTATTGCCCCTCAATCTTACTACCCTGGTTAGCTACTGCCATTCAGTTAAGTTTTATTTTAAAATCCAACAAATCATACAATTTAGATTACATTCACATAACTAACACAACTATACTTACAAAAATTATAGATATTAGTGAATAGAGAATAATAGCATAAACAATGGAAATTGCATGACTGGTTGAATTTCTTAAGAGAGAGTCCCCCTGTTCAGTCAGTTTAGAGTAACAGGCCCATTTTAAAAGAAAAATAGTTCAAGACTATCAGAGTTCAAAATTCAAAAAAAAAACTTTTCGGTTGTTGAGTAAGTTTAAAGAAAATATCAAAGTAAATGCCTCATTTTATAGGCTTTGAAGATGCACCTTTAATTTGGATTTAAAGGAATTTCTTACATGAATGTATCAGTTCCAACAGGAATATCATTCTATATTTTAGCCCCAATACAACACAAGGATTTTATACTGAAGTGTATTATTTTTAGTCAAGTACAAAACAACCATGCTTGCTTGCGTTGTAGAATAATGATGAACAGATGAACCAAGGAAGCAAGGAAGCAAGCAAGCAGATGAACAGAGAGCTGTTATGTAATCGAAGAGGAAATTAATGCAAATGTGCGTTAACATGTAATGAGGCAGACAAAGCATATAAAGACAAACAAAGCTGCCGTTAATCTCAACACCCTCCCTCCTTGTCGATACAATAAACATGAACAAGGAATGAGGAAGGGCGAGCAACATTAAAATTAACAAACCTGCAATAAATGCGAGAGATAATATTTGACAGATTCCTTCCTTGGCAATAAGCTTGGTTAGTTCGGTCGATTGAGTATTGAGATTTGTAGGAAATAGGCTTTCCGAAATAACAAATAGCTCCGCTTTAGAAAATCTTGCTGATACTTTTGAAAATTATCCGAAAAAAATCAGCAAAATGCGTTGCGTGTGACGCTTAGAAATAATAGAAACAAAGAAAACAACATTCTAACAAGCCCCATAGAAAAAGAGACGTGCTTCGCCCTGTCAAAGAATAGTACGATGGTATCATATTTCATTTGACGGTTTGCTTAAAACTTTATAATCATGAATAAGAGCCTCCTGTCTGCTACAGTATGCTAAAGAATGTTACAACTGCAAATGGGCTGGGAAATAAAACAATAGTGGGCCTAGATATGTCCTTGGAAATACTTTCAGCGAGTGTGAGTGGAGTTAGACGGCAATCCTTTGAAGCACTAGATCCTACTGTAGCATTCCATTTGTCACTGAGGTATCCATTACTTGGAATCGAGACATAAATAATTTAATGGCCAAACCGGCCGGCGAAATTGAGCTACTGGCCTAAATTGAAACATTGTGATCATGATTAAACGATGGTGGCAATAAGCTTGGTTAGTTCGGTCGATTGAGTATTGAGATTTGTAGGAAATAGGCTTTCCGAAATAACAAATAGCTCCGCTTTAGAAAATCTTGCTGATACTTTTGAAAATTATCCGAAAAAAATCAGCAAAATGCGTTGCGTGTGACGCTTAGAAATAATAGAAACAAAGAAAACAACATTCTAACAAGCCCCATAGAAAAAGAGACGTGCTTCGCCCTGTCAAAGAATAGTACGATGGTATCATATTTCATTTGACGGTTTGCTTAAAACTTTATAATCATGAATAAGAGCCTCCTGTCTGCTACAGTATGCTAAAGAATGTTACAACTGCAAATGGGCTGGGAAATAAAACAATAGTGGGCCTAGATATGTCCTTGGAAATACTTTCAGCGAGTGTGAGTGGAGTTAGACGGCAATCCTTTGAAGCACTAGATCCTACTGTAGCATTCCATTTGTCACTGAGGTATCCATTACTTGGAATCGAGACATAAATAATTTAATGGCCAAACCGGCCGGCGAAATTGAGCTACTGGCCTAAATTGAAACATTGTGATCATGATTAAACGATGCGTGATCAGCTTGATAAAAGAAAAATGCAACAGTTTGAGAAAGTAGACTTTGAAGTATAAGTAGAATTTTATTTTTGTTCTCTTACCTGTTTAAGTAATCTCTTCCTTCGCTGATGCAACGACTGGAGAGACTGAATGAGGCGGCGAAGCAACTTTATACCCCCAAGCTCATGTGATCTTGCCTTTGGTATTCGTCGGTCATGTGATTTCGGTCATATGACAACAAAACGCGTTGTGGCATAGTGAAGTCACGCTTGCTTAGTCACTGTGTATTCAGCGCGAAATTCAAATTCCTTGCATAGGTGTCAGAACAGACGAAGACATGAAACTAACATTCAAATGACTCAAACCCTTGAATACAAGGAATTTCAAAATCAATCTCAATTAAGAATAAGAAAAAATTTTTTTTTGAAAACAAAGAAATCAATATGGAACTAGAATTCGAATATATTGTAATAGAGCTAGTATGTAATAGATTTATTTAAAAAATTACATTTTGTTTTGTTTACGTAGCTATTTTGTAATCCCCCCTGTATCTCGAATGTTCTGTCTTCGCGACGCAGGAGACGAATTTTTCGCGCGAAGCGAATTTTTCGCCACGAATTTTTTAGCTGAAATGAAAACATTGATACAGAAAGTAATTTACTGAATTAATGCAAATAAAAGAAAAATAATAGAAATATACGTGAATAAGTTTGTAATTAGATCAAATAAAATCAGCATCTTAACAGTTTATTCTCTTTTTATTTCATACATGGTTGTAAAAAGTAATAGAAAAAATGATAAAACAATTCTTACCTTAACCTTACCAAAATGGGGGCCTTCAGCCCCCTAGCACCCCAGTGGCACCGTGCCTGTCATGAAAATAATTTACAACTCAAATTAGTTTTTGTGGACTCAACCCTGCCCTCATAAACAAATGCATCAATCATTGCATCCATTGGCTTTGACTTTCGGTAAGAAATCCCTCGTTTTGCTTATAACTGAGCTCTTCCTGACATAGCTGTTCTATTCGCTTAAATGCAATGTCAGGAAGGGAGGTTCATAGCGAATATTATATTTCAATTTCAAAATTCCTAAGTGGCCCTTTACGAACTTCAGAGGTGGCGTTTCTGCGCGGCAATAAAGCTCTTCTTGGCGCCCTGCAAAATCAACTATTTTTTAGACTCGCTCTCGCGGCCCAGTTTCTACTTAGGAGAGGCAGTGCTTGAGAAAGACTGCGCTGTACCTCGTTATATATATTTCATTGGACTGTTATAAGTAGTATCTGCCCTAAAACTGGCTTATGACTATCTTTCTAATAGGAAGTAGCGAGTTAAGATCAATGGGTCATTCATTTCACGGCAAGAATCAATTAAGAGGGTACCACAAGGCTCTGTTTTAGGGCCCCTCTTGTTTAATGTATTTATAAACGACCTTTTCTTTTTGGTAGAAAAGACTGAGCTTTGCAATTATGCTGACAACACGATCCTCTATGTGTGCGGTCATGAACTAGAACATATTATATCTAGCCTTAAAACAGATGCTCAGAAGCTCTCTTAGTGGTTTCTTTATAACAGTATGAAACTGAATCCTGACAAATGCCATCTTCTGATTTTTGGGGAGTAAACACTAACGTATCAGTGCAGATTGATGCAACAACAATAACGAAATTTGTTGAAGAAAAAATTTTAGGTGTAACGTTGGATAAGAACCTAGATTTCAAGAACCACGTAAACGCACTTTGTCAAAAAGCTGGACAGAAGCTGCATGCATTTGCACGCATTTCAAACTATATGGATGTTGAGAAACTGAGGGTTATGATGAAAGCCTTCGTTGTTTCTCAGTTTAGCTACTGTCCACTTGTTTGGATGTTTCATGATAGGTCGGTTAGTAAGAAAATAAACAAAATTCACGAGAGAGCTTTGAGCATACAAGGACAGCTGTTCAAATTTCGAAGAATTATTGTGGAAAGCAGACACAGTGTCCATTCTCCACAAAAATTTGCAGTCGCTTGGTACTGAAATTTTTAAAATTCAAAGGAATCTCAATCCAAGTTTCATGAATAAAATCTTTGTGAAGAAAGATACCCTTCGTAGTAGCAGAAATATTTTGGCACTAAAACCAAACACGACAGCGTATGGTCTTGAAAATGCATGTTTTCTTAAAGCGAAGATATGGCATACAATGCCATTATCCTTAAAAGAGTCCCAAACTTTGAAGAGCTTCAAAAGCAATATTATAAACTAGACATTAGATTTCCCTCTATTTTAAACTCCATTTTACAATATTATCAGAATTTGGTCTAACAAAATTTTGTTGTTGATTTTTAACATAGCAAAGATAAGAGTATATTACCAATACGTATACATTTTTCTAAATATATTAAGTCCCACGACAGGAATCAACTTCGTGGGTACTTGAAGGCTTGAGCTCTCTGAGAAATTTAAAGAGTTATCAGTCCAGCCCCTCTCTGTAGGCGGCTACTTGATGCAAAATAGCATTTCAGGAAAACTAGAATAAAAGGCAGGGGGGGGCTCTTAAGGCTTAATGCAAAAAATTGACGAATGAATCACAAATCAAGCCACTTTTTCTTCAGTTTTAGGAACCTTTCTCAACGCACCACGGTGCCTGTTATATAAAGTTGTCACAGTTTAGGTATGAAAATAATGCAATTTTTCTAAAGACTTGTATGGAAAGTCTAGAAATTTTGCCGGGTGCCAGTTTAGAATTTGCGACAAAATGCTTATACAATCAGTGAATGAAAGAAATTGTACAGTTTGAATTTGATGTGGAGTCATTTGAAATCGGCGACATCGGTAAATATATAATTACAGAGTAGTTCATAACATATAAACACAGGAAATTAGGGAGGAACTCTCTCCATAGTTAGAACTTATCGAAGAGAGAGCAGCCTTCTCAGTAAACTTTAATATAAGAATGAAGTTAAACATCAGAATGAATATTGACAAATAAATCTTATACTCACCTTTTTTTTTAATCTACGAGGTACACAAGACAACATTATTTGATTTAATTTAGTTCAATTTTCGATTCAAGAAGAAAGTGACAGTAGAAAAAATTGTGGTCTGAAGAAAATTAAATTTTACGAATTATGAACTAAGTTATGCTTGTGTAGTTTAATACAATAAAATTAATAACAATAAAATAATATGATCTTAAGATATGTAAATACTCCACTTGAGATAAATTACAGCCACTAAAATGTTTTGAACCATAAAAAAACTCGTCAACAGCTTGATAATGGAGAGGTAAAAATAAATCAAGCTTAAAAATCAAGCTTTAACGTTAATTATGCTAAACGAAGAAATATGAGAATAATTGAACAACTTGGTAAAAGCCCAGCTACTGCGCTAATAAAAAGAAAAAAACAAAGAAGGACCCTTATTATATGTTATATTATAGATTTTATCATATCTTTTTGTCTAGTGCAGAAAAATGCCCAGCTGTTTCATCGTCAATTTTCATTGTGTCAAAAAATTTAGGCCATCAATTGCACGTTTGGAGGAAGATCAACAACTTTTTGCAACTCTTGATCCTTCTTATCGATCACCATTATCTTTGACTTTTTTGCATTGATGCTCATTCCATATTCTGAGCATTTCTGATTAAGGTCATTTACAATTTCTTGCCATTCTTCCCTGCTCTCTGCAATCTCAGTTCTCTTCATTACTTCAATAAGTTTGTCGTGTCATCCAGTCAAATCTATTGGTGTAACCTTCAAAACAAAGTTAAATACTCTTTTTCTCAATAGCTCCTTCAGTCAAAATTCGTGTTATAAAAATAGCCTCTATTGTGCCTTTACCTTTCTAAACCCAATTTGTCTCTCACTGATTATATTCTCAATTGAAGGTGTAACCATTCTCTTTATTTCTTTGAATTTTCGCTGCATGAGATTAAAGGCTTACGGTTCTGTATTCATTGCATTCCACGACCTTGGTGACTTTTGGAATTGGAACAAAAATACACTTGATACAGTCTTGAAGAAGATCTTCTGTTGTGTAAATCTTGTTTATTAGCTTGGCATTTGCCACAGTTCCTTCTCCTGGAATTTGTAAAAATTCCCCACGCATCTAGTCATCTCCTGCTGCCTTTCTCTTGAGTTGTTCTTGTATTTTATCTCGTACTTCTTCTTTTTCAAATCTATTAACTTTTCTTGACTTTCTCAATGGCGTTGATTCTCTCTCATAATTACATAATTCCTTTCCTATGTACTCTTCCCACCTTTTACTGATCAGATCTTCTTCATACAACATTTTGCCTTTGTTATCTTTGACTATTAACTAGATTTTCATAGTTTTTGGTGTTCTGTCCTTTATTTTCCTGTATAAGTTCGAGCTAGGCTGTTTATCCAATTCTTCGCATATTCTTTTATATATTCCTCGTTTGCTTTCCTGCAGTCTCTTTGAATTTCCCTGTTTAGTTCTTTTCGTCTGTCGTTATTGTCAGCATTATTTTTCTTTTTTTCTAACTTCCATCTTTTTAGTTTCTTTTGCCTCCTTACTTTGTAAATATTTCAAGCTTTTTTCTTTTATTTCTCTTTGTTATAACTCTGAGTTGAGTTTTGGTTCTAACTATAACTGGGTTATGGCCCGATCCACTCTCGACTCCTTGTTTCCTTTTTCGAGTTACTAACACATGTTTATCTTGCATTTACAAGAATGTAATCTATTTGATTCTTTGTTCATGTATCTGAAGATATCCAAGTTTATCTGACACTTTCTTTTTACAGAATTCTATAAATTTATGTCAATTGGCTGATCTTTGTCCTATTCTAAAATAACGAGCCACGTTACCGTATATTTTGTTAGCAATTCTGGCATCAAAATTACAACTTTATCTCTGCTCTTTTTATTTTAATTCAATTTATAGAGCCATAGAGAAGTTCCAGAGCCTCATGAATCCGGCGAAGAAGTATTGTAGACAGCTGGGGTGGCAAAGAATGAGAGGATTTTCGCTCAAAAAACATTTCTGTGAATAGTTTCAAACTATATTCTTGAGACTAAATAATGGAGACTCTGGCACCCAGGGTAACTAAATCGTAGCTCATCCGCCTTCTTCACCGTTCTCTCGCCGAGGCCACCGTTGGCCTTCGCTCGTTACCCTGAGCTAGGACCCTTCCAGATGCTACCAGTTGTGTTCGACTGGACCAGTAAGCTTTAGTTCCCCATTCATGTCCTGCGAGTGCATGCCGCTGCCAGACAGGGGAGGATCCAGAGAGAATTTGAAG